TACCTGTACTGAGAGGCGGAGACTGGGTCGACTGGCTGGACGGTGGTTCAGATTGTGGCTTGATGTTGGTGATGGCGATGCCGTCGGGTGGATGTTGATGAGATGAGGAATTGGGGCCCCCCGCCAATTGTGTCGTGAGAAAATGTGCGACATTCGATTGCGATGCGCTGCACTGCGACGGAAGGTGCGCGCGGGCTGCTTGCGGTGTCACTCCTGCCGATTGCTGGCTGGCTGGAAATGCTGCTGCCTGAAGGAGGAGGAGCGCCTTTGGGACTCGCTTGCCTCGCTTGTCTCGCTCGTTTCGGCCAGCCCCATATATATCGAGAGCGTTATTGGCTATAAGAATCCTGGAGCCTGCGATGTGGGCCCCTCCCGGGCAATCGGGGCTGAACTTGCCGGGGGCAACAGTACGTACCTTCTGTACCTCAACCTTCCTTTTGCCATCAACCTCCTCTCGCACCTCTCACCTCTCACCCATTATTGAACACTCACTCATATTGCATTGACAAAACTGATTCAACGTGGAGAGTCAATAATTCTGGATCTTGGCACTTGAATGTACGAGAGCACCATTCAGGATGCAGATACTCCAGGGCCCACTGCTTCTCCTCTCCAAGACACGTTGGGCGATTATCTCGAATCAGGTCCTCACATGTTCATTCTCGAATAACGAAAGAGGAAAACGCAGAGTCCAGCACACGTCTTTGCCCATTTTGTCCCAGGAATATACGATACTCCGTATTGACTCACCCGTTTCCCCTCCCAATGGGCTTCTCTTATATGGCAATCCACTTGTCCATAAGATACGGATACGCTACGTCTGATCAGCACGCACATCCTCGGGAACCGCATCGAACTAAGGCTCGGACTACTTAGCCCACCACTGACGCCCGACGTTGGCTGCTCTCTCATCAGCTATCAGCATCCTCCACACTGAAGCATGAGTAAGCTGAGGCTCGTTTTACCGTCTTAGTGTCCCTCATCCTGGCTAGCATCCCAAGAAACACCCGGCAGCGCCAGCAGTGCAGAAGAGCTGAGCACCGTAGAGCGGACCGCTACCTGTGCTACCCCTGCCGCCATCGACGGCTGCCTTGCCCAGTTTTGCTGTGCTCTCACACAATTCTCGTTCTCTCTTTCGCTCTAGTGTACGAGAACCCCATACAGAGTATGGATACTGCAGACTATTGCTGGGCGTCTGAACGGAGTCCGTGTCCGTCATTCATGGATCAAGGCGCTTCAGGCTTCGGCACCAAACTCACCTTACCTACTTTGGCTGCTCAATGGACCAGGAGACTAGGTCTGGAATACACGTACCAACAGATCGTGGAGGTTTGGACGGGGGACCTGTCACTGACTTTCTTGGCATCCAGGCACATTGAGGCGTCTCCCCTTCCCTCGTCATGGTCAAGTTCCTCCTTTGCTCGCCAATTCCTTCCTCCTATTAATGGAAAATAACTTCCAGATGGGAACTTGAGTATCCGTACCAAATATACGTAATAGCTTACAGACAGACTCTTCAACCTGGGCAGACAACGACTCCGTCACAGAAGTCCATCTCACCACGGCACTTGGCGCTGCCTTTCCGTCCCTAGGTTCCGCTCCCAGGATGGTCGTTGGCGTCCTCCTCTTTTTTTATTTGGCTGCCTAAACACTAAAAACCTCGTCGAGTGAGAGGCACCCACATTATCTCCGACACCACTACCGCAGACTGCAGTAATCGCCTTTTCCTATCCACATCGCGGCACCCGGCAGCTTTAATTGCCCATCCATCCCCGGTTGGAATGACAGACTTTCGTCAAGGGGCCCCCTCCTCCAGTCCTCATACTACGTAGACTCCTTGAAGAGGGGCTTTCGTACTGACTACGAACACTCGTACTCTGGAAAGATCCGTCACTAGCTTATTCCTCGCGGTGGCCCCAGCAGGGTTAGGCCAGAGACTGACAGGAGCCATCAACACATCGACGACTCGATCTTCTGCTCGCCCAACTCGTCATGTCGGTTGTCTTCCAAGATGACGGTAGATCCTTATAATTTAAGGAACTTTCCGTGAACGATTCCAACGTCTTCTCACCCTGTCTCATTCCCAAACTCCAGGTGGCGGAAAGAGAGACACTCCGGGGCCCACGATACGCTCGGTCCGACTATCAAGCACCACAAACGCGGGGCAAAGGGAAAAAGACATGTTGGAAATAATTCTGCTGCCTGCTCGGCGGATGTGAGACTCCAGCTCGCAAGTAACTGACTGAAAACTCCGTACACCCTTTGCGAGCGGGCGAATCTAAAGGCTTCCCGCTTGCCCCATTCATTCTCTTCTGCAAGGTCAGCATGGGGGACCTGGCCAGTGCCATTTCTACATGAAATGCCTCTGACTCTGATTGAAGAACATTTATCAAGACTTGTCGCAGCTGTATTTGCACGATCCTCCTCAAAGGCTCAATTTCTCCAAGGGGAAATGTCAACTGCGGACTCTTTAAGTCAAGCTTGGCGATCCTGAACGTGAAAGACATGACTCTGCAGACCAATAGATCATCCATCATGACCTGTCCAGCTCCAAGAGAATAATCCAAGATAAACAGTTCTCTATTTGATTCTTATTGTGACATTCAAATCGCGGGTCTCGCCATAGCGGTGTGTGTCAAGATAGGGGAACCTGTGTCACCTCATCGCTCTTTATCTCGCTGCCTTGTGTTGAGTAACGCGGAACTCCATCATGGCTTGTACATGGCTTGTACATGGCCATGAATCCGCTGTAGATCACGCATATGTTCCACCCCTTCGTGGGATCCTGTACCGCTCCGGCGGCGGGAAAGGTCACTACTTGATGCGCTCCAAGGTAGCTGTCCGGGGGATTCTCCAACTCTCCAACTCAAACCCAAAAACAGGCCGGTCTGGGCCGCGACCGGAAACCGGTGTCTGGCCCTGTGACACCTGAATGTTGAAAGATTCAGGCAGCGAGGAGACGCCATTTATTATTGCCCATTGATCGCGATTCGCTCTGGAGGCACGACGGTGATGGTTAGAAGCTAGATGCCGTGCAAACCTTCTCAAGAAGCAGACCCAAGATACTGCGTAAAAGTAACGTGATCAATTATTTATCAGGTATATAGCACTCTACGTGTCCTCCATAATTCAGGTCCAACCTATACAATCAGGAATTTGAGTATTACACATCTTGATTTTGTATACTGTAACCTTGGACAACGCTGAGATGTCGACGGATAATACCTACGCCGATTCCTGATGGGCGGGCTGGCCGGGCCAAGGTGACGTTGGTGAGGAGCATAAAATGCCCTTGAGGGAAAGGGTGATGTATTCGGTTATCCCATCCCATCACAGTCGCTTTATTTAGCTTTACTCCGATTCAAGGTAGCTATGTCAATTTCATCGTACCATTACAGCAAAGTTGCAAAAGATGAAAGACAATTTTATGCATGATGCTTTGGTTCGTCAGTATGAGCGAGTTTCTCAACTTCTCGCTCTTCCCCTCTTGCAAGCAGGAAACCAGCAACGTCCAAAAGACATGACTCCCCTGTTCTCGAGCACCCTGAAATGAGTGTAAATGACTATCGAAATATAGATACACCTGATATCTGATATAGGGGCGATTTACGGAGGATTCAAGGAGGCTCTCTACTAGGTCCAATGTTAAACGAATTCAAGGAAGCTGTTCATGACAAAACAAAAGAAGCTCGAAGCAGCAGCCCGTGGAAGCGGAACAATATCCCAGTCCTATCCTCGATATTTCATCTTGCACCATGCGGTCTCAGGGACATGTGAAGCAAACCTCCTGGCCATGACGGGGTATCAAGGTGGGCGTGCGGGACAGGCGGCATATGTATTGATGTAATTTTGTAAAGACGTCAAATTCATCATCGACTAAGAGAAATGTAAAGACCCTTCTGATTATCAATCCATCTGATATATCTTTATCTTCCTGTAGCTCAACCTTGACATGGCAACTAACTCTCCTTCTACAGGACATCCCAGGCATCTCGACGTGAACAAATTCAGACTTCGCCTCCAACCGCAGCCTCCATCCACGATACCTTGATCAACACCAGCGTCCTTTCAAGAAAGGGGGACTCGGGAGCGGACTGAGGGGGGCAGGCATATCGTAATATGACTAACGCAATGAATCGGCCTTGAAAGCCAGCTGGCCGTTCGCCTTGCTGAAGACTTCGCATCCAGGGGTTCCCGTTCACACACACTACTCCGAGGCAGTGGAAATTGACATCATCATCGCGTCGTCAACCAAGTCTGGACAAACCCCTTTCCCAGTGAGTGATGACACAAACCTACCCTTTAAAAGTGAGCCTGTCTCATGTCGACAGATGGGAGCTGTCAAAACAGTATCCATCGCCGGAAAATGTAGGTATTTCATCATGGACTCACGCACTCCGTTCGCATCACCCGCCCAAGAGTTTCATCATGTCAATATTCACAGGCAGTGCTCCGTTCGAATCAAATCTTTTCTTTTCACAAACTGTAATTATACAGACAGACATAACACGTGAGCATACATAAACGTAAAGGTGAAATAGTATTGGGCCAGCCGGTCATTGTATCCCCAAAGAACCGCGATCCCAGTTTCCCACTGTCAAAACGCCAGCTCCGTGCCCTGCCACATTGTACCACAAGTCAGCCTTGTCTTTACCTTACCTCCTCCTTTGCTCCTCCACCTCCAACGCGTGAAATAGGAATCAGATGCTAAACGTCTTTTTGTGAAGAAACGTAGCGACGAACAACAATTTTCATGGCTTCAGGAAAGGCGCTAGAAAGTAGCCAGACGAGGGCAGGACAGAAAAGAAAATTTTTGAGACTAGTCGGCCACGATACTCGAGGCGCGAGGGTATCTGGTACGTAAAAGAGCGTGATGGAAGTATTTGCCTCTTCAGGCGGGGGGGGGGGGGGAGGGGGTTGAGATGATTTCGTGTGCTATTACTCATGTAATCGTATGTGTTCATGGTATTTCAGGAGGTGTTGGATGTGCTATGAGCTGTTTACAACTCATCACGGACGTGCTGAACGGTCTCCTTGACGGCATCCGTCACAGCCGAGGCAGCGGAAGACACAGTTGCGGAAGCAGCACTGGCAATGCTGGCAGCGGAGGCGATGCCCGTGGAGTAGGCGGCCTGCAAGCGAGCCAGGACGCTCTCGGAGACGGTAGGCTCCTTGCCCACAAGGAGCTCAGAGACGAGCTTGCTCATGTCCTCGTACTGCTTGGCAGCTTGGACCTGCGCGGCAGCGAGACTCTCGACAACAGCGGCAGTAGCCTGCGAGGCGTACTGTCCGGCGCCACTGTAGGCGTTATCGTACCATGCGGTGGGAGTGGGCTTGCCGTAGATCTGAACGCTGGCGCGGCTGACAACAGCCTCCCAGGTGTCAGAAACACCCTTCTCAATGGCCTGCGCAGCATCGACAACCTCCTGGACACCTGCGGACACGGAATCGCTGACGATGGAAGCAGCCGCCGAGAACCCGTCGCTGACCGCAGAAGCGACAGCCATAGCTTCCTTTTGCGCGCCGGAGGCCACCGCATCAGCCGAGCGGGTGGCAACTGATGCAGCTGAGGATGCAGCCGAAGATGCGGTACCGGCAATGTTAGTTGGGGTGGAGGTAGCAGTCGCGGAGCTCATGGCAGCCGAGGCGGCGGCCATGAATTCAGAGTAACGTGCGTGAGCCACACCGAGGCCGGCGTAGTAGTTGTATTTGGCCTGCTCGAGAAGCTTGTCGACGGTGGAAGTGGGAGTGGCGGTAGCTAGGCCAAGCTTAATCTTGGCGCTCTCGTACTGCTGCTCAGCCGCCAAACGTCCTTCGTTCAAACGCTGCATTGCGATAGCCTTGACGCTGGACCAGTCGTACGAGGGAGTAGGCTTGGGAGCCACGGTGCCGTAAAGGGCATTGGAGGCGGCCTTGACAGCTTCGTCATACTTGGCACTCGCTGACGCGATGGCAGCTGCATAGATACCAGAGGCAGACGCCACCAGCTTCTCAGCCGTGGGCTGGGGGGTGCCGTAGATCTTAATGGAGATGGCGGCGCTGGCGGACGAGTACTGCTCAGATGCCTTAGAGACAGCGGCGGAGTAGGCCTCTTGGGCTCTAGACGAAATGCTCTCCTCGTCTTCGTCGTCATCCAAGATGGGAACCCGGCTGGGCACGGATTGGGCGGCAGCTCCCAGAAAAGCCGGCTTCACAGACTCGGTGGCTGCAGCAACAGGCTTATCCTCGACCGACTCAGAGATGATCTCCTCTTCCAACTTCTCTCCAGGCACGGCATTCTCTTCATCGCCTGCAGGCGACGTTCCATCGTTATCGACGATGTAGGTCTGGTCCTGACCAGGGATGATGGTGGACGCCAGGTCGGGCTCCGAAGCAACGCTAGAAGAGCTGCCGGACACAGCGCTGGAAACTTGGCTAGCGGCGCTGCTGACGGACTCGGACACAGCGGAAGAAACAGCGGGAATGGCACTGCTCACACTTTCCTTGACCTCGCTGGCGACACTGCTGACAGAGCTCGCGGCCCCGGCCTCGTTGAGATTGGAGGCGGGGGACTTGTCTTCGATGACGCTGGCAGCAGACTCTAGAGGATCTTCCTCGGGGATGGAGATTGCTTCGGAAGCGGTGGCGGCAGCTTCAGCAGCAGAGGCCTCAGCAAGCTTGGCGGCCTCAGCAGCAGCGATCTCAGCTTCACGCGCACGGTCGGCTTCCTCGGCAGCAAGGCGCGCCGTCTCACTGTCGAAGTTGTCGGAGGAGTCCTTTGCAGCGAGCTTCCAGAGACCGACCTGCTTGAGCCTGGCGAGTTCCTGGGCTGCAGATTGAGCGACAGCCATACCGGAATCCTCAACTTCGTTAGAAGCCTCGCGGGCTGCCTCCAGGCCGGGATGAGTGATGATGAGCTTCTTCAGATCGCTCATCCACTCGGCGAAGCGGTCCTTCAGCTCGTGGTACTTGGCCCAATCTTTGTAGGTGATGCCGTCCATCCATGCCCACTTCATTCCAATACGCTGAAGGGCAAGATCGCGAATACTCTCGAGGATCTTGAAGTGGGTATCAGCCGCCTCAGAGACGGAGCTTTCGATTTCAGCCTCGTACTCGGCCTTCCAGGCACGGATCTTTTGAGCCTTCTCCTTGACGTTGAGACCAGCCTTGCGGACACTGGCGAGCAGCTCATCTTGGGCGGATTCCGGGGCATCAACAGACTTCTGGACGAGCTTGATGATTTGCTTTTGCAGAGCGTCAACCTCAGACTTGGCAGCATCCTGAAGCTCGGTGACAAGGGTTCTGCCCTGTCCATGCGCTCTCTCCTTGATGACGCGCTGGGAGATCTCCTCAACGCGATCTTCGATTTCAGAAGCACCCTCGTCAGCTGCCTTGGCGAACTTGGCCTGCCAGCTGCTCAGGTCTTCGATAACAGTCTCTCTGGCGGTCTTGCGAATGTCGGACTCATTCTCGCCAGGCGGGGGCGCATGAACCTGCTCAGAGTGGTCGTGTTGGGCCACCTCGGATGCGTCGGGAATGTGAGCGCTCTCAATGGCCGTGGACGCCTTCTCAGTGGCCGATGAAACTACCGAGGAAGCAGACGAGGAGAGGGACGAGGCCGTAGAAGCCGCGGGCTTTGTGAAGGAAGAAGCCTTGGCAGAACCACTGTACACAGCACTGGTAAATGAGTGGTCTTTAAACAATAGGAGAAGAGTGTATCGCTTTCTTCTTACCTCTCGGAGACGTTTTCGAGCGACCCCTTGGTCTTGTTCTTGTAGCGGCCGAGACGCTGTCCTATCCTAGCTAGCTGAGGCTCGACATTCTCAATGTACAAAACCCGGAACTGGGGCCAAACAGTGGCATCGAGGAAGCTGTAGGTCTTGTTCCATGCCCAGTAGGCAGAAGGGACAGCCGTCTCGGTGGTAAACTGAGAGGCGACGGCGTAGCCCTGAGCGGCGTAAGGCTGTACGAATTGGTACGAGGGGAAGAGAACATCGTGGTAGGTTTGAAGAGCACTTGTGCGCGCAATGTCGTAGTACGGGCCAACGGTGGTGGAGGCCTTGGCAACGTGTGGTGCAACTGTCTGATCATACTTGTCTTGGGCCAACTTTTGGTAGACAGACAACTGCGGTTGGATGTTCTTCTCCCATTGTGCCTGGCCGTACGACTGGGCTTGCTGGAGACGAGGGGCGCCGTACTTTGTGGCATAAGCCTTGGTAGGGACGAAGACCCTCTCGTTGGCAATGTCGTAGTAGGGGGCAGCCTTCTCAACGTAGGGGGCGGCATAGGTATCATAATAGGGCTCGACATGAGGTAATACAGCCTGCTTCAGCTGGAAGTAGGGCTTGCAAATCTTTGGGGAGGACTCGTCGCAAGCTTCGAGGTTTGCGGGACAGCGGAAGAGGATCGAGATAAGGGAATACCATGTCAGAATTCTAAAAATTCAGTGTCAGTCCGAATACACCTCACGATATGCACACCGCCGTTGTGACGGTGGCGGCTGAGAATTGGGAACATACCTCGCCAAGATGTTGAATGAACGGCGGAAAAACGAGGGCCCTCTTGTAGGCGTTGTCCTCCTCTTGATTGTCACGGCCTGGCCGTTCATCTTGCCGTTGATCTTTCCATTCGGAGCTTTCGGATAGCCGTTACTGGCATAGCCACTGGAAGCCTCCATGGCGGAGGTTGTGGTCTGGGAATACCAGGCAGCTCGCGTAAGTGACGTGATTTGGTGTTTTCCTTATCGCAGGGTAACCGTTAGTCGGGAAAACTGGTGCGTGCGTCGAGGATGATGCAGCGGAGGACTCGAGACTGCGCCGAACTACTGATAACAGACAGTGATCAGCTGGGTAATGTAAAGAGAGGTATCGCAGAGGATATTGAGGAAGAAAGATAGAAACGAGATCAAGGTTGGGAATGGTGGGAAAAAAGAATTCAACGGGAGGGTTGCGTAGAAGCTCTGATGATTTTCAGATGTCGCAGTTCCCAGTCGGCGGCGGACATGGGCTGCTTTAGGCGGCCTGGACCGGGCTGGGCAACCTAGAGGCTAGAGCTGCGTGAACGAACGTATGTGGGTTGCGTAGCTAATACGCAGCAAACTGCCAAACGAGTGCCTTCGGAACAGTGAAGCTGCAGGGGAGGGCCGAAGAGGGGGAGCCACTTTGGGGGTTGGATTGTGGAGCTAGGAGTTGATGATCTACCTTCAGAATGGCGATAGTTTTGCTTCAGGGCGTCCGAAGGGGTCTTTTCGGTAAAAACGTTGATGCTGTGTTTGGTGGAAGATGATTCAGACCCGAGATAGGCGGCAGTGGATACCTAGAAGTGTAGTAGGGAGAATGATGGACAACAGGTAGTCCAGGGAGACGAGGGGAAAGGGTAAAAGTAAGGTGAGGTAGCCGTGATGGAAAAAAAGGTGTGGTGTTTCTTGTTGATGTGCTGCTGCTTCCCTTCGCGTTCGTTGCCGTTCGCTTCCCTGCGTACCGTACAATGTAAAGGTGAGGCACAGGCAAGAGGCAGGAGGCAGGAGAAGAGGCCGTCCCAGGCTGGCAGCTTCCTGCTCCTGCGGGCCAAGTTTTTTGTGGTCCGAGGGGAAGAGCACGGGCCAGGCCTGCATTGTATCTTTTGGTGAAATATGGGTGTTGTCACATACAAAAGAGTACTTCTTGCTCGAGTGCTGACATAATAAACCGGTGAGGTAACCGAGACGTTCAGCTTGTGCTAGCACGCTAGGTCGCTGTAGCGGCCTTCTTAGCCTGCTGCAAGCCTGCTCCAAGCCTGCAACTCTGGGGAGCTTGCAGAGCAGCACGCGCGCTGTGGAATGTCTCACCAACGTCATCGGCTCCAAGCTGTCGCTATCGTCCAATGCCACCAACCAACCACACCAACACCACACACACACGAGCTAACAAGAAACAAGCAGGCAGGCGGAAAACTTGAAAGCAAGCACGGCAAGGCATCACGCCCAGCTTACCTTTCTCATCTTTGCAGCCCTGGTCGTCTCCCGATGAATCCTCGCTTCCACGCCATCCATGCTACCATGCCTGTCGCCATCCACACCATCCGTCCCATGTCTGACTGTCTCCTCATAATCTCTCCGCACCAAGCACATCAACAAGCAAGACACCGGATTGACCAACCCTGCTGTCGGAGGCACGGTCGAAGTCTGGATGATTGGTAGAGTCTGGTTGCCCATGAGCCACAATGCCCCGAAACAACCCAGCGATTCCAGCCAGCACGGATGAGGGGTCCAATCAAGTGGACCAAACAACCTTGGAGTGACGCAGCACTGCATTACCAGGCACGCAAGTGTGGCTCACCAGCTTGGAATGTTGGAGCTCGGAGGCGCGACCGAGTGGCCGGCATCTAGCACAATCCATGTGATGATGATGATGCTAATGATGTGCTGGATGCCCTTGGCTGAGAACCTGTTATCGACGATCCGGGTGGTTTACTTGCATGGCCTCTTCCATCGTACATGCCCCTGAGGAAAAGGCTTGATAGAAGCTAAAGTCCGGTAGGTATGTATAGGTGAATCCCAAGAGCATGGCCTGGCAGGTGATATGGGAAACAACCGTAGCTCTCTACCGAGACTAATATCAGATGGCTTTGCAATAGACCTCAGCAATAGTGGGATTAGAATAATACAAAAAAGAGAGTCTTTGTGGGAAAATCATGGAAAGGTTAAGGTGCAGCAACATGTTGCAAGGCACAATGACATAATGATACAGCGGCACAATTGCTGCTATGCTGGTTGGCCGAAGCTGCCTCTTCCTGAGGTGCCCGGTCCAGAACCATGTCCTATCACGTGCCGATAGCCTCCGGGAGGATTAGCTCAGCTACCTTATCTGTGATGTCCACTTCTCATCGGAACGGGTGAAGCAAAGCTCCGGACCCTGGACTCGGGTTCCCGGCGGCCGGACCCCTGCTCGGACCACTGAATGGACGCTGCGGATTTGACCCGCGCAAGAGCAGGAGCCAGCCTGAGGTGCTGGGCCAGAACAACTAGACCTGGAAAGAGCAGGCCCTCGCACTTACTTTCAATGTTCGGTACCTCAACCATCCCGTCTTAGCGCAAGGGGACTTCGATTGATTTCTCCATCTCGAAACTGCGTCTACAACCTCACAACATCCTGGAGCGGCTTGTTTGACTTGACGATTTATGATACCCAACCAGCTTCTCCTTTTTTTCTACACTGTTTCCCGACGTCTAGAGCAGGAGCTGCAGCCGTTTGCTGTCACTTGAGCATTGCAAAGCAGCCCGCGCTCCCCCGCAATCTGTTCACTCGGATAATTATCTAGGCACACGCAGCTTCGACCAAAGAACTTACGTCGGACCTCTCGATCCCACCGACATCATTGTCGATTATTTCCACCCCGAATCCGCTGTCGATCCGCCCTCACTGTGCCGGCCTTGCTTCGAGAGGCACTCATGCGTTCCTAAACAACGAAACACTTCTGCAAAGGGCTCAAGTCCCCCGCCAACCTCGACGACTGAATCATTATGGACGACCCCGCGATGGAACCGCTGGCAGCCGCCGATGCTTACGCGCACTCCCGCCGAAGGTTCTCGGCTTCGAAACCCGCTTCCGTCTCGCACGATGCTGCCAAACCGCGATCCCAAGCCAACGATGCCGGCGTCCTCGACCCCGATACATGCCGTATTTGTCGAGGCGAGGCGACCGCCGAAGAGCCGCTCTTCTACCCATGCAAATGCAGCGGCAGTATCAAATACGTTCACCAAGATTGCTTGATGGAGTGGCTCTCACACTCCCAGAAGAAGCACTGCGAGCTGTGCAAAACACCCTTCCGCTTTACCAAGCTCTACTCGCCCAAAATGCCAAAGACTCTCCCGGCCCACGTCTTCGTCGGCCACATGGCCAAATACCTCTTCAGAAACGTTCTGGTATGGCTGCGAGCCGCACTCGTCATCAGCGTTTGGCTTTGCTGGTTGCCCTACCTCATGCGCTCAGTCTGGGCCTTCCTGTTCTGGGTCAGCGACGAAGGTCTAGGTAGCGGCGCTCTATGGAACAGCTCAAACGCAACAGTGAGCCGAGGCGTCTCGGTGGCATTCTCAGTCGCCAATTCCAATGTCTGCCCTGCTTCGCCTCTGCTCGAACCCACCACGACACCGGCCAACTTGGGAGGCATGCTCAAGGATATCATTCAAGGCCAGGCATTGCCCTTTAGCAGATCATTCCACGGCGTTAACATTACCACCAATGATTCAATGACGGCAGCGCTTATGAGGATGCTGCTCGGATCCATCACTTCCTCCGCGTCTGCCAATTCTAGTTCGGTGCCCGTCGGCACGAGTGACCCCGTTCTCGACCGTCATCCTTCTTTGTTGAGCGGCGTGTCCTGGTTGCGCAATATGACCCGGTACCCCGTTGTAAACCGCACCATCATTGGCGTCCTAGAGGGCCAGATTATCACGATATTGGTCATCATCTCCTTCATTCTCGTCATCCTGGTCCGCGACTATGTTGTTCAGCAACAACCCGAAATCAATATGCGAGCCGCCTTTGCCGCCAACGACAACGCCCAAGCCCAACCGCAGCCCGAACCGCAACACCAACATGAGCAACATTTCCACGACCATGATCATGAACACGAGCACGCGCACGCGCACGATGGTGCTGGCATGCTCGATGACTATGGTGCAGCAGATTTGAGAGGGCCAAGTGACAGCGAGGATGATGACGATGAATCATTCACCGGCGGTCGACGCGCAAGTCATGATGATTTACCTCACATGGCCTGGGATGAACGGGAACCGATGCCCGAGCTCGCAGCACCTATGCTGCCGGCAGGTTTGCCGGCGGGAAGGAGACACGGCGGTTTCGGGTCCCGCGCCCAAGGAGGACCTGAACCCGAATTCGACTTCAACACACCACCCGAAGGCGGTCCCAACAAGGACGCGCAGACCCCGGTGGCAACTGTTCACGAATACCTCCGTATCTACCGACAGGCTAATGGTGATCCCGAGAAAATTCTTAAAATCATTGAGGAGGAGAAGTTGGATGAGCCACTTGGCTATTGGGCAAGGATCACCAAGTCGATGATGGAAAAGAACCGAGAATCGGGTGCTTCGCAGTCGAAAAAGAGCCAACCTGGACCTGAAGGATCTTCCACCTCTCGAGATTCGCAAGCCACGCCACCATTCTCGGTCCAACTGCCCGCCCCCTCAACACCACAGTTCTCATGGCCGCCGCAAACACATGGCGAGGGTAGTACCAACGGAACAGGAAAGGGCAAAGAGAAGGAAGCTCCAACAGATTTTGGTTTTGAATCCGGTCTGGGAGAGGAAGACGCAAGCCCTTCAAGATCGACTCCCTTCCAAAGTCCTCTGCGGCCTCGCTCCGTTTCAGACGGCCCTCAGATGAATAACAGCATCAACCCACTTGCGAACAACAGTTGGTCATTTTCCGGCTTGAATGCTGCACCGCAGCAGGCCGAACCCCAGGCTCAGGAGCCAATGCAATCGTTTGGCTTTGATCCGCAAGGACAAGAGTTCGGTCTTCCCCCAGCCCGATTCACACCACCGCGCAGCAATACCCCAGATTTCGGCTCCGATGCGGATCACGATTTTGAGACAGTTGAACCGATTCACGAGGACGGGCTTTTTGGATTCAACGAGCCAGAGATGCAACCGCCCGAGGCCGTCGTCCCGGCGCAGTTCGTTGGCTTGCCCGAAGAGCCCCTTGAGGACATCAACGGCTTGCCTCAAGATACCGAAGATGGTCGGCCAGCCCAGCGGCCGCCTCTTCAGCGGGGTGTCATGGACCGTGTGGCTGATTTCATGTGGGGCGACATCGAGGTCCGAGAGTTGGATATTGGTGGCCGAGATGACGATGCCGCTCATGAACATGACCATGATCATGACAGCGACGACGACGACTTTGACGACGACTTGGATGATGACGATCAAGACGCCGTGGAGCAAGATCGCGAGGTCGTAGAAGCTGCCGTCGCCGCCGGCCTTGACCCCGAAGCGATTGACGACGCCGAAGATTTCGAGGGCATCATGGAATTGATCGGCATGCGTGGGCCTATCGCCGGTCTCTTCCAGAACGCCATCTTCTGCGTCGTGCTTGTCTCTGTCACGATCTTCGTCTGCGTCTTCATTCCTTACAACCTGGGACGTGTCAGTGTCTGGGCTGCCATGAACCCGATGCGCCTTGTGAGAATGCTCTTTAGCGCGACAAAGTTCATCCAGGACGTTGCTGTTGGCATCATGAGCGGTCTGACTAGTCTGACCTTGTGCTTCATCTACACAACAGGACGCATGATGGGCTTCCCAGCTAAGAATGGCGTTGGCTTGTTCATGAAGAAGACGTTCGACATTTTCACGAGTGCTTCAACCAGGGTCCTCGAGAGCCTGACCAGCGAGCTACCCATCATTTCAACCACCGAGATGCAAAACTTCTCCGCCATCAGTCATGAAGCACTACTTAGCTTTAAGTCCCTTCTCTCTAGTACTTTTGCTACCGTAGGAGACATACTTGGGGCCATATTCGACCGCGACCTCATAGCCAATACTAAGTATGCAGCATCACTTTCGGCGAATGCAACCATATACGCGTGGAACGCTGTCCGCGATGTCCCCATTAGCATCCTCAACCCCGGATCATGGGTGATCAGCTTCAGTGTGCCGGAGCCCTCGACGGCCGTCAACCCTGCACTGTCGTACTGGTCAGGCACGGATCGATTCTGGGCGATTCTTTGCGGCTACTTCACCTTTTCAGCAATTAGCGCGCTTTACTTGAAGCGTGGTTCACCATTCTCGACAGGGCAGACAGGGCAAGATTGGGAAGCTTCATTGATCGACTTGCTCAACCAAGCTAGTGGCGTTATGAAGGTCATTCTCATCATCAGTATTGAGATGCTTATCTTCCCACTGTACTGTGGCCTCCTCTTGGACGTGGCCTTGTTGCCCCTCTTTGAAGCAACCACTTTGAAATCGCGAGTCGCCTTCACCGTCAATTTTCCGCTCACCTCCATCTTCGTACATTGGTTCGTGGGAACGGGGTACATGTTCCACTTTGCCCTGTTTGTTTCCATGTGCCGAAAGATCATGCGGAAAGGCGTCCTCTGTAAGTTTATGCTGCCTTTGTCAGTAGCCGCTTTAACTAATCAGCGCAGACTTCATCCGTGATCCAGACGATCCCGAATTCCACCCCGTTCGCGATGTACTGGAACGCAACGTCGTAACACAATTGCGAAAGATTCTATTCTCTGCGTTTGTGTACGGCGCACTCGTCATCGTTTGTCTAGGAGGTGTGGTGTGGGGCCTGGCTCTGTCTCTCCCGAGCGTCCTGCCGATTCACTACTCTTCCAATGAGCCTGTCTTGGAATTTCCCGTCGACCTATTGTTTTACAACTTTGCCATGCCTCTGGCAGTCAAGTTCTTCAAGCCTAGTGACGCCTTGCATGCCATGTACACCTGGTGGTTCCGCAAGTGCGCCAGGGGCCTCCGGTTGACTTGGTTTCTGTTTGGTGAACGCCGCATTGACGAAGAGGGTATCCTGGCGTTGCGTCCTGGGTCGGACCAGCTTCCCCTTCCTTGGTGGAGGCGAGCCCTCCTCGAAGTCAATAAAGAAAACAAGGTGGTGCCCAAGACGTGGGAAGATACGTTTGAAGGTGGCACGGCGAAGCCGACATCTACCATCGCCTCCGACCAGATGGTCATCCTCACCATCAAGAAAGCAAGCCTCGTTCAAACTGGACAGCTGATTGAAGAGGGCCAGTTTGTTCGGACTCCTGCGTCGGACCAGGTCAAGATTCCTAAGGGACGACGCGTGTTCATGCCGGTTTCTGAGAGCAACTCCCGACTAGATGGCAAAGATGACACGCCCGATGCCGACCTTTACTCCACGGACCAATACCAGCTGGTGTACATTCCTCCACACTTCCGTGCCAGGGTCTTTTTGTTCATCATGTTCATCTGGATCTTTGCCGCCGTCACGGGCGTCAGCTTCACAATCATACCCCTCGTATTCGGCCGCAAGATGTTCAAGGTCCTCATCCCAGCCCACATTCGTACTAACGACATTTATGCTTTCAGCATCGGCATTTACGTTCTGGGCTCGACGGCATATTTCCTCTTCCATGCTCGCTCCATCTTCAACAAAATGAAAACGTGGGCATCTTCAAATCTTCAGTCTGTGTGGCAGAGCGATGCTCCCATGCGGGTTGCGCTAATGGGCATCCACACTGCCAGGCTTGCTTACGCATACACAATTCTTCTGGTCGTTTTCCCTCTCATCCTTACGGCACTTATGGAATTGTATTGCCTCATTCCTCTTCACACTTACATGTATCCTCCGACACCTTATGTCATCGGAACCAACAATGGTGGTCAATTCAAAGACGGCATTGTGGTGTCGAACCAACACACGGCGAGAGTCATACAATCCTGGACTCTGGGATTGCTCTACGTCAAGCTCGGAGCGCGGGCTATCACTAGCCTTTACGAAGGTACTCGCTTGGCGCAAGCCGTTCGCGCGGTTCTTCGTCGTGGATGGCTCCAGCCTGATGTTCTCGTGCTGACGAGGGCTTTTGTTGTTCCCGGTCTGCTCATCGGCTGTTTGGCAATATTCGGACCTCCGTATGTCGTGGGCTGGTTGGAGTCACAAGGCATACTCGGCGTACCTGTACCTGCGCCCCACGAACTCAAGATGATTTATCGTCTTTCTTATCCGGCGGCTGCGTTCATCGCACTGGCAGCCATGGCATTCTGGAGTATTGTTGGCGTCTTCAACAACTGGAAGGCGCGTATAAGAGATGAGGCCTACCTTATCGGGGAGAGGCTTCACAACTTTGGCGTCGGTGCCGCGGGTGCTGCCGGCGCGCGGGGACCGTGGCGGATTCGGGGACGAGCCTAGATTCCCTGACTAAAGAATTACTCTGGTTACTATGTTATGATTACCCATAGACGGAGGGATGGTTACTGGCGATCGGATTCGCTTCGTGTAGTTTATACAACAGACAGGTCGTACGCCTCTTACATACAACGGTGTTTATTTTAATCCACTTATGACAGCCCACGCTGACTGTCCAGTCGCGTAAGCAGTGAATTCTTTGTAAACCTATTTTGACTTTCAACTGAGCAGCGCATCGTCAATCCGTGGTCTGAACGTGTCACCTGTACTACCGCATCATCAATTTGGCAATGATGCTTTACGGGATGTTAGCGGCGGTTTACTCGCACTTGATTCTGCACACTCCGAATGCAATGCTCGTTTCATATTGGCGGTAGCCAGGTTCCAGGCCGCTGCGATGTCTCTCAGGTGGCCATAGTCATATATAAAGAGTCGCAACTACTATATACTTCCTCCCAACCATGATCATCCCCTACCACCAGACTTCTCAGAGACTCTAGAAGAACATGGCAGCCCCACCAACAGCAGCAGTCAACGACACCAAGAGACCAGCCACAGCGCCGGTGGAGAAGACGGTACCGACCAGAGCACCGGGGGCGGCGTTTGCGGTGCTCGAGGCCGAGGCGGACGGGGTCGAGGTTCCGGAGGAGGAGCCGGAGGAGGGGCTGCCGCTGCTTGAGGAGCCGCTGGCGCTCAGGAGGGCTGTGAGGGTTGAGTCGGAGGTGAAGTCGACGGTGACCGTTGCGTTTTTGCAGTCTGAGCGGGTTGGGGCTGTGCCGGAGACGAAGTTTACTGCGGCGCACTGCAGGTGTGTTAGTGAGATTTGTTCTTTGTTGAAGGGGGTTCACAGAGTGAAGATGTAGAGAGAGAGAGAGAGACGAGGATAACACACGGTATACAAAAGCCCATCAGGCGAATGCGCAACAACACTGACGACACCCCTCTTTCCCGTCCAATTCCCCGGCGCCACCACTTTGGGCTCGCAAAAGTTGCCGAGGCCGGTCTGCATGACGATCGGGAACAGCTGCGTCCACCCGGAGGCGGCGGTCTGGTCGAGTGTGGCGCGGAAGAGCCAGTTTGTCTGCGGGTGGCCGTTTTCCATGCCGATGGCATCGCCTTCGACGTAGAAGTCTGTTGCTGCGGAGGAGGAGGAGGCGGTGTAGCCGCCGCAGGGGGCGGTGGCCTCGTTGTCGTCTGAGTCGCCGAGGGGTTTGGGGAGGGTCATGGAGAAGTGAGCTGTTGCTGTTGAGGCGAGGAGGAGGAGGGGGGTAAGGAGGCGGGTCATTTTGGCGGTTGAGGTGATTGAGGCTGGCGATGTTGGGAATTTGGTGTTGATGTGTGTAGTTTGATGTGAGAGGACTTTGGGTATCGAGGCGCACAGCGCGGAGAGAGGACAGGTATTAGGAATTGGGTTTGATAAGATGGTGGAATGTCAGGTGTGAAGCGGACGAAGAGGAACACGGGCTGTTTATGAACGAGACCGGCGTCGCGTGGGATGGGTATTGGTCAATGGGCGGGAGGAGAATGACCCGAGCAACGGGGTTTCCCTTTCTCGCACTCTCCTGTAGGGCTAGCCTGGTTGCGCCGTTTGTCTCGAAAGAGCTTAGATTGGGTAACAGCAAAGCTCCTGAGAAGCTCGTGGTTTTGTTCGGCAAGGGTAGTGCGGATATCTCACGAGCGGGCTGGGTGAAAAGAACTAAGCACTTGGGTGAGATACATGGCATCCATGGAGTGGAGAGAGACGGAAGGTCTTGCCGAACCTCTCTCACCGTTACACGAGAACGAGCGAGACTCAGTTTTGTGCCTTGAAGTGAGCTACATAGGTAGGAAAAGAGGGTTTGGGAGGTTCTGAATGGGTGAACGAGAGCCTCGGATTCAATCATGAATGGACTAGGATGCCTAGATCCGGCAGCCGGCACATGGCGAGGTAGAATTGAGTTACGCCCTCTGGTCGGAGGCACTGGAGAGGAAGATGACTTGCTGGGGGTATTGTGCCCGGTGGCAGGAGGAAGAGCTAGGAAGCTAGGAAGCAGAGATAAAACTTGCTCACTTTGGCTGCTGTTACCGAACTAAGTAGCTCCAAGCTTCACTTTTACCACGTTGGATGGTTGCATGTTTCCCCCTCACTATATGCATGAAAGAACCAAAGGTCCCTCTCGAGGTGGATTCTCCGCGCCGGGACTTTCGGAACGACTCTTGGCTTTCATATTCAGTGGGGATGACTGATGAGGCTCTGGTAATGTCTTTGGGTGCTTTCTCAGTCTCGTCTCGTCTCCGCCATCGCCCCGAGCTCTATAGTCACAATGAAATGTCGTCGCGATGCCAGCGTGTGATATCAAAAACGCGGCGACGGCGGACGCGCGGGGACGGGTGGCTTGATGCTTAGACAGTTAGACCATGAGAGGAAGGGATGTAGTTAACCTTAGATAGACTAGCCCCGCGATATGCGCAGGGGCTTGCTGGCTGCGTGACTAGGGCTGTGGCCAATCATGAGGCCGTTTGTAAATGTCACTGAGAAGTTTTGAGCAAATTGTGGCGTTTGCGCAGTTGTGATTGGGGGGACTACCCCTGTTTGAGAGTCCGTCAACTCAGACTCACTCTCACTCTTCGACAAGGGACAGGTGGGATATCTGGGGAGAGGGGGGGTGGGGGGTTCACGGGGGGGTTTGAGATTGATCTTCTGTCGTGAGCATGTTTCCAAGCTGGACGGGGGAAGAGATTTGGCGGGTATGGTGCTTGATGCCTGGATGGTCGTTGGTATCTTCTTATTCTTGGGAAGTTGGTGAGAATTAAAACAAGCTTGTTTCTGAATCTCAGCTGTAGAAGAGAAAGGTCAGAGGATGACGGGCATTAGCGATAACCAAATTGAGAGTTTGAATTCGAAGTCTGTGTAAAAGCGAATCATGACCCGCGTAAATTCAAACAAACCTAAGAGCCCAGACCTCTCTTTATCTGATGGATAAGGACTTAGTAAACATGCCGGGAAGAAACTAAAGCATAGAGAACTTTCCCCCGAGCCGGTAGGATAGATAAAACTCTCGATGAAGAGGGTGTAAAGTGAAAGTGTAGCCGAGACTCCCGTCGTCGAGAAACGTGTTCAGGCATTCCGCACCGTCGTGAGTTGGCGGCGGATCATCCGTCAGCCACCTCTGCTTGAAGCATCCCGTTTGCCCCATGGCCCAGGTTGTCATGCCTTGACGATGCCAAACTCGTTCGGATGCATGCTGGACCGTGTTGCGCTAACCATTCTCTAAACCAGCGCATTTTGTGCCGCCGAGCCGGGTACTCATTACTGGTACCATTTCTCTTGTGCCAGTCTTTAGGCCAGTCACTGGACGTGCTTATGCTGCCCAGAGTCTTTGCCTCTTGAACTTGCTCAATACACCTCATTCCTTTGGCTGATTTCACAGCCGTCAAACGCCGTATAGCCGGGACCTCTGAACTGTTCGAGGCGCAGATTTCATTTTTCGTATTTCAATTATTGGATGAAGTCATGGTATCTGGGAGTCTATGCGCATGCGATTGGTAGTGTTTGCTTTGTGAGATGGTTTCACGAATTGGCGCTACCTCATGACACCGGCGCGCCATTGGAATACCCTCTCGACATCTCACAACGAACTTCCACATCTCAATAACCTGCGTTAAACGGGCTACAACGGGTTCGATAAGCAGTAAGCGGCGGGACTGGAAACCGCCAAAGTCGCAAATCAACATATACAGCGAAAGACGGCACAGCCTACAGCCCTCTCATAACCACAATTTCATCACCAACAATCGCCACGATGAGCCATAATCATGGAGGAGGAAGTAGTATGGGAGGAGGCATGACCATGGGAACGGCGCTATTCCAGGAGACAAATGTTCAGCTCGCACAGTCTTTCTGGTACATAATCGCAGGCGTCGTCGGGTTCCTAGGTATCATCCGCGGTCTCAATTACCTCGAAAGCCTAAGAAGGTGAACATCATTGCCACCGTGTCTGCAGTTTACCCTCTGATGCTGACATGTGCAGACTCAAGCGATGCCGCACCGAGTCCGTTCGATTCCCGACAAAACCCTCAAATATTATTACACAAATATGGGCGACATCAACAGCGCTCGTCCGCGAAGCAGGACACCCACAGCTCTACATCCCGATAAAGGGCCTACGCTGGGCGACGCCGCCGTCACTCGGTCGCGTACTTGTCCTCTTGGCCTACTGGGCCGTCATCATCTACATGATGGTCAACGATGCCGTCATCAAGGACGCGTACTTCTGGGAACGAATAGGCTTCCGCAACGCCTGGGTGACTGTTATGCAGATGCCCCTCCTTTATCTCCTGGCGATGAAGGTTAACGTGGTGGGCTTCATCATCGGGGCTTCACATGAACGGCTAAGCTGGCTTCACCGATGGGTCGCCAGGACAATGTTCGTTACGGCGACCGTCCACGGGTTCCATTTCTGGTCGGAGTGGGTGCGCGCAGACTTTGTCGAGACGCAGCTGCGGATCCTGCCCGTCATCAAGTACGGACTCGGGGCCTGGGGGATCCTCATCTGGACGTTCCTCACGGGTATGAGACCCCTCCGTAGCATGGCGTACGAGCTTTTTCTCCTGCAGCACATCCTTTCGGCGGTACTCTTCATCTGGCTGGTCTACGTACATATTCCGGCCTACGCGAAGCAGTACCTCTGGTTCTCCGTCGCCATCATCTGCTTCGACCGCCTCGCGCGCTGGGCGTTCCTTGCCTGGCAGAATACGAGGCTCCGACCCAACAGATCGACGTGTAAGGGGATGAAGCGGGTGGGACACGAGGTGCAGATCCGGGCAGCGGGCTCGTCGACGACAGTGTTGACGATCAAGGATGTTCACTTCTCGTGGAAGGCGGGGCAACACTTATACCTCTGGCTGCCGCATATCGGGCCCTTTGAGGCACACCCGTATACCATTGCGTGCGCACACCAGCTTCCGGAAACGTGTACCTGCAATAGTATCCAGCTCGTTGTACGGAAACACGGCGGGTTCTCCAAGAGACTGCATAACTACGCGGAACAGGTCCAGGCATCTGGGAAGAAGGAGACGCTTACGGGCTTCGTGCTGGGGCCGTTTGGAGCGCCGCCTAGATGGGATATCTACGACTCCATGGTTCTCATCTCAGCGTCTACGGGGACGTCTTTCACGCTGCCTATCTTGGAGAGCATCGTTCAGAGCCGCAGGAAGACATGCATTACGAGGATCGAGTTCATCCTCATGGCATGCCAGGGTGAAGAAATAGAATTCTACACGCAGCGGCTGCGGGAGTCGATGGATCGGGCGCAGCAGAACGGCATCGAGCTGCAGGTGCATATCGCCATTACGCGGTCCGGCAAAGCCAAAGAAGGCGAGCCGACGACGGTTCTCTACTCAGACCGTGAAGGAAGCTCTAGCTCAAGTTCATCTGCGAAACACAGAAGGATCGCCTCTGACGACTCCGTGGATGGTAGTGGCGGCAGTGGTGGATGCTGTCAGGAAAAGGGACTAGACTTGGAAAAGGGCGATGAGGTGCCGCTTACACCCAGGATCCGGAGCGGGTCTATGATGAGTATGGTGAAGACGTACAACTGTCGTCCTGATCTGGAGGCCTTGATTCGAGAACCTGTCGAGGCTGCGGGCGGCGAGACGTCGATCGTTGTCTGTGGTGGGCAGTCGTTGGCGAGTTCCGTGAGGAATTGCGTGGCCTCATTATCGGATGAGAGGGCGGTCCATAAGGGGACGGGGGCACAGGGAATTCATCTTTTTGTTGAGGAGTATTCGTTCTAGATTATATCAACGTAATTATAGACTCATGCAAGACATTGGCATTTGACGCGTACTCATACTGCTTGTCAATACGTGTAAATATCATGTGTACAAAAAAAGAAACCAGTTTGAATGGTATACAAGATTCCAGAGCTTGGATGTCATTGGTGAAGATTACAAGTCTAGAAGGATTGTTTCATATGGCTTGATTGGTACATGTATTACCGGCTTCATCAGCGTCATGTATTAATAGTCTTATCAAGAGGGAGCTGACGCGGTGAGCTTCATGTGGCATTCGGCAGCTCAACAACCAGGTGCTATTAATGCCGGCTATCTTATCGTTTGTGAAATGGGAAAAATATGAAGGCGTGTAGAGTATATATATCCATCACAACCACTCATACTCTCTTATGTCCCGTGAGAAAATCATGGGTTGATGAGATGAGTTTCCATGCAATCCTCTTGAAGGTGAGCTCACCGAAATTTGCAGGGGGAATTGCCCCTCCATACCGGACTCACCGAGAAAAGATTACCCCTCCACTCGGTGAGCCCCGGTGAAGCCCCACACCGGCAGCCAACCAACCACATGGACGAATGGCTCAGTGACTCAGGCTGGCCGTCGGTCCGCAATTTTTTCTCTGCGGGTGACAAACATCGGCCACAGCCCTCAGCCCAGCGACCCCTCCCCCTCGTTGCCTTTTTTCTTTCTCGTCCCCCCTGCAGCCCAGTCCCCGTCGTCGAGTCTCTTAATGACTAGCGTCGCGCGCTTCCTCTTCTCTTCTTCTTCTTCACTTCGTTTAGCCCACGTTTATCCCACCAGTCTTCGACGAGGAGCGTCTTCTGCCGCCTCAGCCTTCGCCCACTACCCTCCTCGACGACGACCTCCAACGTCCACCACGCGACCCTACTCCTCGACGACTCCGGAGCGGTCGACCCTCGCCAAACCTCCCCCCACCCCCACCATCTCGCTTGCGACAATGGCCGACCAGATCACGGCGCAGCTCGAGAAGCTTTCCGTGAGCAAGCTCGAGTCCTACCCCGGCTGCTACCCCGAAGTCAACCCCATCGACGTCTACCGCTCCCACATCACCTCGCTGCTGCAGCCTGTTACCGGCGTTGAGAGCACTATCATCTACAACGCCCTTCAATGGACCCAGAGCTTGGATAAAGGCGACTTGGTACTGGCTGTCCCTGCTCTTCGCATCAAGGGCAAGAAGCCTGCGGATCTCACTGCTGAGTGGCTCGACAAGGTCAGTTCTGAACCAAGATCATTGGAATAACCCGTACCCCTGAACCAATGCGCGCTGGCTCTTTCGTGGTACGATCGAATGTTGGGCTAACACACCTTGGTAACAGATCCCCGAGTCTCCCTTGATCGAGAAGCCCGTTTCTTTCCAGAATGGCACTTTCCTCCAGTTCTGGTTCAAGCCCGGCCCCCTTTCCCAGCTTCTGATCCCCCAGGTCCGGTCCCGTGGCGTCGACTTTGGCAAGAACCCCAACAACGGCCTCAAGAACCCCGAAGACAAGTCCCAGGGCAAGAAGAAGATCATTGTCGAGTTCTCCTCCCCGAATATCGCGAAGCCTTTCCACGCTGGTCACTTGCGAAGCACCATCATTGGTGGCTTCATTGCCAACCTGTACGATGGCGCCGGCTGGGATGTGACCCGTATCAACTACCTTGGTGACTGGGGAAAGCAGTATGGTCTCTTGGCTCTGGGCTTTGAGAGGTTCGGTAGCGAGGAGGCGCTTGCCGCCGATCCCATCAACCACCTGTACGAGGTCTACGTCAAGATCAACAGGGATATGGCCGACGAGAAGGATCAGATCACCGCAAAGGAGCAGGCTGGGGAGGACGTCACCGCGCTCAAGGACAACAGCCTCGACGAGCAGGCTCGCAAGTACTTCAAGGCCATGGTTGACGGAGACGACAAGGCTGTTGCTCAATGGAGACGATTCCGTGATCTTAGTATCAAGCGTTACAAGGAGACCTACGCCCGTCTTAACATCCACTTTGACGAGTACTCGGGCGAGTCCCAAGTCTCCGAGGAGGATATGGAGGCTGCTGCCAAAAAGCTCGAAGACATGAACATCTCCGAAAAGTCAGAAGGCGCTGTCATCATTGACTTCGCTAAGCACATTCCCGGAAAGCCGGGCAAGAGCTTGGAGCGCCCCATCATTCGCAAGAAGGACGGCACAGCTCTGTACCTGACCCGTGATATCAGCGAACTTCTCCACCGCCAAAAGAAGTACAACTTTGACCACATGATTTACGTCATTGCCTCTCAACAAGATTTGCACTTGAAGCAGCTCTTCAAGATTATCGAGCTTATGGGCCACGGCGAGACGGCCAAGAAGTGCCAGCACATCAACTTTGGTATGGTTCTGGGAATGAGCACCCGCAAGGGTACTGTCAAGTTCTTGGATGACATTCTGCGCGACGTCGGAGACAAGATGCACGAGGTGATGAAGAAGAATGAGGCCAAGTATGCTCAGGTTGCGGAACCGGAGGCTACGGCCGACATTCTTGGCATCAGCAGTGTGATGGTGCAGGATATGAGTGGAAAGAGGTATGTCGTCCGGACTTTTCCTTCCAGGCGCTTTCGGATGCACTGACACATTGGCCCAGGGTCAACAATTACAAGTTCGACATGGACACCATGACCTCGTTCGAGGGTGACACCGGACCGTACCTCCAGTACGCCCACGCTCGCCTGTGCTCCATCTTCCGCAAGGCTGGAGTCGCTGAGGAGGAGATTGCAAAGGCCGATCTTGGCTTGCTGACGGAGAAGCATGCTATTGAGCTGATCCGCGTCATTAGCCAGTACCCCGACGTTGTCCAGAACACTCTCAAGACCTTGGAGCCCACGACTGTGCTTACGTATCTGTTCCGCCTCACGCACGTCGTCAGCAGCAGTTACGATGTGTTGCGTATTGTTGGAAGCGAAGCTGAGCTCCAGAAGGCCCGCTTGGCGCTGTACATGGCCGCCAGGACCGTGCTCTTCAACGGCATGCGTCTCTTGGGACTGTCCCCTGTCGAGAGGTGAGTTCTTCTCCATACGCTGCCGCACGATGCCGTCTGGCATGTGAAACTTGATGCTGACCACCCCACCAGAATGTAAACTGGCATCATGACGGAATCATGACTGTGAGAGACGAGAGTGGAGGGAAAAGTGGTCGTATAGAGAGGACTTGAACAACTAAAAAGACAGCGGAGGATTATGAGCAGAGTGACCTACGGTCACAACAGTGCTCGTACCAATGACGAACACGGGCATAGGAGCTACTACTGCGTAACAGGCCGATACAACGGCTACTAGCCATCAGCCACATTGTGGTGCTATTCCATAATGGCCGACGGCACGAACCGGTGTGGCGTCGCACAAAGTCAAGACGTTTTCGATCAAAGAAGCCACCGACCGTTTCGGTGTACTACAAATCCCCGTGGCCGTCTGTGGCCGTCGTCGTTATCGTCGGACAGACAGCATGAGCCACACAGGATTCGCGTGCACCAGCCCATTAGTGCTGAGTAATTGAAGAGACAATTTTTTTACTATTTACTACCCCAGACTGGAGACGAAGGAGTCATTCAATCTGCAGTGAAGTTTGATGTGCAGGTGGCGACGGCGGCAATTCGACCCAGTAGGGCTGGTTTCTCTGCAGAAGCAGAAGCAGAGGCAACAACAGAAGCAGCAGCAGACTGGATCCAGGCCAAGCAAAGCACGGCATATGTCGAGAGGTCGTGACGAGAGTGTTTCGCAAGAAGCAGGGGATTCACCCACCTACACTCAGGTGAGAAAAGTCTGACCGATGATGACTGTCAAAGCAGAACTGCGCAGCGCGAGCTATGAGCCACAGTGCCACGACAGTCACAATAGGTGGCCTCCCCCTGACGCTCTCCCTCCAAGGAATCAAGAGGCGTTCAACAACTTGTCTAAGGTACCAACATGTGGCTTGTGTCTGACGCTCGGTGAATGGCGTGGGGGAGTTCCATTCCTGGGCGCCAACCAAGTGATCTTCCCGCTCGGATCCCGCTAGGGCGTACTAATCCCTGCCAACACCGAATCTTGCATATGTCGAAACACTAGAGTTGCGATGGCTCTCGACGGCTCTGACTGGTTCTTACTGGCTGTCGCTGGCTCTCACTCGATCTGCGGGTGGCTGTTGGCTACCAATTTCCGACCGCATAGCTTCCGCGACGCCGTGGCTTGCAGTTGATCGACGTCCACAATCTACACATTCAGAGTCGATGACTCTGTGAAGTCTCTCTGCCGACGTCTCCTGGTCAAGTGCCGGAGGAAACCCAAGAACAATATTGATGATTTATCCCTACCTTGCGTTGGGCGTTGTGTGCTGTCTACATGTCCAAGGCCGAGACTGACGTTTGCCCAGGCTCCGGAACACAATAGTAGCGGTGCATCCGGCGTGGGGCACCATGCGGATCGACCTCAGCATCATGGCGGCATGCGAAAACCTCGTCCTGATCTTTTCCAAGCTTCCGCTCAGGACAGAGCAGAATAGCGCGCAAACGAAGGAAGCGAAAACGTCAAGGAGTGGGCCAACGGGCCATCGGGTGTGCCTGGCCTAGCCCTAGAATGGTTCAAGAGAATTGTGACAGCAGCTTCTTCCGACAATTTTAGGCAATCGAGCAGTGCGATTTCTTCTGCTCGTATACTATCCTTGGTTTTAGCTGCAAAGCTAGCGTACTGCCCGGTGAAGTGGCTCGGTGTCTGTGCCGAGACCGGACGGGCCCCGACCTACGCTCCGGTAGCCCACCGCAACAGCTCTACCTGACGCCGGTGCCTAGGTGACTGGTTCAGACGCCCAGTCGACGAGGGCAAAGTGGGACGAGGATGATCCTGTTGCCCACCGCGGGCACTACGGACTTGGACATGGAACAGCTTGGTAGTCACGGTAGCGTGTTTACTCCTTGCTGCAGTGAGATGTCGACTCGGCCAATCTTCTGGCCCCTGTGTTTGGAGCTCTCGCAGATGCAACGCGCATCCCACAGTCACCTCATATTCTAACCGTCTCCTTGGGCCCTAAGCAGCCATGGTCAACCCTGCTGCAGTCCACGAGCCTGCATACCCTCCCACGCAAGATGCAAGGACGGGCATCGGTATTTGCTAGCACTCCGTGAGCTCCAGCTGGGGAGCTCTCGGGGATCTGCCTTTGCCCCTTCCTCGTCTCTTGAGGCGAACCGAGTGTCTGATCTCTGATGTACCTTTCAGGAAGCTCAATGCCCAGATGTCAGAACTCAACGAACCACTTGTCTGGGAAAGGAAGGGAAGGGAGCCAAGCGAGCAAGCAGCAGCAGCAGCAGCACCACCACCACCACCACTACCATTAGCAAGCAGGCAAGCACAACGGCGGCGGCCGACATGCAAGCGCGGCACAAGTATCTTTTGCTATGTTGTCAAGGATTATACACCATCACCGGGGTCCAAGACTCTGGGCATCCGTTGTTGGACCATGGATGGCGGAATGGACGGCGAGGTGGACTGACAAGTTTGCCGCCGCCGCCCGCTGTGCGCCGATCCATGATAGTCGCAATAGGGTGGTATTGGACTTCTTGCCATGGCGCTTGGGGAATCCGGCGAGCGTCCATACTCGCGTGGTTCAGTCATGTTTCCAGACAAAGGGACCGTTGGCCGTTCCCCGTCGGTCCGCTTGGGCGTTCCATGACCGGATGGCTGAACGTGGCCCTCACTCTTCTTAATAACAGCCGAGAGACACACCGTCCTCGAGACCCGTCATCGTGGTTCTTGTCGTTTCTGCTTTCCTGCATCAGCAGGTCTTATTCTTCACTCTCTTTTGTTCTTCACCCCTAATCGACCTTGACGTCGGTTCCCCCCTTTACCCTTCTTCATACTATACCGTAGACAACACTTAGTTGTATTCCCTAATATCACTTGGCCTTGTCACGATGGCCGTAGGCGTGGCAATTCTCGGCTTTATCCTCTTCTGCGCATGGCGCCTTTACTCCGCCATTCAGTTGAAGAAGAGGATTCCAGCGGGAGCAAAGCCTCTTCCTGGACCAAAGGGTAAGCTGTTACGACCACGACATGCCAACGATGGTATACAGACACTGACTTCAGCACAGGCCTGCCCTTTATTGGTCGCGTTCACGATGTTCCGGCAGAGGCGGCATGGATGAAGTTCCATGAATGGGGCCAGCAGTATGGCCCAATCTACGGGCAAGAGATGTTCGGTTCTTACCACGTCTGGATCTCCTCTGAGCAAGTTGCTCACGACCTCCTTGGCCGTCGTAATGTCATCTACTCTGACCGGCCCATGATTCCTAACCTCCCGGATAACCGCACCAGCGGCGACTACCTTGCTCTCCTTGGCCGGACAGGTACATCTTCTACTTGCCTCTCACCTAGATATACTCACTAACAATCCGGTCAGAAACATGGAAGCGCCAGCGCAAGCTTTGCCACCACCTCATGAACCAGAGCGACAAGCAGGAGCTCCACGCATACCCGAGCCGCGAGCGCGATCGTTTCCTGTGGCTTCTCTACCAGAAGCCTGCCGAGTATCGCGAGTACATCGAGCAGTTCACCAGCCGAACCGTCAGTCGCCTTTCTTGGGGTACCGCCCACCCGGCCAGAGTTCTGCGCAAGACCACCTTTGGCCTTCTCGAGACCATCTCCCCTGCCGGTGCTCTTCCTAATGTCATCTCCTTCCTCATGCACGTCCCCGCAGCGCTTTCGCCGTGGAAGAAGAAGGAGGCAGAGCGCCACGATATTGAGTCGAAGCAGTTCACGAGCAACGTCGACTTTGTCAAGGATCAGGTCGAGAAGGGTACCGCCGCGCCGAGCTTCATCAGCACGTTTATCAACGAGGGTCTCGGAAACGAAAAGGGCAAATGGGGCGACCTTGCGGAGGCTCAGAACGTTGTTGGTCTCATGGCCATTGCTGGCGCCTTGACCATCGGTAGCCCCATCCAGAGTTTCCTCCTCGCCATGCTGCACTACCCCGAATGGCAGGCTCGCTTGCAGCAGGAGATTGACGAGAACTGCGAAGGCAGATGCCCTCAATGGTCGGATCGTGAGAAGTTGCCTTTATTGAGAGCTGTCGTCAAGGAAGTCATTCGGTGGAGACCCCCGGTCCCTACTGGTACGTTTTGCGCCATCATAGTGGAAGTTTGTTTTTGAGTTCAGCGCGATTGACGTGACGTGCAGGCATTCCCCACGCTGTCGAAAAGGACGATGTTTACAACGGCTACTTTATCCCTGCCGGTGCCACGATTCATGCTCTTGAATGGTTAGTAGCTCGACACTAGGACCAAGTGTTCGTTCCATTACTAACGCAGCCTAGGGGCATCACTCGCGACGAGTCCGTCTACCCCGATGCTGAGACCTTCAACCCCGGACGCTGGGTGCAGCCTGAGTACCCTACCTACAAGGAACCTCTCACTAGATTCCCCAACCTCGACGGCTTCAGTCAATTCGGTTTCGGACGCAGGACGTGCCAGGGTGTCCCCATTGTTGACCAGGACCTCTTCCTGTCCATGGGAGGCATGGCCTGGGCTTTTAACATTCGCAAGAAGTTCAACGCCGACGGCACTGAGGTCCCCGTGCACTGGAACGACTACACCCCTCTCCTGATCGCCAAGCCCGCTTTCTTCGACTTTGACGTTGTCGCGCGCACGCCCGAAAAGGCCGACCTTATGAAGGCCATGTTCGATGCCGCTAAGGAGGAAGACGAGAATGAGGAGCTCATGATGAAGATGGGTATGCCTGACATCGACACCCGCGAGAAGAAGAGGGCTGCCATGTCTGTCAAGCCGCCTTCCGTCACGTTGAATCTCCGCCAAAGAAAGGAGGATGGCGAGCGCGAGAAGCAGTACCGCGAACACGAGCGCGACATCCCCGGATGCCCTGGCCGATGGGCGACTGAGAGCGACGTGGATTCGGGTAACGAGAAGGGATATGTTGATGGAGAGGACAGCGCCAGCGCCAGCTGCTCTGGACGCTCGTCGCCGACGATGCTGTCATAAGATCACTATGGCTATGGGCGTAAAGGTGATGAGTCTAATGAGGATGGATGGCAAGAATGTTTGATGATAGGATAAGATACTGGTGAGATCATGGACGGCGCTGATGGATCATTCGGATTGATATCAGGGATTCCCTTTGTTTACGGGCTCATTTTTTCAAACGGAAAGATGCCGATGCTACTGAAGGAGCTGGTCATCTGGAGGTCTAGAATGTGACATGGATGGATATACCTTCTACGATGTATGAATATAGAAATTTACACTTATACCACAATCATTCAAAAAAAGAAAATCCAAACGACTCTCCAACTCATAGTGCCTAGCGTGAACAACGAGGTCATAGGCTGGGTGATGCAGGAACAACGCCGGCCCCGCAATTGCGATCCGCCGCGCACACTTCAGGTGGATCATGATAGCTTCATAAAAACCAAAAACATACAACACCAGGTATTCGCTGGTCGTCACCGACCCAACTACTAATCCGGCCCTCATCGGCTTATCTATGGGAGAGCGGACGGGATCCCGAGTTTTCCAATGGGTATGGTCGTATGTGGTGGTTGAGACTCGTGCTGGTGCTCATGATCGACTTCGCAGACAACACCGTGATGCTGTCTTTCGCCACAACACAACCTCAACGAATCTGAAAGAAAATCCTCAAAAGAACACTAACGGCGTCTAGCGCTTCTCGAAACGGTGGCAAGAATCCAAACGGAACGGTAGTGGAGCCCGTGGTCCCGTTGAGATCAGATCGTGACAGATATCCGTCCGTTCAAGTTTCGGCGGCCTGCCGCTGGGGGTGTCACAGACTCACGTTCCCTTTGAGATGACTAAGCGGCGAACGGCATCTAGTGGATGGAAATTTGAATTACTGTGACTTTCCCAACGGGCAAAGAGCTGGTCGAAGCTGAGCTGAGCTGGAGCTGGAGCTTCAAGCTGGGTAGAGCTGGAGCTCCCAAAGGGGGGCAGGGGGGCGAATGGCAAAGCTCTCCGACATGCCAAGCCCTACGCACAGGATTCACGGTTCCGACGACCGCTACGGCCATCTCTGCCTTAGCTTCTTGTCGAGGCGATGGACGAATGGGGATTTGAGTACGTTTCGTCCTGGAAATGATGCGATTCGTCAGAGTACGGGAAGGGCCTAGAAGGGAGGTAGGTTCTGGACCTTTGACGCGCCGAACGGCGAACGGGCGGTGGCCCAAGGGGGATGAGATGTGTCAGAGGAGGAACGAGAGCCCGAGATCCATGACGGCCTGAAGGGTATTGAGGTAGGTGATGGGATGGGATGATCTGAGATTTAGCCTCCTTTCACACCCGTGGGGGAGGGAACACTCACCCAAAGTAGTAGCAGCAGCTTTCACCAAAGCTTGAAATGGGGGAGAGACGGGATGAACTCTGAGTTAATCGGGAATCGAAGCGGGCCCGAGGCCTTCCACTTTTCATGATTATTTGGCATTGTCGCCGACGTTAATTCGCCGCTCACTTGATTTCGCGATCTCGGAGTGATCCCTTCTTTTTTTGAGTTGAAAGGTAGGCATTGTCGGGTTGCCGAGGGGATCTGGTTCCGCCCCAAGCTCTCACAATTAAGCTTAGAAGCTTTTGCTTGTGTCCTAGAGCTTTGTGTTTGGACGATATTGACAGTTTTGATGTTTGTATTCCATCAAGATTAGCGTTTGTTTCGAGAGTCTCAAAACAGGATGTCCCCTTCACTCCCGTCTCGTTCGTTGATGTGTTTGGGAAGCCAAATTGCTGGGTTGAACTAAACGGCCTCATGTACAAGCGACCCTGATACTAGTCTATAACTCTGCTCACTTTCCGTCGGCTCCGTTAAGCTTTATGTTCGCCTTTCTCTTACTTCGAACGGGCGGTTGTAGCTTCCCGCTTCGCTAAGTCAGACCCCCGCTGTATTGTCAAAGATTGAAAATTGAGACTCTTGACCCTTACCTTTTCCACAGACTTTTGGCAACTCCACATAAGGCTTTCTGATAGGCACACAGGAGCCGCCAGTATTAGAACTAGCAAATCCGTACAAAGACGGCTGATGCTTTGCAGGGCTGAGATCGGGAATCGCTTGGCTGTTGTCAGGCGATGATCAGACTACCCCGAGGCGCCTCCAGAGGAACTTACCGGGCAGGCATTGATCGCTCGGACTACCTTTCCTTACCGAGGGATTCCTGTCCGAATCCTCCCGGCTCTGTGACTCAATGATCCAGATACTGGCCACTGCTTCCAGCATGTGTTATGTGCTATGCATATAGCCCTTGATGGGCTCGAGGCTCGAAAAGAGTGCGTTGTGGCCCAAGTTTAACGCATGAGAAGCTTCTTTCCATAGGGCATCCTTGTGATCTTTGCTAGGTCCGTTGAGAGACATGCTAATCGACTTTAGCTCGAGTTAGCTTATCGAAAGACGCTATGATTCTAGTGAATTCAAAAATTGCGAGACGCTAATTGAGATCCCTCACGGAGCATTCGGAAGCCGTCAATATGTGGATTGGTATCATGCAGCAAAGGCCATCAGAGGAACACGTGAACACAAGGCTCTGGCCACATTTTTGCTTTACCCTCAGACGTAAAAATCCAGGTGACCATTTCGAATGCTGAGATTTGGCGATACCCTTGCGTTGGAAGGCGTACAAGTGACTCCATACCCAAGGCTTCACAGAAGACTGATCGATATTGGCCTGACTGGTACAGGTCTCAACCCAGCTAAGTTCCTGAAGAAATTTGGTCAATTGTTTACAGAAGCTGGATGCAACCAGTTTGAATAGACACAAATTGATCTTGTAAACTTCAAGAATACGCTATTGTTGAATACAAAAGGTAATCAGAGGGAGACCTGAAGGATCCAAGGTGTTAGGCCCAAGCCCCGGTAGTCTTTTGACTGTTAACTAGACGTGCATGGATGTATCCCAACTGCCTTGCTCTACATAATGCTCCCTAGTTCTCTCCTCCGCAGCTCTCAAACAATCACTCGTCACAGGGGTGTCTCTGGGGATGAGCTTTACCTTGAAGTCCTTCGGGATCGCCACCAAAGCCGTCTTGAACTGGTTATACTCGACATAGTCAGTATTCGGAGGTTCTTCTTCGCTTGCAACAATCTTGTACGAAGATAGCAGCCGCACCAAGGCCGCATATAGTAGACGCTGGGCGATGTACTGCCCGGAGCAGCCGCGGGAACCCAATCCAAAGCTGAGGTGACCGACGCCTGAGATCTCCTTTTCTGTTGGGGGATTGAGACTTTCAAGCCACCGCTCAGGATCGAAATGACCGGCATCATCACCAAAATGTCTGACATCTTGCACAACGTCAGTAAGACTAAGAAACCTTCAGTCACTTGGGGAGAGAGTGACGCACCATGATTTCCGGCTTGTGCGTTGACCAAGATCATTGTCTTAGGGGGTATGATGGCTCCGTTCCAATTCACTTCGGTGACGGTCTTTCGGGGAAGACTCATAGAACTGACTGTGTAGTACCTCCCAGCTTCCCTAATAATGGCGTTGATGTAGGGAATTTTCTCTTCTGCGTAGCAGGAAGCCCATGCTTCGCGCACGTCTGGGTAGTAACGCTTGATGTCTTCGTAAGCCCGGTCCTGCCAGGCCTGTCCCTCCTTTGTGGCAAGGGATCCGATAGCCGAGGTGAGAGTCCCCGGTATCGTCTCGAATCCTCCGGACACAAGCGACAGGCAGATGGATGAGACTTCAACCCCGCTAAGCTTAGTTTCTTCGTTCTTCAAAATTGCTGCTGAAATGCAGGGCTTATCGGTGCCCCGCTTGATCTGCTCCCGCACTTTATCCAGAAGCAGATTCAAATACGCGTCTCGGCGTTCCCTGAGATCTTTAGAACGACGGCTCTTCTCATTGTTTGGGAAGTACCGCATGATGGGGACGTAGTCTTGGGTGTTCTCTGAAGCACTACGCAAGAGCGAGATTGCCGAACCAACGTGCAGAATCTCGCGTAACAGGTCATCGTAGACAGCGTCCATTCGAATACCGTAGCAGAGCGTCAAGGTGGTGTTCAACGCATATCGCTGGATATACGGTCGCACGCTAATCTCCACCTCACCGTTGCGACTATCCTTATGCAGATCTCGGAGGATGCAATAGCTCTCGAGGTCGAACATCGGATAGTAACTCCGAAGGGCGGGTCTTCCAAGCGCCGTGCCTGCGGCCTTGCGTTTCCGGCGGCACGAGTCATCCCAGGGCGACGACCCGATCGTGAAGCCCTGCGTACTGCTGATGAGACCGTGGAAGGTGTACAATTTCGGCCGGTCAATGACTGCATTCTGATAGCCAATGAGCAGACGACGGATGTCTTCATATGAGTTGAACACTACGGCTCTCGTGTTTCCCAGCTTAATTTGGAAGGTGGATGGGTTCCCTTTCCGCCACCAATTCTCGCAAGTGCTCGCGTGGTCTTCGCCGAGCCTTAGAAGATGTCCAAAAATTGGAACAGCGCCAGGCATTTGAGGAAGTCCCTTGATGTGAGGGATGTCAGTGCCGAAGGCAACCTGTGAAGTCAGCATTCTCATCGTAGAGCTAGGTGGATAGTCGGAAATGCTGAACGAGCTTACATTATAGGCGACATAGCAGGCCAGTAACGCCAGAGTCGTTGCGAGGACAGGCCCGAGTGAGAAAGCCTCTTCAATAACCCCTTTATGCCCCAGAGACTGGAACGATCTCGTTAAATTGAGCAAAGTTGACATCATGAGCTGGCCCTTTCTGCGATCGCTTCTCGCCGAACATGAGGAATGGAGTCAGTCTGCTGGATCCGTAGTAAAGGGTCACCAGGACGTTGCCGACAGTACTTATATGACTCCGGATTGAGGAGAATATAGCAAGATCGTTGGAATTCGCACAAAGATCTCTCATGCATCAATTTTCCCCTCAATCACGGTCATGTCGGTCGGAGGTCGAACAGTGATGTGGCGATTAATCATCGGACGACCCGATACCTCCAACTGCAGGCTTATCATTCGTGTCGGACAAGCCGCCCACCGACCACTGGTAATATAGACGTCATTTGAACAGATAGGATTGACTGGGTAAGATAGTAAGAGACCTAGGTAGCTCGTCTTTTGGCTTTTCAGCTCACGCCTCGTTGACTTCCATCATTTCTTTGTACCTAGTAGATATCTGTTCAACCATTCGACATATCTTGCCAGCCACAGGGAACTTGACGCTAAGCTTGTCAAATAGCTCGATAGTCAAGTCAAGGTCCGCCACTGCTCCCTTGTCTCTCAAAACAGAGATGAGATTATCAGGTTGGGCAGTTGTAGCGTATATTAGGGACAAAGTTGCGGTAAATATCGAGAGAAGGTTGAGCCAATTGTATGCAAGACACCTTTGGCGGTGCATATTAGATACTTGACGAATCGACATGGATGCAGCTTCCGCTAACACTTTGACACGGGGTTCTGGCAGAGTCGGGAATAGCGGAGATGGTCGATACAACATGGCGACGTGGAGATAATAGTTGAAGTCATACCAGCTGCTGTTGAGGTGCGGCACTGCGGCGTCGGTGTTTGGAAGAGGAAATGGCATATTGCGACGCCAGTTAAGAAGTCTTTGGTGGAGCGAGTTTGATACCTCCTCGCGCTGTTCGGCATTGAGGCTGGCTGACATTCGGTGCGAATAGACTGAAGTCGTGATGTTGCTGGCAATCTGCCGTAGCTCGAGGATGTGGAGAGGAACGGTCAGTATAGAAGGCTTAAATGAGTTCTCGGGCAGATCAATTTGTGCCCCAACGTCACTATCATATTCCACCGCGAAGGGCTTGAAATTTGAGTCAGTTGATGGGCGAGAAGTTGAACAATTAAGTCCCGAGAGAGTGCCTATCTTACCGTCACATCGATGTCATCTTCATTGATGGCGAATGGGCGACCTAGAGCTATAGATACTACGCTGTTGGATAGGATCAGTATGCCAGGCATTGCGGTATTATAGATCGTGAGGACTCACCGATCCATCATGTAAACGGAAAAGAAGAGCCTCTTCCGCTTTTCAGACACGTCGGCTGGTAGGCCTTCGTAGGTTGAGGAAGCATGCATGCCTAATCCAATTGCCATACGTGCACCGAGACCAACCAATGTCCATGTATCTGTTATCAGAAAAGTGAGCAAGAGTATCCAAACGAATTTCTGGCATCGCTTACTGGGTCCAAGCTGGTTGAAGAAAGAATAAGATACTTGCAGAAGTAAAACTTCCAACGCGGCCTTCAGTTATGTGTCAGCCTTCACATCCCCCCTAAACTCACTTACAAGGAGATTCATACCATGTATCCATAATCGAGAGACCCCTCAAAGTGCTCGAGTGCTTTCTTGTAGTACATCATTGATTCGTGCTCATCTGAAAGGGTGACTGAGCATTGCGCAGTTGATCCAATGGCAAGGACCATCCATAGGCGAAATTGACAGAGGGATGATTGAGCTAAAGCACACTGAGGATCCGCTCGAACATGCTCCAGTATATTATTGAACTCCTGGCGGTGAACGATCGGGTATAGCGTATGCGAGTGAGCAAAGTAGAAACGTATGAGCTGGTCAACATGACTGCCTTCAAGAGAGACCTGTTGCTCTGGAAGGGAGATGGGCTCGGTTGGCGCGGTCGGGGAGAACCCGTCAAGCATCGAAGGGTAGCACATGAAAGGGTCTCTGAATCCACTGAACAATGTTGAATCCAAGAGGTCCGAAGTCGAGGAGGGAAGGTTCAACTGCGGCCACATGCCACCCTCGGGTTCAAAATGAGCGAAGCTAAAGTCGGCCTTGTCGGGATTCAGACGCCGAAGAACGGTTTGTGTCAGCTTGGCGAAGGAGAGGCCGGAGGAAGATCCCAAATGACGATCAGCCGTTGCCTCGAAGGAGAGGATTTTGAGCTCTTCGACGAAGGAAAGGGAGGACTGCAAGAGAGGCAGCTGGGTAGGCGAGGGCTCATAAAGCAAGTTCGTGCTGTTTGCCTCCGTCTCTTGACGACCGAGGGCAATATTAATATCACTTGTATCCGGATTTATGAGTTCCGCTCGAGAGTCTAGTTCTCTTCCTGTCGCGGATCTTAGTGAATTGATTTCCTTTTCGAGAGACTTGACTTTTGCCTCGAGACTGCGCACGTATCTATTCAATATGTTTTATTCAGCAAACGTCAAAGAGTTTATATACTATCAAAAAAGGATATCACTTACGTGACGGGGTAAGATGCCATAACTCGATCATCATCGAGGAAGCTGCACGACACTCGAGCCCCGCTACAGTTCCTGCATTGGGGCAACCCGCGATCACATCTTTTCTTTCGTCGGTGACATCGCTTGCACGACGTTTTAGCTTGAGCGTCCGCAAATTCTGGTGCCATGTCTGATGACTGTGACAACGTTGGGATGTAAGTGAGAGGACAGTCGGATCTCCCGACGGCAGTTAGCGGTACGTTGAGGAATTACCCCGCCCTCGTCTGATAACGGGAGAGGTTGCATATCGGCTGGGCCGACGACCAGCGAAAGAGCCCGATAAGCGATCAACCGCTTACAGAGGCGAAGTTGAGCATCGAACAGCTTTTGACATAACCTCATAAGTGGTTCGTACACTTCGTTGAAGATTCTAAGGATGGCTTCACTCGACATTACGCGACTCTTTTCGGTCAAGGGCTATGTGGCCGTGGTGACTGGAGGCAGTAGCGGACTGGGCCTAATGATAGCAAAGGTATGTAACCCAACATCTCAGTATAATGACTCAAGGCCGAGAGACCATGATCCTTTGTAGCAACTTGAATACTCATTTCAGACTACTAGGGCCTCGTCACGAATGGTGCCAAGGTGTACGTGGCTGCTTTACCAACTGACGTCATTGATGAAGCTGTCAAAGAGCTCAACGAGTTGGGCAAGTCTTCTGAGGGGAATGCAATAGGGTATTGCAGAAATTCTAGCTCATGACATCGCGTCTCTGACTTCTGCAGTGTGCCATGCGACCTGTCGTCGCATGATGAAGTAACAAAGCTGGTAAAATATGTTCAACAACGCGAACACAGCCTTGACTTATTAGTGTCAAACGCTGGTATTCGACGGGATCCGCTGGATCTTTGCGACCTGGAGACTGATAATGTCCTCGAATTGCAAGCTTCAATGCAGTCTTCGAGGCCGTCTGACTGGAAAGACACATTTTCCATCAACGTGACATCACACTATTACCTGGCTGTCGCATTCCTTCCCCTGCTGCATGCTGCCGCTTCCCATAATGATGACGACGGTCCCGGTAGTCGTCAAGGACGTGGCGCCATGATCATGACGAGCTCATGTGCTAGTATGCACAACGTTACCAATATTGACCTGACGAGCTACGCTGCAAGCAAAGCCGCTACGGATCACCTAGTGAAGCTTCTGGCCGCCAAGTTCAGAAATTTCTACGTTCGAGTTGTGGGGTTGAATCCTGGCTGTAAGTGACAACAAAGTCGTTGGTAGCTGAGATTACTGATCATATGGAATTCCCCTAGTCTTTCCAAGTCGTATGAATCCTGTTGGAGAGGAAGGCAATGTGTTTAGTTCCTTGTTCAACAAGGTTCCTGCCAAAAGAGCTGGTCAAGAGGAAGACATCGCCGGCGCGGTGATTTATCTTGCTAGCAAAGCTGGGGTAAGCCTCAAGTCTTCTCGTTCCGACATTCAAGTCCCAAACTTCAACACCAGTTGCAACCTTATCCTTGCGTTCCTTTATCAACTGACCTACGAAATAAGTCTTACGTTGACGGCATCAACTTATGCATTGATGGTGGCCGCATTCTTGTGGCAAATGGGCAGGAATGAAGTTTCGCGGATAGATGCATCAACGAGGCTTTGCAACATGGGATTAGATAGATTAGTATTCACTGTAGTATGTACTTCACGATACTCTCCTTTCATCAAAAGTAGCTCTCGTAGCAGCGTTATCCGTCGCAGCCCTCGCCTCATACGCATGTCTTTCCTCTGCAGGTAGAGCTTCCCAGCTTCTCAACACTTCCTGCCAGTCATTTTCTTGCTCATCGCGAAACACGCTCAGCCCGGTGATCATTCCCAGGCACGCAGGCACGCCAGGAGGCCTCTCCCCACGGCTCGCAAGCCCTGCGAAGTTCCTCCCTTGTTGCTGATGCTCTCCTGCAAATGGAAGAGCAAAAGCTGCCGGCCATTCGGCTAGAGCTGTCTCATGCTGAGCCCCAGTCTCACATCGTAGCATCTCCGACTAAGCACGGCACGTTACCTTTTGTTCTCCGGATAGTGCGTGCCAACCAAGCTCAACGTCATAACTTGAAATACCCGCTTCGTTAGCGAACAGGGTGATTGGGGTGAACGGCGTAGCTGCAGGTGGCCATGGGCCAGATCCGAAGCGGTCAGCGCGCGAAGGAGGAGCTCTGACCGGCCATGGTGACGGGGAGCCGATGGTAGAAAATAGAGATGGAATCTATGAAGATTCTCGTATAGTGGCGAGGTGTTCGCTGATCCGAGCGGCCAACTCTTCGTCCAGGTTGCCGAGCTGATGGTGCCCGTGGAGAGCCCTCATGGCGTTGATCTTACTTTACATGGGGCGGAGATTTGTCCAACGTCAGCAAAGAATCCGCTTTGTCGCAATCCTTTTCGTCTCATTGCAGGCAGCAGTGATCATGAAATGTCTTGGACGAAGATGCAGGTGGATTCACGGTGTTGAGAGATATAGTCTTAAAACTTTCAATTGGAATAATCCTCAGTTGTGTTTCTGCCCATGGGATATCTATTTCTTTCACCCTAAACGCCGATGATATAATGGACGGATATGTCAACACGACTCTACCCAAATAGTTTGTCTAGAACCTTTTCAAAGACGTTCCTGGTCATGCCCGTTAGAACCACTTGTTGATTATCGGATAAGATTGGCAACTTACTTGGCAGGAGTAGGTACGAACGTCCTCTCATACTCGTCAATCTCATCCTTGTTGCGGTACAGGTCGACCTCTTCAGGTTTGAAGATCTTGGTCTTCTTGAGGAATTTCCAGCCCAGGTACAGCACAGGGAAAATGCCGACCATCGTATACCTCGTGCTTGTCAGTATACCATGCAGGCTAGCTAAAAGACGATGGTTGGCTTACGAGAAGAGAAAATCAGGGATACTCCAGTACCCATCCAGAGGCAAGAAAACGGTGTACCCTCCAACGAACGTCATGATGAAGGTGCCGATGAGACCGTACCAGGCAGCGTACGGCTGGAACCAAGCCTTGTAGGGAAGGGTATCGCGACTGATGCCTTGGGCCTTGAGCGCACGATAGAACCCAAGATATGCCGTGCACATGCAGGAGAAGTTGATCAACTGCGACGCGGTGACCAAGCTCACAAACCAATTCAGCACAACAGCAGTGTTGGCACTGAGTTGCAGGAAGCTGAGCAGGCCGATGAGCAAGACGGCGATGACGCAGTAGACCGGAACGCCCTTCTTCGTGCACTTCTTGAAAAACGCGGGCGCCTTGCCCTCAAGTGCCAGTCCGTACAGCGATCGTGAAGCACAGTAGACGTACGAATTACCCGCAGAGAAGGCGGCTGTGAGGACCATGGCGTTGACGATGTGGGGCAGGCCACTGATCTTGAGGCGATTCATGGCGACGACGTAGGGCGAGGCCGAGGCGCCGGGTTCGCCGTCCTTGAAGGCGCGGGTAAGCTCTTCGTCGTTGTAGGGGACGAGGATGCCGACGCAGAGGGAGCCAAGGACGAAGAAGGCGGTCAGGCGGTAGAAGACGGCGTTGAAGGCGCGGGGCATGACTTTGCGCGGGTTCTCGGCCTCGCCGGCGGCCATGGCAACGTAATCCGGTCCTGCGATGGTGAAAGAAGCCTGGATCAGGCATTGCAGGAAGCCGAGAAAGCGTCCGAGGGAGCCGCTGTAGTATAGCTCTGTGAATGCGCCTGGTTCGTACCAGTATCTAGATGGGTCAACTCGGTTAGAGGACTAGGCTGATGGGAGAGAGTAGAGACAATTGCCTACCGGAAGCCGAATCTGTCTCCAAGCGGGTTTCCTATGAACAAGATAAGTATTGTGTTTCCAATTGGCGAGCATGTTACGTATGAAGTTGCATACCTCCCAGCATGACGATGAACGTAAAGATGATGAGTCCCACGATGAGCAAGAACTTGCCAAGCGCAGCCCAGAACTCTGTCTCGCCGTACCACTGCACCGCCATGACATTGATAATACCATAAAGGACGAGAATGATGGCAATGATGCCTCCAGCCGGTACGACGTCGCTCCAAAAGTGGATGATGAGGTTGCAGGCGACGACCTCAAATGGTACAAGAGCAGCCTCAAAGACGAAAAAGTTCCAGCCGGCAGCGAACCCAAAGGCCTCATCGACGTAGCGACCGGCGAAGCGGATGAAGGGACTCGAAATCGGGAGGTAGGTGACCATCTCGGCCATGCTCAGGGTCACGGCCAGGATGAAAGTACACCAGATGGTGAAGGCGAGGAATAAGCTGGCGGGGCCGCCATTGAGCAAACCCCTTCCGATTTGAACCTATAGTTGTTGTGTGAGTACCTGATATGCGATGTGAATTCCTATCGACTCGTGCTTCAAGGTGACGTACGTAAAGAGCGGTTCCTGCATATAATGTGAGTTGGGTTGATCTCTGTGTATCACGTCTAAGGACCTACCAATTGTTCCGCCAATGCCAATCAGTTGGATGTGGCGCGACTTGAGCTTGCGGTGAGTATGGTCTCCCTTGTCGCCAGAATCGAGCGAAGACCGAAATCCGCCGTCTAAGGGTTCGCCATATGGCTCACCGACGCCCTTCTCATCGGGGAAACGGCCATGTTCGGAGTAGCCGCCTCCATAATTCGGAAGGCCGTCGCGGTGTCCCGCTCGCTCGATGCCGGTGGATGACATGGTCGGTCGGTCGGGGCGAGGGGAAAGATGTGGGGGATTAGGCCCGGTTTAGTGGGGGATCTCGGCGCGGCCTCGTTTCGAGTCGAGCCGGAAGAGTGAACGGAGGAGAAGGGGGGCTCGACAGTCCAGATGCGCCCTCGTGACGGGTTGAGCGAAGTTGATGATCTTGGAATTGATTTGCAGCCTTGGAGAAGTCACAGTTATGTAAGCCTCAAATTACCAAAGGGCTTTGAGAAGAAGACAGAAGAATTGGACTTTGAATTCCATGAGGGTTTCACACTGCACACAAGCACCGGTCGATGTCTCGGGGGTTGATGTGGATTTGGCTCTTCGCGTTGGAAGAAGGACGTTAGGAAAAGCCTCACGTAGGAGAAGAGGAAGAAGAGCGAGAAAGGACCGAGAGAGCTCTTCGGCGCGACCAACACTGCGACCGCAGATCCTTTTCAAGAATTCCCAAAGATCAGGGACCGCAGCAATTACACTGCAGCGTCGCAGCAGACAGAGAGGCGGGAACAGTGGGGTGAGACTGAGGGGTGAAGGACTGCAAGAGGGAGAGGTCTGCAGGAGAGTGGATGTCTCTGTGCGAACCATGCCCAACGCGGGATGGGCCCGAAGAGGTATGAGGGCGTAGTGAGGAGGCGGCGACCAGGGGATGGGGGAAGATGGGGGCGGTCCAGCTTGTTTCTTCCGGGGATCGTTCCCTGTCTTTTCCTATCCTCGGAGATCATGCCAGACGGGTTATTGTATCTCCATTCAAGAGTCTGTGGCCGGCGTAGCTATCTGTAATTAGTAATGAAAATACTTTGGTTTTTTATCACGATTCTGGTGGTAATAGCTCAGTCTCTCGGGTTGGCTTCTCTAATTAGACTCCGAGGAAAATGTTTCCGAGTCCCGGCAAGTCGTTGGTCCCTGAAGACGAATCTGCAGCGCGGGCAAAGACTGGCCAGAGCTCGAGAGTCGACAAGGTTCACCCACAAACATTCTACAAGAGGGGTACTTGGATGAACGTAACTATGTGTACCATGGTGCTTGATGACGCCCTAGAGAAGATAGGGAGCCTTATCAGACCTGTTCGAGTAGGTAGGTAGAGTCTTCAGAGACGCCGCGTGTTGTGCGACGGTCACATTGCTTGCGTCGTTGGTTGGTGCTATGATTTCCCACACTGCTATCAAGCGTGATCGTCCAAATATTTACAGGCGGGAGAAGCAGAATGAGAGATTCGGTGACGGAGAGCCCACTATGTTGGGTCAGCTGCAGGTGTCTGGTCCTCTGCAGGATGCACATCGCTGCCAGTGACATACCGATAGCTCTCGGTCTATCTGGACCGGGGCTCTCTTGATTGCCATTGATTGACTGCTGACAGCAGTTCGAGACCATTCGCCGGCGCGACCCAGCAGCTTGGCATCGGTGTGTCCGGTCCATGTTCCATCCCACGCGGCCTAGCAGCGTGGCTTGCGCTGCTTATGGAAAGCGTAGTACGACCTTTCGACGGGAAGAACGAGGCATTTTCATACCAAGTGAAGATGAGACTTTTGCCAACGATTGGCTGCCCATTGCGTGCTTCGTGTGGGTGAAGGCGCCGTTCCAGCTGCCGTTCGCCGCATGGATAGCAGGTCCGGTTATTTGAACCACATACCTGGTCCTGGGCTCTGGCGAAATATGATTGAGCAATATTGCGATGGACCCCTTGAGCCAAGGCAGAGCGAAGCTTTTGGGGATTAGCGACAAGCAATGAGGCTGCCCGGGGACAAGAACTGTTTTATCGCGGGATAGCTAGGCGCATTGGCGACTTGGCTTTCGAGGGCAAAGAAGCTTCATTTGCTGCTCACATCACGTCAAGTACCCCGCGGGAGACGGAAATGCCTGCTCTGTGATTGCGCAGGTGGCTGGTTGAGTTGTCTGCGCCTCTAGCAGCACCCAGGAAAGAATCCCATTCCCATTCCCCGATTGCGTTACCGTAAGTTTTGATTGTACCTCTTGGCATCTTGGCAGAAACATGAAGCCAATTGCTTTGCCAACTGCTATGCCAATTTGCCGTTGAGAGCCGGTCGGGATCCCTTGGCAGGCTAGAGTTCTACGTCACGCTATCAAGCAATGATAACTCGTCAACTGCTCTGGAGCGTCTCTCATTGGGCGGGCGAAAGATGGATGAGCCCATTGTTTACGGCGTCGACGGCGTACCTACACAGTACCTAGTGTCTCCGCGCCGCCTGCAGAGTCTTGGCCTCTGGAAGGTAACGTATCCACGAATTTGAGATGGCCAAAGTGAGACTGATGGTATCATTGGTCCAAGTCCGAATGATGAAATGGAAGCAAGCTACGGAGTACTGGTGAACCCATTGGATTGAGTTTGGCGAGAAATTGAAATGAGGACTTATTGACTCGGGCCGTCTTCTTGTTCCTCCTAGACCTCGGCCGGGTCGCGCTCACTACATCCACCCAGAACCTCGGAACGGAATCACAATTCGGTACCATTCGTCAATACTTAACGGCTCATTCAGTCATTGACGTTCAGTGGTACATGAATACTCCAGAAGCGGGTGTGTGCACATAGCGTCGTCTGGCGCAGGAACGCGCGCCGCGCCGCGAACCTTCAGGTTTTTGGCGGCGCCCCAGTGCCTAGAACCGCTGCATTCGTTGCCCTTAAACCTAGTTGGAACTCCTCGCTGGAAGTCGCAGTTCACCGGGGAGAATTCCTCCTAGTTCCACCGTCGGGACCCTCCCGAAATTTCCAGTCGACATCCATTTTCACGTGCTCTGAAGCCTTTTGATAAAGAGCGAATACGGAGTACACGCTTCCGATGATGCTTTCGTTTCAGAGTACACTACTTGTTGATACATGAATATGTGGTCGTGTGCAGCAAGGCGGCATCTAGAGCTCCTAGGAAATTGACCACAACCAGCGCAGTAACTACGCTTGCTTTTGATTTTCTCAGGTGTTCGCAACTCCAGCAATTACCATGTGCAAACAATGAAAAGGCAGCACACTACTCTAAAGCTACACTAGATCGGGCCATCATCGCAATTTCGAAGACTCGATGAGCAATGTGTCTGAAGCAGCCTTGTAACGCGAAAGTAGGTTCCAACGCGCTTGGGGCTCTACTCTATAGCATGACCCGCGATTCAGGCCTTCAGCGACAAGCACCAATCACAACGGTCTATTAGTCTAGTTGGTTAGGACGTCGGATTCTGATTCTCAGAACCTTCCGTAGGCCCAGGTTCGAATCCTGGATGGACCTCGTTTGTTTTTGCCTCAACCACAAACTCCAGTCAGGTTTCATTTTTGCCGTTGTCAACTAGCCCTACGTCTTCCTCGTCATATTGCTCATTTTGGGCATGTTCCGCCCAGACGTTCACCACCTGGCGACCTTCTCATCAGACCAGTACTCTCCAGTCTTGCCACCAATATCCGCAATCGCCAGATGCACAGGTGTCTGCGCACCCTCATCAGGCGTCTTTGTGCCGCCGCCTCGCGTCATATCCGTGACCACGTACCCGGGATGGCACGAGTTGACGAGCAGCTTGCTTCCCTTGTCCTGCAACTCCTTGGCCATGGCCTTGGTCATGCCAATCTCGCCAGCTTTAGAGACCGCGTACGCGGCGCTGGGCCAACCTTGCTTCTCGTGCGTGCCCTTCTCGACCGCGGCGGTGAAGTCTTCCATCAGCTTGGTGACGTCCGACACGGACTGCGCGTCAAGGAAGCGCTGCTTGATGTCTGGCGAGTACTTGCTCAGGGACCCTGATACCGATGCCACGTTGACGATACGCCCGTCTGGCTTCATAACCGGGATCCAGGCGCGTGTCGCTTCCAGTGTACCGTAGTAGTTGCATGCCAGGGTGTTCTTCACCACGTTTGAGTCTTGTGCACGGAGAGTTAGCTTCTATGTTGAACCATCGCAGCACTTGATGATCGCGCTTACCAAACCCTTGCATGGCAATACCAGCGTTGTTGATGATGAAATCAACGCCATCGGGATGTTCCTTTTTCAGAAATGATGCGAGGTTCGAGATGCTGGATGGATCTGAGATGTCAAGCTGGTGGTACTTGATGTCCGCCGCGCCACCGTGGGTAGACAGGGCCTTGGCCTGCTTGAGATCCGCGTCGCCTTGAATCTTGCTGAGTGCTTGCTCACCGCGAGACTTGTCGCGCGCAGTTAGATAGATGAGCAGCGAGCCATTGTTTAGATGGGAATTGGGATATTGCAGCGCGAGCTGTCGGACTGGTGAGAGAGTAAGAAGTTAGTTGAAATGACGCGATTCTGGGGTGGGATGAGATCCTACCGACTGCAAATCCGATGCCCTTGTTGGCACCGGTCACCACACCAACTCGGGAGTATGTCATGACGTTTCTCGTAAAGGGGACTCTTTAAATACAAATTTGGAAGAATCAAGGTCAAAAGAAGGGGATTCGCTCAAGAAAGCTGATCATATTGGCACGAACTGTTTACTGATCCATGACATCACTAAGTTAACATTCGACTGTGCATTAGTCATCGCGTAGCGCACTGAAGTTCTCTCTTCTTCCAGGTCTCAGCCGGCGACACTACGGTCACCTACAGCATGTACAGGCCCCAGTGGGTCCGAACCCGAACCCGAACGCCTCGGCCGGGACGCGGAGAAGTGGAGTGACACCGGTCCCGCGCCGTTCGGCCCGGGGGTGCAAGTACGATGTGCATCGCACCGCTGATGGCTGCCATTCTAACCCCCTTTACCACTTCACCGCCGACTCGAAGAAGTACCCTGCGTCGAGTTAGTGCGTCCAGGTTGGCGGCCCACAGTCGAGACGGAGGTTTTCACCAGTCACGACACCGAAATATGCACTCGGGTGCGCAGCCTATTTCCAAGAGTAGCTATGATGTGATTGATGCAGCATGAGAGGGTGCTTCACGTGCAGCTTGCATTATGAATGAAAGGTGCGATTGGCATGTTGAAGCACAGTATGCAGCGAGATAGAGAGCCCATCGCTCCGCCCAAGGGTGGCTTTTGGAGAGGCAAGCCTCACTTTCCCTTCTGCCGATGACCTCCTACAGCATGAAATGCTATGCAGAAGGCCACGTGCGGGGTTTGCTGTTCGAGCCTACATTCACCCCGGGGCGATTCGCTCTCGAGGATATTAGAGCGCTATTGCTCCTGCTTTTTCTTCACGTCTGGGGAGATTGTGAGTTACGTGGCCATAAATTCAATCAACACAACGTCTACATCTTTTCTACCCTTGAGATTTGCAACTCAATTGAAATGGCCGACATACTTGGAGTAGTTGCTAGCGTCGCAGCTCTTATACAGCTTGCTCATTATGGTGAAAAGTTCGCAAAGGCTTTGCTCAACTTCTCGAAACAGAATAGTTCTCCGCGGAGAGAAGTTGATCGATGTGCCTCTCAAGCACAAGACTTCTCGGATTGTATCAATATGACTCATTTCACTCTCGAACGACACTTCGCAAATTACACCAAGTCTCCTCTTCTTCAATATCTTTCATCCCAAGGGATACTCGATCGGATACTGAATCGATCGGAATCAATAGAATGGCGGCTCGATAAAGCAACCATACGAGTCCGATCACTTCTTGGGGGCGGAAACGCCGTTTTCAACTTTTTCAAGTGGTGGTATCAGAAGGACAGTATCCTAGATCTATTTCCAGAGATGGATTCTGTAAAGATCAGTCTTCAGCTGCTTGTGTCCGCCACTCAACTCGAGGTTCTCGACATGGAATGCAAAGCTTCACTCTGGGATACTGAGAAATTCATTTCGAATGAGAAACACATGTACGTTCTCACAAACATGGGGACTTCACCCGGAGTCATCGACTCAGTTCTGAACTCACTCTAAGCTAGTAATCACCTGAAAAAAGTCATTAGAGGTAATTTGAAAACACTGAAAAGACTAGAGGCCCAAATTGAAAGAGCCAACCCACTCATGCCAACGGATACCTTCACACATCAGACACAGTCCAACAGCTCTCTCTACGAGATTATGTTACCCTTAGGAAGAAGTATGGTGAAAACTGGGAGTATCCCGAAGCCCAAGTTCGTCTCATCAGCGTCGTCAGAGTCATCTACCAGGACCAAGGAGGTAATTTCTGACATCCAAAATGACCTTGTCCGAAGACTAATGGCGAGGCCACAGACCTACAAATCTTCATCGTCGGGCAATTCCATGCCATCAGTATCTTCAGCTCTTTCACGTGGAGCAAGCTCCCAAACGGAGGCATGTCATTATCATCACGAGGCCATGTACAAGCTCGAACGCCGCTTGCAACATGAGAGACTTTCACGCAAACAGTCATCGTCGGCGAAGACTACGCCATCATCAACAACAGGCCAACCAGCTACTAAACGTCATGTCGACCATGGGAGCGGTGCAAATTCGAACATCCAGGAAGTAAAAACCGTCCAGGCATCGCAAAGTCAACGCCAACAGCTTGAACCCCTTCACGAGAGAGTAATCCTAGTGGACACTGCCAACCTTGATAGGTCGATTGTTCACTCTCATGTATTGCACAAGGGTAAACTTACTGACAAAATCTTGACTGGCGTCGTTCATACTACACTTGATGTCAGCGTCATCTCAATTCTAGAAGCCAAGGGACTTGATATAAACGTGGTTTCGTGTGAAGACGACAAGAAAATTGGATTCAAATTTGACCAAGGGAAAATACAGACATGTATCGGCATGGTATCTGTAACCATTGACCACAACCCTTCCCCTGGTTCTCAATCGCTAATCACACGCCATAAATTCTACGTTCTGGAGAACTGTCACCCCCGACTTATATTTGGAAAAGACATTTGGGAGATTGAGGAGACGTCGAAGCAATAAAAATGGATGATGTCCAGACAAGTATACGAAGGTTATTGTCACAGCCACCTTGTATTTGCTTTGTTTTATTTGGTTACATGTAGTTTTCAAAATATGTCGACTGGTCAAACTAAATGCTTGAAACTCACCGTTTCATCACTGCATTTCAAGGAGCCAGGTGAAAGAAATGAAGGTTCACGTCAATCCTGACACGGTGACACATTCGGGTCCCGTTACTTGATATAGAAGCGGCAGTGAACATGGCTCTGTTTCCGTTTTCATTGCGTGTAACTTCTAAGTCCTTCATCGACTTGAAATTGACACCTCACTCCAACAACTAAATAATCATCTTAGGGTAGTGACAGGAACGGAGGCTCACCCAGCGACATGGCTCAAAACATTTGTTTACTATAGCACCTCATAATTACTGACCGAGTCATCCCGGAATCCCTGTTCAATCTCCGCAAGACTAGTCGCACCTAGGCTTGCTTTTGCGCACCGCAACTCTCCTATCATCTCCTATCAGTATCTCAGCCCCCAAGAAGATGCAGCCAACCATTGACAACACCTGCGCCCCGCCGCAATCTGGCAAACCCGGATCGGCATCTCGGGGCGGGGCAGAGTTGCACACAGTACGTCAGCTTATCAGCTGAGATGTGAGGCTTTAAAAGCTGCAACAGGGCACACCGACTCTGTGGCTATGTGTGCCTGGCCACTGTCTCATGTCTCCAGCCGGTCTTCTGCCTGTCCAGCCCGTGGCTTGCATTCTGCATCTCGCTTGAGGAAGCACAGTAATCAGTGACCGAGATGTACAAGGCGCAACTTTGGGTTGCCATTGTGGCGGGTATTGAGATCTCTTTGGCTAGCTGCAAGCTGAGCACCTCTCAAAGCTGGCCTGGAAACTCGTCGACAACCGTACCTTCGGTGTTCCCGCTGCTTGAAGATGTGGGATCTGCATACCTGTTCCCGATGCCACTCTGTGGAACTTTTAAGTTGGAAGAGGCGACAATTGACGAGATGCAAGCAGCATTGACTGCTGGCACACTCACTTCTCAGCAGCTAGTTGGGTGTTATATCCAACGAACCTACCAGACGCAGGAGTACATTCAGTAAGTAGACTACTCTAGCTGGCATGTTGGAGTTGCAAAGTAGATGGCTCATCACAACATAAGTGGATGCACACTAATGCGCCAGACAGCTCTATTTTGCAAATCAATCCAGATGTATTCCAGCTAGCTGTCAAGATGGACTTGGAACGCAAAGCCGGAAAGATACGGGGGCCACTACACGGCATTCCATTCACCGTCAAGGACAACATCGCCTCCAAGGACAATATGGAGACGACAGCAGGCAGCTTTGCGCTTTTGGGCAGCATCGTCCCCCGAGACGCTCACGTGGTCAAGCGCCTTCGCGAAGCCGGCGCTATCTTGTTGGGCAAGGCCGCTCTGAGTGAGTGGGCCGATATGCGTAGCAACAACTATTCTGAGGGGTTCTCGGCTCGAGGCGGTCAATGCAGAAGCCCGTATAACTTCACACTCAATCCGGGCGGTAGTAGCACGGGAAGCGCTGTTGGCGTCGCGGCGAATGCCATTGCTTTCTCGCTGGGCACGGAGACAGATGGTAGTGTCATTAACCCCGCCGAGCGAAACGCCATTGTAGGATTCAAGCCTACAGTTGGTCTGACTTCAAGGGCAGGGTATGGACCATGTCTCTGGAATCTGATTTTCCGAAGCTTCGCTAATTCGGAGATAGGGTCATTCCTGAGAGCGAGCATCAAGATTCTGTCGGAACCTTCGGCCGCACAGTCAGAGATGCTATTTACGCTTTTGATGCAATCTATGGCATTGATGAGCGAGACAACTACACCCTGGCTCAGGAAGGCAGGACGCCTGAAGGGGGTTACACTCAATTCCTATCTACAAAGGAGATCCTAAAAGGCGCCACCTTCGGACTTCCCTGGAATAGTTTCTGGGCTTTCGCAGACGATGAACAGAGGGAGTCTCTAGAGCAATTACTCAAGCTCATTACCTCAGCTGGGGCAACGATAATCAACAACACTGAAATCACTGACTATGAGACCATCGTTAGCCCGGATGGTTGGGACTGGGATTATGGCACATCAAGAGGCTACCCGAATGAGTCCGAGTACACGGTTGTTAAAGTTGACTTTTACAACAACATCAACACCTACCTTTCGGAACTGGAAAACACCGATATCAAGACTTTCGAAGATATCATTGCATTCAACTATGACAATGACGGGACCGAGGGCGGTCATCCTTGGCCACTTGGGACGGCCGCGTTTTACTCTGGCCAAGACGGGTTTTTGGCATCTCTCGAGTCGAAAGGTATCAAGGATGAGATCTATCTTCAAGCTGTCGAGTTCTCCCAGCAGTCAACGCGGAGTGGTATCAATGATGCCCTCACCTCTTCTAATGGGACGAAATTGGCTGGTCTCCTAGTCCCTCCTGACGTCGGCCAGACGTATCAAATTGCTGCCCAGGCGGGATACCCCATGATAACTCTCCCGGCCGGTGTTCGCTCTAGCACTGGAATGGGTTTCGGCTTGGCCATAATGCAAACAGCGTATGGAGAAGCGGAGTTGGTTAAGTGGGGAAGTGCAATCGAGGATTTGCAGTTGACGACAGAGGGAAATCCGTACAAGAGGACTTTGCCTAATTGGTACGAGTACCTCACACGAAATGTGCCAGTCTTCTGATGAGAGAAGACATTTCTGAGTCCAAATTCCCGAGCACTGTACTTACTCAGCAACTTGAAGATGTATCGTCCTGGGCACGCTTTCCGCCTGCATGCAGGGTGATTCATGCCTAAATGAACCGAGTAAGGATTTATAAATAAGCTGAGATGTGACTAAGAGTTAGGGTATCAATTGGGTGGTCTATTTAGCTAGGGAAACACAACCCGGCGCGTTGATATTCTGTGCTAATTCCAATTTCTATTTGGGCATACCAAATCATCGGAGCCGGGTCGGTTCCGGACATTCAGACTGCAGCGATTGCGACGAATTATTACCTTACCTTACCTGGCGGTGCATTGTGTAAATGTGACCAGACCTGATATCGTACTTTGGGAGTATCCTCCCCTTGAATGAGGAAATCACATTTTGCCAAGTCTAGGATCTGGGGCCAACTTGCCGGGTGGGATGAAATCATGCGCTAACATCCTCCGTTGCTGGCCGAGAAGTTGCATCAGGTTTATGATGGAGCCCATATTAGCTTGTTCCACGAGTCTGCTCTGCGCGAAGGGACTGAAAAGCGTCATCAAGCCAAACACAAAATACTTCAAAACGCCAGGCTATCCCAGACCGGTTCCGGAGTCCGCATGTTCCGCGACTCGAGGTGCATCATAAGCCCGAGCCGTTCATCCCAGGTCCCAGGCTTGGCGACCCACGGTTTTTAGTGAAAGACAACAGTGTAGTTTTAACTTTACTCGCGGATAGCGAGGGGGGAAAAGCATTCAGAAATGGATGTACCGTATGCAAGAGCCCAACTTCACCCAGGCCAACTACGCCTCGACACTTGGATCAGCCCCCCATCTTACTATGATTGAAGTGTATGCTTCCGCGTCAGTTTTAACATGGCGCATGATGAGCCAATAACTTGAAAGAGCTGCAGCGTTTTGACGGAAAATGAAATGTTGGATCTGTGTTTCCATGCTTAGTTGAATATTTTCCATCATAGCAGCAAGCCAGAAATAAACGCCCCCCTTTCACCAACAATTAAACGGTCAACATCCATGTAGTTTCGACTCAGCATCCGTCAATATTCGTACATGGGTGTAAGTTGTGACCTAGACCAAATATCCAGTCTCCTAGGATCTCGGACTTTGTGTCGACAGCACCGCCTGCCACATCCAGAACTCTATCGTCTGATCCTTGGGATGGTGTGTTAGCCGAAGTGCAACCCCTGCCAAGTGTGTGGCCGTATTCCGACGATCATCTTGGCTTAAGCAACTCAAATTTTATGTGAAGCGCACATCGAGCTCGCTACCGGCTATGGGGATAGCCAAGAACCAAGTCTATGTGGTTCTATGCTACCTACCTGTTCTGGTCACAAGGTCGCGCGTGCCAAGCATGTCAGCAACGGCCATAGCGGACGTAAGGCTGTGTTGGAAGGGGTCGCACTCTGTTCTTCTTGACGAAGGTTTGGATTCTCGCCGAAGATTAACCTCTTTCGCGTAAGGTAATTCTCGGAGAAATAGGCTGGGAAGGGAGTTTTGATGACTAAAAACTCAAATTTATTGACATGGCTCCGCCGCCAAGACATACCCGACAACGAAGAAGGATCTGATAAGATGGGCCGGCGGGACTCCCGCGCGCTTGAGAGAATTCTCGACAACAGCGGGGCGACTACAAGGCAGTGAACAGAGAGACTTGACTCCGTCGGTCGTTTGTGAGTGGAGAGCGTAACGCAAACAGAGTTTATGACGCAGAAAAAGGAAGTTGACCAGAAAAGAGGTTGCTCAGGACTCGGGAGTCGGGATATTCCCACTTCTTCTCTTCTTTGAAATTATAATTTACCTTAAACAGCCTTGTCATGTGGTGATCATCAGCTGCAGAAAAGAGGCTCGGAACCTCACTTTGACAGTCTCCGAAGGTCAAATTAGGCTAAGATCCCGTTGGTACTTACAGTGCCGTCGCACATAGAGTTGTACAGAACCAACAGCATATGGCTCGCTAATGGATCATGGCCTCCGCAATTCCGTCAACTCGACTCTGTATCCTGTTCAGTTGGTGGTCCAACAGCACCGCCGCACGACTTGGCAGCTTGGCGACTGATCCATCTGGCGGGCCCATCCCCGAGCCTGCCCCTGCATATGTTGACCTTCCGAATCAGAAGTCTGATATGACATGCATTTGTGAGATATACTGTAAGCGTATTCACGGCTCTGGAATGCTTCCGGGCGAGCGCCAAGTGCTTTGCCCTGGACACAAGGAGAGTTGTGTATAAGTAAAACGATTGATCATACCTCATCGTTGGAGTTTGTATGGGTCTCTCAGCAGCCTTCACTCTCTTTTACATAGATAGTATTCTGCGAGTCGGCAGAGACGCTTATTGTTCACCATGCCGTTCTTTCATCAACCCAAGCCCCGGTGGCTGACAATCGCATCCGCGGTTCTCCTCGGAGCAAGCTGTGTCACTGACGCCTATGTGATTCCCCGCCAAATCAACTCATCTCAGTTGCTGAACAGCTACGATTATGTCATTGTCGGTGGCGGAACTGCAGGCTTGACTGTCGCAGACCGTCTGACAGAGGACCCTGAGACCAAAGTCTTGGTTCTCGAGGCTGCAGACTGGGGCAACATGTCCGAGAACCTCAAGGTTTCCTTCCTCACTCGAACTGGAGCTTTTACCGACCTCCTTTGGCCCGGACTCCAGTCTGTACCCCAGCCCGGTCTGAACGGAAGGACAGGCAATGTCTTCATTGCTAAGCAGGTCGGAGGTGGTGCGTCGGTGAACGCCATGATGAACATGCGTGGCTCGGCTGAGGACTACGACCGTTGGGCCAGCCTTTTCGGATCCGAGGCTCAGCAGGGAACTGCCGACTGGAGCTGGGACGGTATCTTGCCATACTTCAAGAAGGTAAGAGAGGGAACCTAAAGCAACAACCTCATTGTCGCGACTTCAATCTGACCGTCATTATAACAGGGCCTTCACTTCACTGAGCCGCCTCCCGAGCTGACTGACAACTTTGACAGCGTCAAGTTTGACGCCTCCTACTGGGGAGACTCGTCAGAGATCTATGCCGGATGGCCGCGGTTCTATTACCCTGGTGTTAAGCCCCTAGTTGAGGCTTTCAAGGAGATCGATGGAGTGGAGTTCCCGGCTGACAGCGGTGCCGGAAAGCCCGGTGTCTTTTGGTTTCCCACGCTCATGGATCCCCGTACCGTCACCCGTTCCTACGCTGGTACCGGTCACTATCTGAACGTCAATGCCACTCGTCCTAACTACCATCTTTTGCTCAACACCCAGGCCCGCAAGTTGATTCTTGACGACCAGCTATCCGTTACCGGAGTTGAGTTCCCGTCCGGAAACAAAAGCTTTGTCACTGTCACTGCAAAGAAGGAGGTTCTCCTCGCTGCTGGCGCCATCCACACTCCTCAGCTGCTGCAGCTTAGCGGCATTGGTCCCAAGAGCCTTCTCGAAGCTGGTGGCATAGATGTTCTTGTCGATCTCCCTGGCGTCGGCCAGAACTTCCAAGACCACAGCAGTCTCTCTACCATGAACATTACTCGTAAGTGACGAGACATTTTATGGGCGCGATGAAACGGACCTTCAGTCGACGAAGAATACAAAAACTAACCCGTCTATAGTCTCTAAGCTTACTGAGATCCACCCTAACCCGAACGACTTAGTTGAGGGGAATGACTTTAAGACTTGGGCCGACGAGGTGTGGGCAGCCAATAAGACCGGTTAGTAGTTCTCCAAGCCAGAGTTTTCTCACTCACATTTGCCTGGCTCTGACTGATTCATTATGATTTCCGTGGGACAGGCCCCTATTCAATTGCACTGACTAACTTGGCCGGCTGGCTCCCTTTCACCGCCGTGTCCGACCGGGCTGAGGAGCTCGCCACCAAGTTGGAGCAACAAGACCATGCCAGTCTCCTGCCGACGGATGCTGCGTCCACAGTCGTCGCTGGCTTCGAGGCGCAGATGAAGATCCTGGCCGCTCAGATGCGATCCAAGAACACGGCATTCACCCGCATGCAGCTCATTGCAGACCATGGATCTCAGGGCCCTGTCGCAATGCAGTCCTTCAGCCGTGGCACCATCAACATCAACACGACTGACCCGTGGAACACTGAGCCTGTGATTGACTATCGCGCCCTGTCCAACCCTCTCGAGGCCGATTTCTTCGTCGAGTCGATCAAATTCCTTCGCCGCTACAACTTCAACACCTCCCTGGCCACGCAATTTGATCCGGTCGAGTACGCCCCCGGTCCTGATGTCACCTCGGACGAGGATCTCAAGGCTTACATTGCTGGCGCCATGTCACCAACTGACTACCACCCCGTGGGTACCGCATCTATGATGCCACTCAACCTGGGCGGTGTTGTCGACCAGACATTGCGGGTATACGGAGTGAAAAACCTGAGAGTCGTTGATGCTAGTGTCATGCCCATGGTTCCCAGCGCCAACACCTGCCAGCCTACTTATGCTCTTGCCGAGAAGGTGAGTCTTCTCCTCTTGCTTTTCTGTTTCTATAGCCCCGATGCTCCATTTAACTGACACAATTTCCTATCAACAGGCAGCAGAAATCATCAAGCAGGGCGTCTGAGCTGGCCTAAGTGATTAATATACGCAAACACATCCGTTTCTTTCGTCTTACTTGTACATGACACAAAAGTGGACGTTTACAGTAGAGTACCATGGCCTAGTTCTACGATACCAAGATATGAACTACTGCGTTACTATTGATTCAATTGACGTCCAAGTGAGGATAACAGTAACTATCCCGGTAGCTGTGGCAGGGTACCATCCGGACTCAGGACAACCATCTTTACATGTTCCTCCCCATTAGCTCCAGATCCAACTTGTCAGTATAAGAATATAATAGAGACGGGCTCCGATCAACCTATAATGCACTGCTTCTATAGCATCATACAGCATTGGGTAATGCACATACTTCATATCTAGTCGACTGACATGTTATTGAAGTTACCCGTAGCGGATGATGTGTCATTACATCGGTTGAACTTCGGCGCAAATAGGGACATGAGATGTGCCAGGGATAGCTTTCAGCAGTCGCAATTGAGAAACATGATTCAATGAAGATATTGTCATTCACCTGCTGATACCATAGTCAGATCGTCCATCATGATTATGTTCGGTCGAGACGCGCAATGAGATCACGCTGGAACCAGCCAATCGGAATCACCCTGGATCACATGAAAAGCCTCTTTGTCAGTGCCAATTCATTCGGGACTCTGCATGCTGCCCCTACTAAAGGCAACGGATCTTAGGAAGTGAATCGATGTCAGCCGAGGATCTACGCTATGCTCGCGCTGTACCCAAACCAAGATTAGATACCATCCAGTATGCCCATCATCTTTAGGCAGCAAAAGTTTGTGGAACAAGTATTGGCATTGTGGGTTCAACCGCGCCACGACGCCGTTCATCTTGTCCGATGCTGCGGGCCGCCAATGTGTGGATCTCCAACCACAATGATGGATTGGTTTCACTCATTTCCCATGGTACAAGGCGCGGCACTCGTAGGTGGAGCGTCAGCAATTGGTCTGCAGCTTCGCCTCGTCCGAGTTTCCCTAGCTAGGTAATACTAAGTATTATTTGCGTGGGCTCGTCCCTTGTGAGCTGTGCGCTGTGAGCCAGAAGGATCACGCTAAAATCTGATGGGAGAATGAATTATTGCTTCGTGTTTTGGTACCATGTCTGCCTGCCAAGAGACAACGAAAACACCTTCAAGAATGAAAAAGCTGCAACTCCGCAATAATCACGAAATTTGGGATCGGGTAATGAACTCTCAGCAGAAAGTTGAGACAAGACTTCCATTGCCAACATGAGCCGCAAGACTTTCGGCCTCGACGCCTCGGATTTACCACAGGACCCATACTATCCCCAAACAGACCCAACAGGCCCTAGTTTCCTTGATACAGAAGGATGTCTCTGTGCTTTACAGGTGACACCTGCCGGCGGAGCCCCAGAACCAGCTTGGCAATGCATCGGAGACCAAAGCAAGGGAAGCATCTACACAATCAGAACCGGCAGATGGTTCAACACACTCAATGGGACCGGAAATGCCAATGGGCCCATTTATGATGCTTCAAGTCCGCCGGATATCGAAAAGCCCAAAAGATGGCTCTCTGGAGCGTTGCGAGACTCGCCGGGCAACGACGGGCTCAGTGTGTACGACAGCGCTTGCACTGGCAAGAATAACACCAGATTCTCGACCTCGTTCTACGAAGCAACGGCACAGATCATTGCAGGCCAGCAGCCATATAGTGCTGCGCCGTGTTACAGACAAGGGGCGGTTCCGATAGAGATTCAGACTGTGGACAGTTGGCAGGCTACTGGGTGCAGCCCGGGTTTTCTATGTGAGTATAAGTCTCAAATAAACCTTGCAAGTGTGCGTTTGATGGGTAAGTGTTTGCTAACTCAGGTCTAGGTGAGAACAATACTGTCAACTCAATACCTCAGTACTGTCCACCGCTGGACGCATGTCAAATGGCAAGATTAGCATCGTTCACCTGCAATTTTGGCGGCAAGAACGCTGGCATGGGCCCTTTTGAGCCGGTTGTTTGTCAAGCTGGAAACTACTGCCCAGAAGAGAATAACGGCAAGGTTTCTATCGTCTGTCCAGCTGGCTCATATTGCCAGCCTGGAGCCGCAACCCCAACACCATGTTCGGTTGGCAGCCGTTGCCCGGCAGGTTCTTCCTACGAGCTGTTTCTCATCCCTCTCGCCATCTTGATCATTATCGATGTTCTGATGATCGCCGGCATGGTTATTTACCGATTCCGAAAGCGCCTTCGCGATCATCAATCAAATAAGAGCCGGAGACCAACTTTGAAGCGCGGCATGAGCAGCATGAAAGCTCAGATCACGGGCTACAGGACACTTTCGGAAGATACAGACCGCGAGATGCTCCCAATGAGCGCTACCTATATTCCCAACCGGACCGACTCCTATGGAGGAGGATTTCAAGCCGCCCTTAACCTCGATTCCGAAGACTCAGTCAATGTACGGCCAACGAGCGAGATGCTCAATCCTCAGCTGATGGCGTTTGTCTCCTCGATGAGGCGTGCGACTGATGCAACCAATCTTGGTCTCTCCTTCAGCTACTCTGACCTCAGTTTCCACCCTAAGAAGAGCTCCAAGATGATTCTTCAAAACGTTACGGGATCCATCGACCGGGGCACTTTGACGGCTGTCATGGGCGGATCCGGTGCCGGTAAGTCAACATTTGTCAACGTACTCATGGGTAAGACCAAGAACACCGGAGGCACAGTAGCTGTGAACAGCAGTCCAGACAAGTTGAAGCGGTACAAGAAGGTGATTGGTTATGTACCTCAAGACGACATCGTGCTGCCGGAGCTCACGGTATACGAAAACATTGTCCATAGCGCAAAGATCCGCTTGCCTCAGACTTGGTCAACGGCTGACATTGAGTCTCATGTCGATTCTGTCATTGACTGCTTGGAACTCTCCCACGTACGCAACTCCTTAGTCGGTTCAGTCGCTGTACCTGTCATTAGTGGTGGGCAACGCAAACGTGTCAGTATCGGTATGGAACTGGCTTCTGCACCAATGGCGATCTTCCTGGACGAGCCGACGAGCGGTCTCGATGCAACTGCAGCTTCATCTTTAATGCGGACTTTGAAGGCAGTTGCGCGGCTGGGAATCACCGTAATCGTCATCATCCATCAACCACGAACCGAAATTTTTGAGAATTTCGATAACCTCATTCTCCTCGGCAATGGCCAGACTATCTACGAAGGTCCCCAAGCTGAAGTGCAGGACTATTTCGAGGGGCTCGGCTTCGGGTTCCCAAAGCACAGTAATCACGGCGACGTGGTCACCGATATTATTACCGGGAACGGTCGCGATTACAAGCAAATCGGGGAGATTTCCAAAGACTCGCTCATTTCAAAGTGGTCAGATCACCGCCAGTCTCTCGCGCACAAGGAACGTCACGCTTCCTCCATCATGAGCAACAACGGCATCTACGCCGCTATCAAACATCGCGGTGCACCGTTGTACAGACAGGCATGGCTCTGCCTCCGCCGGGCCATGCTTCAGCAGTACCGCACCAAAGCAGCTTTTTGGGCTGAGATGGGTCTCGCGGCGCTCGCTGGATTTCTCCTGGGCCTTGCCGAGCACTCGAAAAAGGGCATCTTGTTTACTGGCACTTTCAAAGAGCCGTACTCGATCTTGTCAACTGCTGTAGACTTCAAGTCCGCCCCTGAACTTGCTCTATTGGTCTCCATTGCTGTTGGTCTAGTGTCTGGTGCACCTGGCGTGAAGACTTTCTCAGAAGAACTGCTCGTGCATCGGAGGGAGGCCGAAGCGGGACACAACAGACTAGCATATTTTCTTGCCAAGGTCGTCTCGGTCCTTCCCCGTATGCTCTTTGGATGTCTCCATTTCACAACATTCTTGTTCATTCTCACGGTACCGGTGATCAACTGGGGGCTTGCTTTCCTCACGAACTTCTTCTACTTTTACTGCATTTACGGGCTGGCCAGTATTGTCAGCATGCTTGTCCGGCGAGAAGATGCCCCCCTGTTTGCGACAATGATTAGTCTTATCGTTGCAATCTTGTCTGGTGCTGCTCCTCCACTAGCTAAAGTCAAGGAGTGGCACTTGGAATGGCTTTGGCGCGCTTCACCCGGTGTCTGGTTAGCAGAGATCTACTTTGGCCAGCTAGTCTCGCCTTTTGGGTACTTGTATGATGTCGAGTCTGCTGCAGCGGCGACTGGCTTCCATTTGAATTGGTTATGGCGTAACATGGGAGTTTTGGTTGGTATTGGAACTATCTACAGAGTGGTTGCATTCCTTGCGATGATTTTCGGGCAAAGCCGGCGTAGATAGATTGGTACATAGACCTGTTCAATCCAAGAGTACGGAGACTGATGGTCTTATTATCACTATCCGCCACATCTACTCCGACGTCTGTTTACATGCATGCATCCTGGATAGAATGTCAAGCTTAGGGATATGGCAGATGAGATCATCATGGCCTGCCTGGACATGCGAAGTGATTGCTCTTGTGCAAAAGATGACGATTGTAGGTTCTGCGAACGATAGGATGCAGATATTAAAGCACATTGGTATTTCTGCCTGTGCGAACCTTCAGTGTCGAACATATCTTCAGACAAGCTCAAGGTTAATCCTGATGACGATCTACGAAGGAGCCTGCTGATGTCTGCCAAGAGCTAGAAATTTTGAGGAACATCATGCTAATCCGAAGCAAAGAACTGTGATCTATTAATCGAGAGCGGCTCTGTCACGCAAAGAGAAACAGTGTGGGAGGTGAGAAAGTCCACAGAACGAGGGGCCATATGTTGGGAACAAGGGACAAGCGCGATTTGACCGTGATTTTCTGCCTGGGCAGAATTTCCTGTTGTGAATCTCCACACTAATCTTGCTAGGCTGATGTCTGATGGAACATTGGCTGTCAACAACCCAGTGAAGACCAGGCCATTGGGTGACTTTGGTGCGGGATGCCAGGCAAGGCCGCGACAGCCATATCAACTATCACGGCGCTGTGTCTGCACTTAGGCAAGAAGAGACTTCCTCGACATGTATAACGCCCTGCTGACAGTGTGCAGTCAGATTTCAGTAGAGGCCAAGGTAGATGACTGACCAGATGCTGTTGCGGGTACTCGCCTCTTTGGCTTCTTCATCTCCCGCTGGCGACATAGAACCGTGCCAAGGAGCGGTTCGACATGCCAGTCGCACTTAGAGGATGTCTAACAGGTACATGGTGGCAGCAGGCTTTTCAGTGTATCATCCCGGCGCTGTCTACGTGACGTATTGGAGCGAGACCGGTCTGCCAAGAGCCAACCTTCCGACCTCTCTCTGAATCCATGACTTGCCTGCATGGAAACAAGTATGTAGGCCCAAGGAATCGGCTAAAACTAAGTGGTCAGGCCTTCCCCAGTTTCCAGAGAACGTTCGTATATATGGCCACACTTGGTCTCGCTTGGTCCAAACTCTCTCTAGGTCACCATCCAGAAGTTTCTGATTCCGTCTCATTCCCATTCCTTTACGCACCTACCTCTTTCTCGGAATCGATATCCCTCGCTTTCACACCTATCTTATCTCAACATCATGTCGGTTGACCCAGAGTTCAGCAATTCCAGCGAGATGCGGTTACAGAGGGGGAATACGGACACGTCGTACACCTACGATGGCCAAAAAAGCTGGAGGCGATGGAGAATCCTTAGTCCAGGCCGTGGAATTTACCACGACATCAGAAGACGGCTTCCATACTACTGGAGCGACATTGCTGACGCGTGGACGTACCGCACTGTAGCCAGTACTATTCGCATGTATTTCGTGAAGTTAGTAGGCACACTGATCAGGATTATAGTTCAAACATTCGCCGAAATATGTGCTGACAACCAAATGAATGCCTTTAGTCTCCTCCCCGCGATAGCCTACACCCTCGACATGTACCGACGAACAGGACAGTTCTTTGGTATCAACGAAGCCCTTTTATCGTCGGCGCTCGCTGCCATTGTCTTCAGCATCCTCAGCGCCCAGCCCTTGACGATCGTTGGCGTCACCGGTTTGATCTCGCTCTTCAATTTGACAATCTACGACATCATCAAGATCTACGACGTCTCCATCTACCCACAGTTCATGGCTTGGACGGGAATCTGGGCAGCAATGTTCCATTGGCTCGTCGCCGTGTTCAACGCGTGTGACTACATGCGATACGTTACCGACTTTTCTAGCGAGGCATTTGGATTATACGTTGGCATCATCTACATCAGTCTGTGGGCTCAGTTTAAAGTAATAGTTGCAGAACGTCCTGCTGACAAAGATACAGTCAAGGGTGTGGAAGAACTGGTGAACGAGTTCGATGCTGAAGGCAGCGCTGCGGGTTACTTAGCTTGTATGATTGCGATTCTATACTTCGGCACTGTCTACAGTTTGGAGAAGATGGGCTCCAGCACTTTTTGGACGTCTGTTTACCGAGAAATTCTCGCTGACTACGCCTATGTGGTGATATTCCTACTTGCTACCAATGAATAGGAACGGATGTTGATAGTTCTCGCAGTTCGCCACCATCTTTTGGGTTTGTTTCTCTCACATCCCGGGAACTCTCAAAGCAACGCATATCATGAGGGTCCCTGTTGTCGACGCCTTCCAACCGACTCAGCCTAGGAGCTGGATCCTCGACTTTTGGAACCTTGACGCAAAGTGGGTTTTTGTAGCTATGCCTTTCGGTTTTCTAGTAATGCTGCTTTTCTACTACGATCATGTAAGTGTTTCTTTCACCTTCGGGGTGCATGCGTATTCGAGAGAACTGGCTAAATCTTCCCAGAATGTCAGCAGTATTACCGCTCAAGCACGCCATTATCCCTTGAAGAAGCCAGGAGGTTTCCACTGGGACTTTTTTCTACTCGGCTGCACGACGTTCATCGCAGGCATCTTGGGCTTGCCGATGCCTAATGGACTCGTCCCTCAGGCCCCAGTTCATACCGATTCCTTGACAGTCTACGAGACGAAGCTCCAATTTCTACCGACTTACGAAGGAGGCGATACAGAAATCCGACGGCCTGTGGTTGTTGCTACACAAGTGGTCGAGCAGAGGATTTCTCACTTGTTGATGGGCCTCGCTCTGATAGGCACCATGACGAGTCCCCTTCTGGTGGTGATCCATACCATGCCAGCTGCTGCCTTTGCTGGCGTCTTCTTTGTCGTTGGTGTAGGTTATCGATCCGGTCCCTTGGTGTGAATGAATAGTTGACTGATTAAAACAATCTTCCAGTGGGGCTCAATCGAATCGAACAGCATCCTTCAGAAATTCCTCTATCTTCAAGCGGAAGAACGCTTCATACAACGAGATGAATTACTTCTCCAAGTCCGCCGCCGAAAGGTCTGGTTGTACATAGCCATACAATTCTTAGCTGTTATAGCTTGCGTTGCTATCTCTCATACGCTGGGTGCCATCGGCTTCCCGGTACTGATCATCTTGCTCATCCCGATGAGAGTCTTGCTGGTACCAAGGTGGTTTCTCCGAAAAGAGTTACAGATACTGGATGACTTCACGGCTACAAACGAGATGGTACTAGCAAGTTTGGGAGGCAAGCCCGGACTTCCTGAACGTTCTCTTGAAGAAGATTAGGGACTTGAGAGGAGAGTCAGCCAGGGGAAGCATGGAGTTGCCAGAAAAAGAGCTAGAAGTCTGCATCGATAGACTACAGATATAGGGCATGAAAAGTCTCGACCCGAACGACCCTAGACGTGTACTTGACTAAAAGACTATAGTGCAATACCAGGTTTGCTACCTTACTCATGGCTAGCGAGGATCTCAATCATCCTCCTGAAGTCAGGTACCTCATCAACCCAATGTTTCAAGAGGTTCACTACGTCCTCGACACTAGCTTTCCAGTCGTGTGGAAGCTTGTCATGCAGCCCTCCATACGCGGCAGCGATCAAGACAAGCGCGCTCCGTGTGCATGACTGCAGCATCAACCACGTCCCATGATGTCGATGAAAGAATCCTGTCTTGTTGATATTTATCCTCCGCACGCAAAAGTCGAGACCTCGTGAAGCCAGCATGTGGGAGTCCCTGTCGTCTCCGAGTCGGCCATGCACAGCGGCGTAGATATAAGGCCAGTACATGAGTTCCAAGCAGTCTATCAGATGGCCACTGAGGATAAATCTTAGCTGGCCGTTCTCGTCAAAGTCGAAAGTAACGTCGCTGGAATCGTCTATCGCCGGCCGGAGACTCGGTGGAAGAGACCTGGCCCTACGAAGCAGAGGCACCATGTTAGTTCTGCAAGGGGCACCAAGGTCGGAACACGAATGCTTACCAGCTGTGGGCTTGGCGCTCGAACTCTAAGGTCATTGCCACCTTATCCGCAACATTGCCAGTGTCCTGACTATCCAAACATGTAGTCGATAGAATGCGGTTGTTAAGCCGCCTCAGTGCTATTTCAGCTAGGTAAAAATACCAGGCAGGCTCTCCTTGAGTTTGTATGGACTCTGGAGGGTCGGGAAAGAGATCTGGATAGCGTAGATCCCATGCACTCGTCTTGATAATTCCTAACTCCAACCGAACCTCGCTGTTTATCACTTAGTACGTCGTTTGGAAACGAGAGTAAAAAGACCCACAGCTCAGACTTGAAGCATGCCCAGTGGATGGTCTGCTGCAAGCGTATAGCTCCAGGGCTGGCATCGCGACAAGATAGTTGGAAAGTGTGGCAGCTCGACAAAGCCCGCGTGAACATTTTCCAGGCATCAGCCGGTCGCATCGTAGTCATCAAATACACGCCAGCCAAGAAGAAGCATTGGGCTTCTGCAATACCGCTACTGGATAGTAGCAAACCCATCCGCCTCTGCGCTGCAACAAAAAACGCTTCGGCACGGCTGAAGTTTTCGTTTTGTCGGACGGACAAAGATGTATGTGTATGGATGTTATCATGGTCTACTGTTGTTCCCAGGGCCAGTATGAGCAGCTGTAAATCTGTCAGATATCGGTTTATGGATAGCAGAAGTTTACAGTGACGAAGGACGGCTTACGACAAGACATGACGCAGCATCCCAACCGAACCCATTGAGAGATGTGCTCTTGACATGTTCTTCAATCGTCGGTATATCCAAAACTGGATTGAATATGTGATAAATAGACAAGAAAATGCCGAGGAGTCTGGAAGCGTCCTGAACGTCCACGTCTGACACGAGAAGAGGGCGTGACACCGAGTCGATTCCCGGAGGGATAGCCGGAGGCGAATCCTGTGATGAATAATGTAGGTCGGCGGCTTTCCAGACTGGCCAGTTGAGTATTACTTCGCAATTAACGTAACGGACCTCGAAGGAGTTGATCCAATCGATATCGGTGGTTGGAAATGGCGACGAAGAAAGCGATGAAGCAAAGTCTAAGCACGGCTGAGGAGCAGCAGGTAGCGGACGGCTGCCGTTTACCACGCTTTCCAATTCATCTAATCTTCGTAAGATAGCGAGACTGGCTGCATCGAAACTGCAATCATGATATTGTTGGCCCAGAACAGATGTAGAGGGGAAACGAGCATATGAGAAAGGAATTGCTGCCCATGGACGGGACAAATGCCGGGGAGAAAATCAAGGGGGCAGAGAAAAGCACACACCTAGCCTTTTCGAATTCGTGGTAGACGCAATCTATCCCCAGCTTCTTGCAAGAATTGCAGGCTGGCTTTTCGTTGTCACACTTTGTCCGTCGTTGACGACATGTCAGACAGGCCTGGACAGCTCGTTTCCGCGGATACGCAGGTCTCTTGCGAGAGCTGACACGGGTTTCTGCGTGTGAATTGGACATGATCGACGAGGGGCAGTACGTTCGCGGAGTGTAGGATAATAATGCGCGAGAAATGAAGAGGAGCGCTGCACGGTCACAGTGGATTTGCTACCAGCCCAAGCGTTTGGTTCGTTCCGCGGAAAGCCGGAATTGATCAGCCTTTTCGGGGGATCGACTCTCCGTGATGCAAGATTACTCAACACCAACTCAGCCCTGGGTGCAGGAGACTACGGAAATATGACCGAAATTTTGTTGGGGAACATGCTAGTCACTGCAGTTTACAAGAACTTCGAATGCGTGTTTAAAAACAGTCATGCACAATGGTGCGTGTAAGTCGCAATGAGTAGGTAGTCACCTGATGTCCGCGAGCTGATGATTATTCTCTACCTTGTCATTTCGTAAAGATTCTGTGCATAGAACTCTACTACACGGAAAAGCGCCAACACCATTGACAGCATCGATCATGACTATCTCCTATGCTCCAAAGGAAGTAGCCGTTTTTGACGTGGAAGACGTGTTGGAGAAATTAACCGTTCAAGAAAAGATTGATCTACTTGCTGGTATGAGTTCATGGAATCTCAAGGGAAAGGAGAAGTAGGAACTTTGCTGACTATACCTGCAGGTATCGACTTCTGGCACACCAAGAGCATTCCCCGTCTTGGGGTCCCCTCAGTCAGACTCTCCGATGGCCCCAATGGAGTCCGAGGTACACGATTTTTCAATGGTGTGCCGGCAGCTTGCTTCCCCTGCGGCACTGGTCTAGCAGCAACTTGGGATGCCGGTCTGCTTCGGGAAGCCGGAACGCTCATGGGTCTCGAAGCAAGAACCAAGGGGGCGCACATCCTCCTAGGTCCCACGGTCAACATGCAAAGAAGTCCACTGGGAGGCAGAGGATTTGAATCGTTCTCAGAAGACCCAGTTCTTGCAGGCCAAAGTGCCGCTGCAGTTGTCGCCGGCATTCAGAGCACAGGAGTCCAGGCTGCTATCAAGCACTTTGTGGGAAATGACCAGGAGCACGAGCGAATGGCCGTTGATTCTCGCATCACAGACAGGGCTCTTCGGGAAATCTACTTGCTGCCTTTCCAGATTGCTGTGCGAGATGCCAACCCAGCGTCCTTCATGACGGCTTACAATAAGGTCAATGGACTGCATGTGAGTGAAGACCCCAGTATCCTCCAGAGCATTTTGCGTGATCAATGGAAATGGAAAGGCCTTATCATGAGCGACTGGTGAGCACTCAGAATATACAAATAGAAGAGTGGCCGCGAACTGATTACACCGCTCAAGGTATGGCACATACTCTACAATCGAAGCCATCGAAGCTGGTCTCGACCTGGAGATGCCTGGACCCACGCGTTGGCGCGGCCAGCTGGTGAAGCACGCTCTGGCATCCAGAAGACTCCTTCCCGAGATCGTCGATGAAAGGGTCCGCGCTGTCCTTAAAGCCGTTCGCCGTGCAGCCTTGACGGGGATCCCAGAAGGGGCAGAGGAGAACGGCCGAGATCTTCCAGAGACCTCAGCTCTCCTTCGAAAGATTGCGGGAAACTCAATCGTACTGCTGAAAAACGAGAACTCTACTCTGCCTTTCAGGAAAGAAAAAACTGTCAGTTCATCACCGGTTTGCTCTTGATAAATTCAAGCTCTCTAATACTTGACAGGTTCTCGTCATCGGACCAAATGCCAAAGCAGCGGTCTACTGTGGTGGTGGATCAGCCACTTTGAGACCTTACTACGCAGTAACGCCCTTCGATGCTATTTACGAGCAAGCAAAGCATGTAGTGTACTCTGTCGGGTGTTATGCTCACAAGATGCTGCCGATTCTTGGCCCGCGATTGAAAACCGTAGACGGCCAGGTCGGAGTCACCTTCAGGGCTTACACCGCACCTGAAACTGATAGCGATCGTCAACCAGTTGATATGCTGCATCTAGTTGATACGAACATGTACTTTGCCGATTACTACCACCCCGACATAACAGAAGACCTATGGTGGGGAGAGATTGAGGCCTCGTTCACTGCTGAGGAGACGGGCGATTTCGAGTTCGGTCTCACTGTTCACGGAACTGCCAATCTTTATATTGACGGAGAGCTCGTGATCGACAACGAGACTGTCCAAAGAGGTGGTGGGAGCTTCTTCAACGTCGGTACCGTGGAGGAAACGGGTACCAAGGCATTGGTCGCCGGGCAGACGTACAATATCACGGTCAAATTCGCCAGTGGCGCAGCATCCAAGGTCAAAGACGCCGATGGTGTGGTTTCCTTTGGCGGCGGCGGTGTTCGCATTGGTGGTGTCGAAGTCCGCGACGCAGATGAGGAGATTCATCGCGCAGCAGAGCTGGCAAAGTCGGTGGACCAAGTCGTCATTTGCGTCGGTCTCAATGCGGACTTTGAGCAAGAGGGTCATGACCGCCCGCACATGGACTTGCCTGGAAGAACAGATGACTTAGTTGCCGCTGTCGCTGCTGCCAATCCAACTACCACAGTCGTGGTCCAGTCAGGAACGCCCGTGACTATGCCATGGGCTGATTCTGTATCGGCAATTATCCAGGCATGGTACGGCGGAAACGAGACGGGTAACTCCGTTGCCGATGTCCTATTTGGAAACGTCAACCCATCGGGCAAGTTGCCCCTATCATTCCCGGTCAGGGTTGAGGACAACCCGGCTTTCCTCAACTACCGATCGGATCAAGGGCGAGTCCTTTACGGCGAGGATGTCTTTGTTGGGTATCGCTACTACGAGGCAGTCAAGAGATCTGTTCTCTATCCCTTTGGATGGGGACTATCTTACACGTCCTTCAGCGTTGACAGCCTCCAGGTTTCTCACGGAGTCAAGGACGGTGACGAAAAGATTATAGTGCGAGTTGGGTTGAACAACATTGGGAAGGTTGATGGTTCCGAAGTTGTGCAGGTCTACGTTTCACCACAACACCCCTCAGTTACACGCCCCAAAAAGGAGCTTAAGGGATTCTCTAAGACGTATGTTAAGGCGGGACAGTCCGCTCAGGTAGAAGTCATCCTGAGCAAGAAATATGCTCTCAGCTTTTGGGACGAACCGCGAAAGCAGTGGGCGGTGGAGGCTGGAAACTTTGACATACTTGTTGGCACCAGCAGCCTTGAGACGCCTCTCGCGGCCATGATGAAGGTTGAGAGGACTAGCTGGTGGTCAGGTATTTGAACATCGAAAAGCTTCTTATGCGCTACACGATAGACAATAGAATCGATTCGAATGGAATGAGTAGATTTGTAGGTCCGGAATACATAAGAAAAATGGTACCTTTTCGCATGTGGCAGAATCGCGATGTGTTCTTCCGTGGCGTGTTGGGGAGAAATTGGTCAATGTGTTCGATCAACATGGAAGCTCGCTCAAGAGGGCACCGAGCTGGTGCATGGCACGGTGTATTGAACCCCCCACCATTCTATAAGATACTAAATTTCGCAATTTAAATGAGTGCATGTCCCCTCAACTTCCTCAAGGGTCATCCACTGGAATGACTCCCAAGACTCAACTCCCTCGTAACCACAATCACCAACAGCAAGATCACTACACACCATTGTGATATCATGGATCCCGAATTGCTCAGCACGCCCTGGATCTGGCACCCCGAGTGGCAAGACCACGGCGCAAACACTGCTGGTGGCATCGTCCACTTCCGCAAGCGCCTGAAGCTGGAAGAAGTTCCGCATGGGCAGTCGAGAATCCAGATTACAGCGGACACGAAATACAAGCTATTCGTCAACGGTCGACACGTCTTTTCGGGCCCCGTCAAAGGGGATGAACATCTCTGGTTCTATGACGAGATCGACATTCAACCATTCTTGAAGGCCGGGGTGAATCGTATCTCAGTCAGGGTCCTGCGCTTCTTTCACGCCACGCAGTACGCCACAAGTTTCCCACGACTACCCATTCCCGGACTTTTTGTTCGATCCCTGGCGGCAAATGATGGGTTCGTATTGCCTGTCCGCAGTGATAGCTCTTGGGAAGCTTCTATAGACCGTGCCACGGTGCTTCGCATCGACCAGAAAGAAGACGATTTCCTCCACATTTACGAAGACGTGGACGCAAGGAGATCGTCGGAGCTCGATTGGGTCTCGGCGAAACAATTGGAACTGCCGACATCACACGGCATCACTCCGCCGTGGGTGCTCTCGCCGCGGATGATACCAAAACCAACAACCGCCACCCAAGTACTTGCAGCTGTTCACAATGTCGAAAGTTCTATCAGCCAGGCTTCGTGGGAGAGCTTCCTCAAAGATGGTGCGAGCACGCTCCGACTGCCCGCGGGCACACATCACCACATCGAGGTTGAGGCAAAAGTTCACTTGACAGCAATGCTCGCGTTTCGTTTCAGACGATCCAAAACCTCGGGATCAACTTTACGAGTTCGTTATTCTGAGGCATATGAAGAGGAACCAGAGTACGTTCCCTACATTCGCCGCAAAGGCGATAGGAGAGACACGACCAAGTCCTTGTTCGGGCCTGAAGACAAATACATTTTTGCTGGCTCTTCAGGGGCTCACGCCAGCTCCGAGATCGCCTACGGTCTAGATGCGGCGGAGTTTGAGACCTTCTCGCCTTTTCATTTCCGAACCTTACGCTTCATGGCCATCAACATCCAGGTAGACCCGAACAGCGATCTAGAATTTGTAGGAATTCTTATCGACCAAGTGCATTATCCTTTGGACATTAAGAGCGAACTCACACTTCTGTCGACCGATGATCACCAGAGGACTTATCAGCGACTCTGGGAGAACAGCGCACGCACGTTGACCAACTGTATGCATGACTGCTACGAGGACTGTCCCTTTTATGAGCAGCTTCAATACGCCATGGATGTTCGCAGTTCCTGTCTGTTCACGTACGTCGTGTCAGGCGACGATCGAATGGCTCGACAAGCTATCGTTCAACTTCATAACTCGTATCGTCCGAGTATTGGGCTCATCGCAAGTCGCAGTCCTGCTCATGTCTTTCAAGTTATCCCTCACTTCTCGCTCTTCTGGATCTGCACGGTAGCTGATCACTTCACATATTACGGCGACGGAGACTTCACTCGAAGATTCCTGGCCGTATGCGACGGTATACTTTCGTCCTTCGCTCAGCGCTTGAATGCCGAAACTGGACTCATATCAAGTGACTGCCAGTCAGTCAGGACGCATTGGTACTTTGTCGACTGGACAACGCAATGGAGACCTATGGGCATACCGCCGGCTGCCGAGAGGACGGGCACTCAGACATTTACCAACTTTCTATACGCCTACACGCTCAAGACCATTGCAGAGACTGTTAAGGACCTCGGTCGACCGACCCTCGCCCAGGAGTATAGGTCACGAGCAGACGGTATCATTTTGGCCACACAGAAGCACTGTCGCGTGGGGGCAGTATTTACAGACGGAACGGCAGCCAGAGCTGATCATTCGCTGGATTTTAGTCAACATAATCAGATCTGGGCTGTTCTTTGTGGCGCGACTAGTGGTGAGGAGGCAAGAAAACTCCTTACTTATTGCTTCGATCATGGCCCGATTGCGTCGGAACTCCCTACTGCTTCGGGACAACCCGTCACCTTCACCAAACTTTCAACGGCGATGTCATTCTACGCTCTCCGGGCCTTGTCCGAAGTTGGCGGAGACCTCTACGACAAGGCTTTCCACTCTTTCTGGGATCCCTGGCGGCATCAGCTGAGCAAGAACCTCACAACTTGGTGCGAGGACGAGGTAACGCTCAGATCCGACTGTCATGCATGGAGCGCGGTGCCCCTCTACGAGTTCACGACTGAGGTTGCCGGAATTAAACCACTCGAGCCTGGATGGCGAGCCATCTCTTGCGCTCCTCGATTCAACCTCTTCAGCGAGTTTGACGCCAAGGTGGCGCTTGGTGGAGAACTAGCGCCTGGTATTGCTCGTGTCAGATGGTCCCGAGAGATTGGTACTGATGACCTGAGTTTGTCGGTTGTTCTACAAGACATTCCAGTCGAAGATTCGATTCGAGTAAGTGTAGAGCTTCCGAGTGGTGTTGAGGAGCATTTTGGTCGGGATCTTAAGTTCAACTTGCAACTAAAGTAGAGTATCGTACCAAGTTACACTAAGCATACAAGCATCTTGCTGTTCACTTACTGCCCGCGACCCTCATGAGATCGTAACTAAGATTCCGCGACGGCACATGTCTGCCACTTGTTGATTTACCCAAATCCAGGGGCAAGGCAATCCTACGTGATTCATAAAATCGACAAACTAGAGTCAGAATCGGGAAAAACTGAAGGCAAGCGCGAGGTCGAGCTAAGTTAGCGGGAGGATACGAGACGAATGCATTGTCCCGGCTTTCCGCGTGAGCTCCACCTGTTCCACGCCCCGCGTATTCTTGAGAGTCTCGACTCCGGCTTTCCGCGGCCGAATCTGTTCTTTCAACTGACCTCTAGCCTAAGAATCCAGCTTTGAACTGGATAAGAAATAGTTTTGAGACTGAGCGAACATCTCGGTCACCTACCGGGTCACGATTTTCGACGGCCTGGGTCCGGAACGCCCCCCAGTCCCCCCGCGAATCACCCCATACCCCGGATCCCAAGAATCTTTGCAGGGGCGCTAAGTTGAGCGTGTCCGAGGGAAACACCTCATCGGTATTCTGCTCATTCTTCACCATCACGCGACGATTTGTAGCTTGCTTCCATGACTGCCGGTTAACTTTTCTATAAAACTCTGTTCAAACGCTGATCTCACTTGTATCGGTCTCCGTTCATTACATCTCTAGAGCCTTTTGCAGCTTTCGCCAACTCGAACAAACACTCTCAAACCAACAACACTCACAAAGTCGTTCATAATCCAGTAGAATCAACATGGGACCCGGCAGCAATGTCGAAACTTCGTTCGTCACCACTATGCCAGAGGGCGCGGTAGACCCGAAAATATGGTGGAAGTCCAAGAATCTTTGTACTCTGAATTTGCTTCTTGCATTTCCAATGCTGTCCATCTTCACCCAAGGGTATGAGCACGCTATTTCGGACCCTCGGTGGCATCGTATGCTTACAAAAGACGTCTAGTTTTGACGGGTCCATGATGAACGGCCTGCAGTCGGTCGAGAACTGGCGAAACTACTTTGGAGAACCCAAAGGTTCCACCCTTGGTCTCTTCAACGCTGCCTATCCTATCGGAGGTCTCTGCGCTATCCCGTTTCTCTCTTTCGTCAGCGATAGATTTGGTCGTAAGATTGGTCTGGCATGCGGTGCAACTCTATGCATCATCGGCTCCTCAGTCCAAGCCTCAGCTCAGAACCTCGCCATGTTCGTCGTCGCTCGTGGTATTCTCGGATGCGGCACCGTATTTCTTGGAGCTTCAGGCGCCCCGTTGATCACAGAGATTGCCCACCCGGCACACAGGGCCACCGCAACCGCGCTATTCAACACCTCATACTCTCTCGGTGCCATTGTGGCGGCATGGACAACCTTTGCGAGCTTTCGCATCGATTCGACATGGTCGTGGCGCATTCCATCGGCCATCCAGGGTCTTCCATCTATCATCCAGCTTCTGGGTTTGTATTTCGTTCCGGAGAGTCCGCGTTGGCTCGCTTCTAAGGATCGCAACGAGGAGACTTTGGCTTTCTTGGCCAAGTACCATGCCGAAGGTGACGAACATGACGCGCTTGTCCAGTTTGAATATGAAGAAATCCAGAGCACTCTCGCATACGAGCGTACAATCGACCGAGGCAGCTGGATCCAGAATTACCTCGAGCTCATCAGGACGCCTGGAAACCGCAAGCGACTATTTATCATTCTCTGGACTTCGTGTATAGCCCAGATGAGTGGTAACGCCTTCGTCTCGTACTACTTGAGCAGCATTCTATCTTCCGTGGGGTTAAAGTCTTCCATGGAACAGACGCTCATCAATGCCACCCAACAGATCCTCTCTTGGCTTTCTGCGCTGTACTTTGCGACACTTCCTGGCAAACTTGGTCGCAAAACACTGTTCATCAGCTCCCTGTCCGCCGTTTTTGTCTGCCTGATTTGCATCACGGCTGGCAGTGCCGTCTTTGCAAACAACGAGTCAAATAAGGCCGCTGGTGGAGCAGTCGTTGCGTTTCTCTACCTCTTTTCTCCTGCCTACAACCTGGGTCTCAATGGCAACTTGGTATTGTACATCACCGAGATTCTTCCTTACAGCCTCCGTATGCGCGGTACAGCTTGTTTCCAGCTGTTCTCCACATGCTTCTCTCTCATTTCAACCTACGTTGTCCCCATTGGTCTTGACAAATTGGCTTGGAAATTCTACACCATCTTCATCCCTTGGGTTCTTATCGAGATTATCGTCTTGTGGTTTGTTTACCCAGAGACCAAGGGCCCTTCTTTGGAAGAAATTGCTCTCCTTTTTGACGGACCGACCATGGATACGACAACAACCATTGGAAAGGATGGCGTTAAACATGTCGAGATTGGTTTTGCGGAGGGTACGGAGAAGGTCTAAGCGACAAAGTTTTGTAGTTCATGCAGTCACGGAGAACGAAGAACCTGGCTCGATAATACTGTATTACATTTGTATCCTACAGTCACATTTTGAGGTGATAAAGTTGTAATTCCTATAAATCTCTTTGAGTCCAAGGCTGCTGCTGTGACTTAAATTCTCGCAGATTCTCTACAATAATTTATTCCCTATCGACCTTTCTCCCAGCCCGTGACGCTGTTATGCCTCTACTTCCTTTTGTTCGGGAATCGTCTTGAGATGGCTCCACTCAGCGAGGACCTGGTGATCACTAATCACCCATCACCCAAATGGTGAAAAATTCATCCGTGTCTCGGCTGTATCACTAATCTCTATGTTCCTCAGACTGGCCCTTTGGTGCATGGAATTGAAGAAATAAGCTTGGGAATAAGGTAGTTCAGATTCAATTTTACCTAATTGATGTCGAATCAAATTTCGCAAGGCCTCGTGGTACAAGATTCAGGCGAATAGATCCTCAAACCTTAACAGAGTAGGCAAGATTCCCGCATCATATCATGTGTCCACTTTTGAACCTCTGAAAAGGTTTATGTTCATCGGACCGCCTAGTAGAAAGATGAAGCAAGACAACATATTACTAGTCTCTGCCACCTTCAGCTCTTCTGACCCCATCCAGCCTGGATGACTTCTCTGACAGTTCGCGCCTTGATACCTGGAAACAACTGATTGAGAGTTGTTCCCGGCTCCAGATGATATAGCCCTTCTTCGAACCAGATACCAAAGGTGGCGAAAAGTGCCTGAAGTTGATCTTTTGGCATCACACCGTACAGGGATGGATGAGATGGCAACTCGGTGATCTTCCCAGATTTGAGAAAGTCGATATCGTCGTAGGTTACTTCAAACTTGACGCCTAAAGAAAGAGTGTGTAAGCAATTTTACATGACCATGAGAAAGCATCATTGATAGTTCACTTGTTTACCTTTGACCTCCTCCGCGATTCGCAGAAATTCGTTCCACGTCACATTCTCCCCGATAACATAACTCTCCCTTTCCCACTTGGGGAGCTCTAAGCTTGCTACCACAAATTCCGCGACATCTAAGGTATGCGTGAAGGTAACGGGGGTATCACCTTTGCCAGGAATGGCGGCCCTGTTGTTCTCGATGTCGACAACGATAATATTTTGTATCTGGTATGTTTTAACCCGTGGGTACCCCCAAAAGTCTAGGAAGTAGCCGACGTAATACAAAGTGTACTCCAGAGAGGAATTTTCGAGGTCTTCCACTGCATCGAGCTTCGATTGACCGATAGTCATCTGCCTCTCGGTTACTTGACTAGAAGACCTTTGTCAGACATGCTGTCCTCAAGGTCGGGATTCCTTTCGGGGGAGTGGTTGCAAACACGAGATAGATATGTATGACTTACTCTCTTGAGTATGGAATTCCCCACACGCTTGGAATAAATCTCCTCGTATGGACGCAGGCTTCGGCGGCACGTATCATGTTCACCTGAGGAGAGCCATCTGAAGTCACGAACAGGGTTGAGATTACTGTGTCGACTTCGTTGTCGTCGAAGACCTTTGTTAACTCTGAGACGCTGTTGTAGTCAACTTGAATGACCTCAATGCCCGTCTCCTCTTGAAGAGCCGGATTGGCCTGAATCAACTTAGCATCTAACCCATTTGCCGAGCTTGGCCGATAGTAGTAAAAGCTTACAGATCTGCTCAGTATCTTGACGCGGTAGCCACCCTTGCGATTGATAGCCTCAGCAATAGCTCGACCGATCCCACGAGTTCCTCCTGCGACGACGATGGTACTCATGATAATTGTTGGTATTTCCAAAGTTGAATGAAGTTAATCGAAGTTAAGCATAGAGCTTGAATCACTTATTGGGCGAACTCAGATCTTGAGGGCTTTGCCGTTATATAAACTTGAACCATTTTAAGACAAATATCGGGAAACTATCTATCCGACGGGCATTTCATCAATCCGTAATCCTTGTTCATTCTTTTGATCGACTATTGAGGGTCGCCGCCCACCTTGCTGGCTGCTGCGCTCGATCTTACCAAGAAGTCAATCCCGGACAGATTTCGGCCGAAAACTCCACGCCTCCTTGTGAACGCCACACCTGTTCACGCAGTCTAGTTTCAGATACTGCGTCCCCACTCGTTGTCAGGATCTTTGAAAGCTGCCTGTGTTTATTCAATTTGACTCCAGTCAATATCTGAAAACACACGACTAGCGTAGCATATTCTGGAAAGATTCCTACGAGAACCGGTGCCCAGCGCTGTCAGAGTCTAGGGTGAGGGGTAAAATATAAAGAAACTTGAGGTTACTAGTAGCGTGAAAAGAAGAGCGGAAAAGTTATTGGTTCTATCTGGGGTCACCTCCAACACGTTGACTTAAGCCCCAAAATACAGACAGATGTTGATCAGTTGCTCAGCACAGCACACGTCTAGCACGGGCTCACTTCTCTTCTCTAAAGAGTCCTTGATGCTGGAATTCGACAGCTTGGCTGATCATGTTGACGAACTGCTGAGCTCCGTCCTCAGCAAAGAATACCTCCTCACTCATGATGCAGCGCTTGATAAAGTCTTGAGCGCGGCCAAACATTTCCGTTTCGTACTCTTTGATGGCTTCCTCAAGTTTAGATGCGCGCTGCGCTTTCTCAGTAAGAACAGCAACCCCGTGCTTGACGATGCTCTCGGCGAGCTTGAGGGCGTCATACATGGCCATGTTGACCCCTTCACCTACGAATGGTGTCGACACATGCGCGGCGTCGCCAAGAAGAGTTATACCTGGAACACGATCCCAGTTGACGGAGGATACGGGCATGCGGTAAAGATGCCAGGGCCGAAAAGGACCTTCGGCGTTGGAAATGAAGTTTTGTAGTTCGGGAGCAAAATCCGCAAAGAACTGTGGCGAAGAAAGAAGCTTTTGTCGTGTGGCCTCTGTATCAGCCATATCGAGTGTGGTGTTTGTCAGGTTCTCCGGGGCCACCAAGCCCACGTAGACTCGATACGACCGATCGGACACCTGTTGCACCGAGACTGTTCGTCCGTTTCCCAAAGCCATCATATTTCCGGTTCCTGACAGTTCCAGTGCGGCAGAATAACTTGGGTTGTTGTGCGACAGCCGACCCTCGATGAACATCTTCCCAGAGTATTCAGGCCGTGCCGTAGTGAGCTACGTGATGTTAGAGAGCTGATATAAAAGCGATATGGCATACGCAAGAATTACTCACCAAAGGCCTAACTTTGCTCCACGCACCGTCAGCGCCAACAATGAGCTGGAACCCGGATGCAGAGGTGCCGTTCGTGAATTTGATAACCCAATCCGAGCCTGAGCCCTTCTCAATTGTCCTGACGCCATGCCCCCATCGCACCTTATGAGATGGAATCGAGTCCAACAGAAGTTGACGCAATTGGAAACGGTCAATCTCAGGAGCGTCGCGATCCTGACCGAACTCGGCTTTCATTGTGCACGTTGAGTCCTGAACAACAAACTTCGTAGCATCCCACCGCGCGAGTTTACTGAACCTTTCGAAGAGTCCTGCACTTCTGAGCGCCTGCTGTCCGGAGGGGCCATGAAGATCAAGGGTTCCACCCTGGTACATCGGCGTGGGAGTCGAGTCGACGTCTTTCTCAAAGACCACAAAGTCTATGTTGTTCTTCTCCAGTAAGCGTGCGAATGTCAGACCGCAGGGTCCAGCACCAATAATTGCGATGGAGGCTGAAATTCGGGCCATATCTTGGGTATCTGGCGTCCTTCGCGTGTTTGGTGATATATCGCCTTGATACATGGATTCCATCTAGTGTTTACTGGTAATGACTTCGATATAGCGTGTTCGATAAAGTTGCATTGGATTGCGAACGATCTTAGTCTGAGTTGTGCTAGAAGGAGCAGTGTGTCCACTTTGATTCCGGCAGAACACGAGCTCAAAGGACGAAGAAGACTAGTTTTTCCCTTCATCTTATACTCTTCCATTGTTTCAAGTGCCACAAGCTATATTCCCATCCAGCATTCAAGCAGAGCTGAGCTACTGGTTTACTTAGTCGGACCTTCGCTTTACTCACGGATATCGTGATTTCTCCGGGTTGGATGCGCTAAAAGCAAACAGTGTCTAACGCTCCCGATGTGATTGGTTGACCCCGGAGGTATTCCGGAGGATTATTGCCATGGAAGATTGGGCAAGGCGGACATTGTCCGAAATTCTGCTCGTTGATTGGCTGAAGTCGGAGTGTCAGCATCATACCTTGTTCGGGAAATAAGTTCACTGTTAGCGACCATCCCTCACCACTTCTATCGTACTTGTCAGCACCACCACAATTCATGAGAAGGTTATCATTACTGATCAGTCGACTCGTTCTCCGCTTTCAAATTTCATTGGATGAATCCTACTTGTTACGGGATTCATAGCCGCGTCCCTTTCAAGACCGATTACGATGAACTCAAGTAACAATCCTGTGCAAGGCACTCAGGTGGCTCGTTTTGCAGTGAGCCTCCAAAATACCGATCCATCGTCATCGGTGGCTTCTCACTGACAGACTCGACATCTTCTAGTGTGATTATTGCCGGCAGAAGAAGTTCAGGTACTTCTATTACTAGTCCGACTTATTGCTAGCAACATGTTCCGAAGAGATGAAAACTTTGTGTCTAGACTAACAGACAAAGGTGCTCCAGGGAACTGCCAAAGTGCAGTGCATGCCTTCCATGGCCTGGGCCTTGCAACTATTCTCGCGATCGCCTTAAGCCTGCCCCAACTCAAAGCCAGCCTAGTTCGGTGCCAACCCAAGGACAACCAGGAACTCAGAGCAACGAGCCAACGCCTCAGCCAGCAGTCACACAAATTGATCTCACGGTAGAATCTCGACTTTGCAGCATAGAACACAAACTTGACCGTTTAGCTTCGTTGGTGGAAAAGGCTGTCTTGCGAGCTGCATCCGAGAAGGAATCGGAAAGCGATGCTCAGACGCCGTCGCGGGCCAACCAGACGAGCAGCCAAACCGATTCTCGGGTTCCGAAGCTGTTCATTGGCGAGTCTCATTCTTTCTCTTTTGTTAGAGAGGCAACTGAAAACCTCCGGTCCACGCCTGGAATACCTGGTCCTTCGTCTCGGCAAGAGGCGGACGCTCAGTCTGAGCTCCAGTTTCTATCAACGTCCCTGACTACCGCGACACTTGAGCCCGGGCATAACTCACATATGTCAGGGCTCCATGTACCTTCCAGAGCCATAGGCTACAAGCTTATTGGAAGTAAGTCTTAGGTCCTTGATCCCACGACCGGGCCGTGTGCTGATAGACATTGACGTTTCTAGCCTTTTTAGAACACGCGCCAAAAGGCGAGCCATTCTTTGTCACACCTTCAGAGGAGCTTCTGAAGCAGATAGTCTTCAATCCTGATAAAGTCTCTCAGAAGGCTTGGTTGGTCTATTTCAACTACATTATGTTAGCTCAAGTTTCTCCAGAGAAACAAAACCATGGAGAAGAAGCTGCGAGATTTCGCCAGAACATGCGGATCGCCTTGAACGACAGCCGCATATTCTTGGAACCACGACAAGTTAATGTCCAAGCATTAGCTCTGCTGGCTGTTCATGGCGAGGACTACGCCTCTCCGAACTTGTCGTGGATGCTGGTCGGCCATGCTTGTCGCCAAGCAGAGGCTCTCGGCTTACATTTGCCAACGCCTAGAGATGTTGAAACCTATCAGCGAAGTCTCTCGATGTTTTGGCTTCTTTTCGTATTGGATAAGTCGTGTGCCCTTGCATTTGGTCGATCCCCGTTCCTTCCGATGAAACTCTACCAAGAGGTTCCATTGCCTGATTTCAGCTATCTGCTCAAGTTCCAACCACATCTCGATTCGGATTTCAGCAGTGCACCACCGGCTGCTCGTCCGTCTGAGTTTGGAGCACACTTCTTCATCAGGGGTATTGAGTTAGCCAGGATCATGGGCTCAGTCGTCGATACGCTGGCCCCAGGTTCTTCGCCACCCTCGAGGGAGACTATCAAGCTGCAGCTCGAAGAATGGTCCAATCAAACGAAAAAGGTACGTCAATGAAAGGATGAAATTACATCCGCGTCGAATCACTTCCTTCCACTTACGCTGTGCAAATTACAGATTTTGGATAAAATAATGGACGCAGATAGGCCCCTCCTTGAGCCGACTCAGTTGAAGGAAATGTCCTTGGGCCTCAATAGTCTGAGATTCCAGTACCTCCATGTCGTGATTGTTCTTCTCAAAGGGGACAAGCCTTCCTCCAATCAACGTTTAGAGTGCGCAAGAGAGGCTCTATTCATACTACCTTCAATTGTCTCTAATTGGTCTTCCGTTTATAACGGAGTTGTTTGGTAAGACTTTTTCAGCGGATCTCGAACCTACGTTCATGATCCCTTCTAACAAAGGCAACAGGCATCTATTGTACTATCCTTTCATACCATTCTTCGTCGTGTTCGAGAACCTAGTCCAGAGCTCCACGTTCCAAGCCTCAGCGACAATCGACCATGACCTTGGTCTCCTTGCTACAACTGTTTCCTATTTTTCGAGCATGAGAGATCAGATGCAGCTTCTCGCGGTTTTATGCTCTCGTTTGGAGAATGTAGCGTTTGTGTTCCTCGAACTAGCTCGGAGACACATACGACATCGCCATGCAACCATTAACAAAACCCTTGATTCCTCATGGCTCCCACTACAAAGTCGGGCTGAAACGAATGTCGAGGAAGTGGCAGCAGGAGATAGCCTCCCCGGCCTCTCACAAGGCACTCTTGATGACTTCACTTTGGGGGATGGGCTAGACATCGGAAATTTCCTCAACTGGCTGCCGGCTGACATTTTCACATCTGGGCCATCTCTGGGGCTTGAATCGCGACAGATTCTCGGATCTGCAAGCAGCGGCCCTGAAGTTTCATCCACAGCCGATTTGCGAGGTCGAAAAAGACCGTTTGATGCGACATTCGATTGGTTTTCGTGGGACGCATATTACGCCGACATGCATTTTCATTAGGTGATTAATCTTTTGTCAAATTTCCATGATCATCACACAGTTTATGAAGGGGCCCAGAATGACTCCTTCTACTTTAATTGAATCTTGTAGTTAGTCTCAACTAATATTGCGCTGTAGGAAACCGACCGTTCTCCTACTGAAATAGCCTGATAAATCTAAAAACACCCTCATGGCTCGAGTACACCCTTCTCCAACACAAAATCAGCCTTCGGCGGCGTGATATACTCAATCTCTCGATTTTGTTCAAAATGAACGCTTCCATACCGCAGCAACTCTGCAAAAGTTCCAGGTTCACGGTCCCTGTTCTCATTCTCTTTCATGTCCCACAAAGTCCCCAATGCGTTGGTCGCGGTCATGCCTGCGGCGTGGGTGACCTTCTGCATAGTCGATGTAGTCAAGATCGTCCATACGACGTTATAAGCCTTCTTGTATTCTTCAGACTCTGGATCGGCATCCAGTCGGACTGAGAAGAGGTCGAAGAGGTCCTCACCATTCCAACCGATGATGGCTTCTGCCGGCCAGTCTTCGTACAGCGAGTCGTGGAGAAGGATTTTCTTGTCGAAGTAATCGACGCCATCAAAGCCGCCGTTAGGCTCTTTAACCGCAGCAACTCTGATCCAGCACACGATTTGAGCAATGTACTCCAGTACCTTTGGGAGAGGAGCGCTCCAATTCCATTTGAAGTTCCGAGCTTCGACTGCATCGGCGTTCATGTCTTGTGCGAAGGAGACGAGAGGGTTTTCGAAAATGCCATCGGAGCTGTTGCGGCCCTTCCAAATCTCCATGAAAACATCGTGCCTTGATAGCGAATTAGCTCTCCCCCTCAAACGAAGTCACAGTCGTGCCTTATTGTTGAGCTCCGATACTGATTCGCACTTACCAGTGTTTGATGAACATGTCACCTTTGCGACTTGCAATGAAATGGTTGGCTACGACGTTCGAGTACATCCAAGGGGCGGAAACCTGGTAAGGGCTGTTTGGGTCCTCAAGTTTCTTCCAGCAGAGATAGTCTATAGACCGAACGAGGATGGTGCCCACATCCACCCAAGCACCGCCATATTGGTAAAGACAAATACCGCGAAGGAAGTCTGCACTGTGGGGACCAGTCCGCACACGGGGCCCATCCATCTTGTGTGCAATATAGGCCTCGGGTAGTTGGTCTTCCTTGACCCAGTTTAAGGCATTGTTTGGAGAGTCTGGGACGTCATCCAAAACGCGAATCGCCCATTCCGGACCGCAGAGTCGAGCCCAGTTGATGATGTTGCGCTGGCCCCAGCTTGGAAGGTTGTCGAGGCCAGAATCCCAAAAGGCCCAGATGTTCTTTTCTGAAGTGACTGGTAGAGGGCTTTTTAAAGACTTAAGAATCTCCTGATCGGAGCGCGAGTCGAGAGGTTCGACATGGCGGAGTTTTGATTCGAACTCTGGCGGGATCTGGAATTTTGGTGAAGACATTGTGAAGTATGAGTAACAAAAGACATGGAGCTTTGAAGGTCACAGTTCTTAGGCAATATTGAACGACTGATACTGAGGCGTCTTAAATACTTCTACTCCCGTTGGTTTGGACTGGTACTGTGTTGCACGGAGCAAAAACCGCAACCTGTAGCGCTTACATTGACGAGAAGCCATTGATGGATCTCCACTGCCCATCACATTTGGCGTTCGACGGAAAATCAATGCACCAATGACGTTCTCGGTATCTGACTGTAGCGCTGACAAAGATGAGATGCAGGACGTAGCCAAGTCTGACTGACAGGAAACGTGGACATTTCTGCACAAAGCAAATGGAGGTGAGAGCGAGTTTGTTTCCTGGATTGGTAGGATGACATGAGAGTCAATAATCGGTTGGTTGGCCCAGGACTCGGCCGACATTTGGGTTGTTTTGATTCGTGTATGGGTTGTGCGATGGCGGGTCTCACTGCACCTGTTTACGACGTAAGCAGCTGTCACGAGATATGGATGTGGTTAATGCTGCCCACATTGAGTGGGCCCGCTTTTTGTGACAGCAGCATGTATGGGTAATCTCTGAGCACACATCCATCGAATCGCCGACTTGATAAGTGATGACAAGGAAGCATTCAATGTGATCCATTCTAGATCAATGAAGTCTCCAAATCCTCATATCACACCAATCTAAAGCCATCAAATGGCGGTGATCTCGACATTTTTGCGTCCCATTTCCTCAAGGTTTGTTTCTCACGGAGCCCATCGATGATGTGGTTTCTCTGTACGCTTGAGGCAATACTGAGTCCCATGTCTCAACCTTCATGGTCTAGACGGATGTTGCAAACAATAGACTCGTAGAGATTTCACATCAGAAGATCACCTCCTGAGTCAGTGAATCTAGCGCTGAGAGACTTCTCACAATGCAGTGGCCCAATTGCCTTGTCCGTATCGATCCTTTTGGGCAGGTGAGATGCCGTCATTCACGGTAGCTCTCAAATTTTCGTACTCTGTTGACTCCAGATACCCAGCCCCAGTACGTCGGGGAGGATCGGTGTTAGCCACGAGTTCGTGGCTGAGGTAAGATACTGCCAAGATCTCAACCCTGGCTCAAGCCGATCGATCACATTTTTGGCGCTTCTCAACCGGGACGTTATGTAAATGTGCACACGAACTCAATGTCCCGATGGATTCGAGATCGCTTCATGTTGAGCGAGGTGATTCACTTTCCATTCAAGCAAGTGCGACTGTCCAACTAATGAGGATGCAATAGAACTAGGTATTGAACGTGGGCCAGGCAAACAGGGCTGAGCGACCTTCAAGAGGAGATTTTTAGGGAAATAATAATTAAGGTTCTGTTGGCATTTGGGTGGCTTCAGTCAAGCCATCCGTTCGTATGGCTTTTAGCTAAGGTGGGCTACTGGGACCACTGGCTCACTAGCTGGCTTCCTCACGCGTGCCCGAGAAGAGATCAACCCCTGCTCGCCTTGTGTATGGACGGCGAAGTAGATTAGGGGATACCCCTATGGAACATTCCCATTCTCTTTTCTGGTGGAGCGACTGCTAGGCTCTCAGCTCGATCATTGCTTCGCTTCATCCCAGAATGAAGATTAAAATCTCAATTTTCGAGAGGCGCATAGTATCGCCCGGATGTTACAGCGTCGCTCTTCATGAGGACAAATCTCACCACTTCCCGCTTTGCCAATGTAGCTGACGCCACTGTCATGATCGGAAACTAAACAGTGCCATGGCGTATTTTACCATAAGATCGTGTGCGACGCATCGCGCCTCACCAAGACATCGTGACTGCCTGAGGAGGAGACCCAAAACGGCGCTGCCGTTAGCAATTTCGGGCGCAGGGTCAAGGAATGGAAATCGTGCAGGTAGCCCGAGCTAAAATCGGCCCCATTTTCGCAGTGCCGCAGCTCCCAAAACAAATCTCGTAATGGCTTCTTTCAAGTCTCGGCGGTTAGCGGTGCGGCATGGAAATGACTTCATACAGAGATCTGCGAATGACGGTCTAGGAATGGTACGAGGGGCACAGTCGTACAGTCTCACACCCTGTCAGCCCAACAGGCCAGAGGATCTCCACCACAGGCAGCGACATTTGCTAGGCCCCCCCGAGATCGGGAACTTTGGTGTGCTGGTTGTCGAGAATAGGTGGTACACTGTTTAACTCCATCGTTTTGCATTACTAGAGGATTGCCGCAGTACATGTAGACGCTACCCTGCCCTCGAATTCCGCACTGTTTAACCTTAACCCTTTTTTTACCTATCCTTTCCTCTATTTTACCCTCTCCCTCGTTAAGGGATCGCTAGAATCGTAGTTTCGATAGCTTATTAATAGGCTAGTACTATTATCTAGAGGTAAGTAACTTACGCTCGTGCGTAGGCGCCGGGAGTCTTACTATTATAAAAATAATAATAGATATACTAGAGCACTCAAGAGAGCTTTTTAATAGATTTCTAATACTATTTAAAACTATAGTCCTCGAGTTATAGGAGGAAGCCGAGGTATTATATTAACACGGCCCTATTTATCTCGTTAATACTAATAATAATCTTCTTAGTATAAAATATATTACTAATACTTTGCGGCCGCGTTACTACGTTTTATAAATCGTATTTAACGTTAGTAAGGATTTTAGTGTTATTTCTTAGTTCGTCTCTTAGTTTCTTTATTAAGGCCGTTATCGTAGGGTTAGTTTAGTTATTAGTATCTTAATAAGTATTTTAACTTAACTCGGAGGCTCTTATAGCCCTTAAGGAGAGGCTTTTAAGGGACTTATAATTAGACTTTTCGCTTATTACGGGCGAAGCTATTATAGTTAAAGCTATAGCGTTACGAACCTCGATAGTAGGTAGTTAATAGTATAATTATCTTTCTCTTATAGCGAGCTTAAAAAAGTATCTTAATTTAAGTACTAAGTAAGTACTATATTATTTTATTAAAACTATATTCTTATACTTATAACTTAGAAAGAATTAACTTTCTTCGATAACAAGGTACTCAGAGAATAGGTGGTAAAACTGTAAAAGACGCAAAGAAGCCAGGGATCTACGAGCTGATCCGGGGCTATGCCACTTGGGGACGCACCAACAGGCGCTTGTTGTCAGCCGAGATCCCTGGCAGTCAGGATTCACCTTGCTTTCGGCCCCATGAAACAGGCAACACAGGGCAATTCCAGCCACTTAGAGTATGTTTGGGGGAGCTGCTGGGCGTGTTGGACTATCTTAAGGTTACTTTGCAGGCCTGTAGAGTCTAATTAGGGCTGTGTCGCCAAGGACCAAGGCGACCAAAACAATAGGGGCTGTGGCGCGCCGGTCCAACGCAAATAAGACATTTCAACTGTAAGCGAGACGCAAGTGCGGCGCTGTTGGTCCAAGGGGTTTAATCCTTCGAGTGCCGTGGTCATCGTCAAATTTTACTTAAGGCGCAAGAGTCTCTCACGACATTTGGCAATGCGTTATTGTTGTCATCGAATACCTTACGTCTAGAAACTGAAGACTGGTCTCGTGTTCACTTGACGATAATACACACAATCCTCCCGGCAATCGACCAGATACCTACAACACGTCAACTACGAACACCGACAAAATGACTCAAGCATACATCATCGGCGATAGCTCGCCGTTCCTCAAGCGCGTCTTGATTCCCTTCTGGGTCATTCGAATCGCGATCATGGTTCTTGAGATCGTTCTCTACGCCGGAACTATCGCCCTCGCGGCCTCTAATAAGGAGACTCTGAACGACTACGGCGACGACAACAGAACAGCAAGCTGGGTCATTGGTGTCCTCTGTGTCATTATGGTTATCATTCTTATCTGCTTGATTCTCGACATCGTCTGCATCGTCAAGCGCTCCCGACGCACGCTCAGCCCGAAATTCTTCCTCGTCTCCAACGTCATCCAAACTCTGGTCTGGGTCATTTTGTTCATCCTCACCATCATCGGTGCTGGCGGCGCATTTACCTTCATTATCGCAATCGTCATTCTGTAAGCAGCTTCCAACGAACTGACTTTTTTTCCATTGAATGACAAATTAACCTCGGTTCTGCAGCGCTTCCTTCGTTGGTCTCCTCATTTATGCTAGCGTCATCTACCACAAGTTCCGCAAGGGCACACTGCCCCGCGGGAACTACGCTCCCGCCAACCCAAGCACTGGTTACACTGGAGGGTATGCCTCCAACGAACCCAACAAGACCTACGACCCGAACGCAGCCCGTTATGAGATGGACCAGAGATACGCATAAATCGTTGGTGGAAGGGTTTCGGTTAGCCTCGGCTAGTTTAGACACGGCATTTACGACTTGGTCATGTCCACAAGTCGATTGTATCAAAGAGGACTTGGTGGTGGTTCCTTCTGTTATAATGAGTAGAATGACTGTAACTCGGGCTAAGATACCAGGCGTAAAGAAATGAATTTTATTGGTTTTGCATACTACACCGGCCACAGGGTCATTGGCTCAACAAAGGCCAGCACACAGTTTCTTACTCATACCTCCATCAATGAAGCTGTTAAAGTTGTGCAAATAGTCATAGTTACGTTCTCGCAAGAGTGCAAAGCGCGATTTTATGGAAAACGGATCCGCCTTACATACCCGTTTCCCGCGAGCCTGAGCTTAATTCTGTATACCCCAGGGCCTTCTTGGGCGATTCTGAAGTCACTGATGGGATGTTCGAACATCCTCGGTGCGCCTCCTCCGCTGGAACTTTTAGAGTTCCGAGCCTGAACGGCTCCGAAGGTGGACCCGGCGACACAGATCCACTGCGGACTTTTCGGGCCCCGGAACTCTCCCGGCATTCGCCCGACATCAACTAGTACTTGAATCCACATGAGTCTGTTCTAAGATTGAAATGATTAGATCATTTGATCTCGAAGCTAAGTGGCAAAGGCTGGTCACGAGTCTGCAGCCACTCCTGACAAGATTCTCTCCATCTTTGGGTACATCTGTTAAGTTCATGCTGCCAGACTCCGTGGCTAGAAGGTCATCTTCGATACTAAGAGGCAGTTTCAACATCGCGAGGTTCTATTGGGAGTTGTTGAGAACTCACCTTACGCCCCCAACATCCCAACTTTGGTTCAATACCTTTTCTTCAATGAATTTTGAGAGTCTTTTATCACGGGGAAGAGGCCGAATCACATGTTCGTTAAAGCGTATCTAATTGTGTTAGCTTCAGAGAAAGGAAACTTCGTAGTTCTGTAAGAAATCTGGAGTTGGGAATGGAACTCACGCTTGGTTCCACCGTGACAATGCATCCCGCAGGTAGAAGTCTTCTGACTCTCAAGTACTTGAACATGGGATCGAGATTGTTATCAGTCATGTCGCATTGACCTCCGGTATCATGTGTGTCCATGCCCAGAAAATGGCCCAGTCCGTGGGGCATGCAAGCAGTGCTGACTCTTTCTCTCAGAATCTCATCCTTGTCCCCTTTCAAGATCCCAAGGGCTAGGAGACCATCAATCGCAACTTTGTGTGCCAATACATGCAGATCATCCCACACCACACCTTCCTTCAATTCTGCAATGCATTGTTCTTGCATGTTCAGCACGATATCATAGATCGCGCGTGATTCGCGTGTAAATCTGCCAGAGATAGGAAGAGTTCGAGTCTGTCTTGTGTTAGTCGGATTCAGGAGAAAGGTAAGGAAGACAAGCTCACAATGTCGGCGCCATAGCAGTTCCACTCAGCTCCAGCGTCCACTACGACCGCATCCTTAGGCTTGCCACTTTGATAGAGGTTTTGATTGTTGCTCTCGTAGTGCGTCGTTGCCGCTGTGCACCCGAGCTTGCTTGCGACCGCTCACAGCCAATATGCAATCGCTGCCAGAGAGCACGAACTAAGCTCAACTGCATATACCCGTCAAAACCGCAACTGGAGACACATACATACGCCGGATTTAGCTGCCGAACTCGGTATTGAGACCGGTCCCAGCCTCGGACAGGAAGCAGTAGCAAATACCACGTCAAACTCTACTCCTTTGGGCTATTTCGGCTACACAAGTCATAATAAAGTTTTTGAAGAGACTGAGTTTGACCTTTTCCTAGCCAGTGGAGGCACTTCGCTTTTGGACCCCAACAAAAGGCTCGCACAAAGTCACGAAGAAAGTCACGAAGAAAGTCACGATAGAGTCATCTTTCGTGAGCTACCGTCACCTTGCCAAGAATTGGCTCTATTCGTGCTACGTTGTCTGCCTAGCTTGCAGGCGTACTCTCATGAACCCTTCCATGAGCAAAAGGGATGGAGCCATATTGCTGCTAATCGGATCATCAAATCACTCCAAGCTGCATTTGAAACGTCGCCTCATCCAGTGTGTCTTGGACCACCATCTGAATGACAACGATTGGAAACAAGACGCAAGAAGTCCGAGTATCTTGGAATCGAGGTCACTGTAGTTACCTGCTTTTCGCTTTGCCTTATTAAACACTTTTGACTGGTTAATTCCAAGTCCATTAGGATCAAATAACAGGTAATAAAAGTTATAAAATATGTAAGAATCGTTAGCTGATTAGCCAACAAATTCTCACTGCTTCGATAAGTACCCTGGTCCTGTTTACAGAATGCTGCCTTTCTGCTGAAAGCTCTTGCGATTACGTGAACTTGACCGCCAATCACATTGGGTAGGGAACCCATGTTGTTTCAATTTTGAACAACGCGGAAGGTTCATATCCTTAATCTAATGTAGCGCCGCCTGGAGATGGGCAAGGCACGGTACTTGAGATTCGAACAGGTCAATCTCAAATGCTTCAGAATAGTTATTATACTCCATTCTACCTGACGACTAACGGATGGCAGAAAGATCAGGATTCACGCGACAGCTAGTAGTTCACTCTGATAAACAACCTTCTGTTTGGAGCTTGACTCATGTTCTCGAAGAAAAACTGAAGCCTACTTTCAGAGCTTCGAGGCCATGAAACGGTAGTAGGCCAAGCAGTTCCAGTCGGCAGAGTACTGGCCGCCAGATAATGCAATCCACTCCTCACCTACAGCCAATATATGTTAGCATTTGTGTCTCGTCAAGTTCATCATAGGAACAGCCATACCCTTTCTCACAACCCTATCGAGATTGCCCTTGGACGATGTCGTAGTACCACCGTAATCGATACTTTGATGAGAGCAGATTTAGTACATATCATCGTATCCTTCTACCGAAATGTATCTTGGAGGAAATCTTACCGCTGCATTCTCTTGACTTCGTCCCAATCGTGTCTAGTCTGAGTCCATGTGTTGGGATTGTCTGCCAGACGCCTGACGTGGAGATAGCTGGCCTTGAACTTCTTCTGGAAGACAGCAGTCTTTCCAATGATCAGACCAGTATGTAGACAGCCTGTCTGATCAATGGTGTACTGCTGAGAAGGAGTCATGCCCTTTTGGCCAGGATACGCCTTGTTGCAGGACATGAAATAGTAGTATGTGTTGTGCCTCAGGGTGCCAACGACCTTTTCGGCCTCTATCCATGCCGCACTAGAGTCGCGGAATAAGATGCCGTCGGCGTCGAATGCGATGCTTTCCGTAGTAGCTAAGTCGCCTGGAGCGCGTACTACGAGGTCTGTGTCAAACTTCGGAAGAGCCAAACCGGAGGCGGCGACGCAGTAGGCGAGAAGTTGCAGAAACCTCATTGTGAATGTCTCCAAAGACACTTGGTATGCTGGAGATGGGATGGTGTTGTTTGACCATACGACAGAGAATTGAAGTTGCAAGTTATTTATACGTGAGACATTTTGAGCTAATAGTCTCTCATTCTGCGCAATACCAAAGCTTATGAGATCGAAAATCCTCATCCTCGGCCATCCCGTAGCCAAGATATTCATCCCTTTGGTGGTTTTAGACGTCAAAAACCTAGATAAATTCCACCGAAGAGATGCTGTCTAAGTTGAAGGCAATTTCCAGATTCGAGAAAGACCCTTCGACAATCAATTCTCACAATGGCCAACACAAATTGATGAAGTAGTTCTCATAAGTGCTATATTTCTGTTTGAAGCGAGAGATCCCACGAGATGGAGCCACCGGCATTATATTGACGGCATTCTTAGCAATACTTAATAAGGATTCATGTCACTGAATGACTCGAGTCACAAAACAACAAAAGAACAGAGTCGCCGTCCAAGAGCCTCCTTGACGATTCCGTAAGTCAAAGCGTCAACCCGAAAGTCCCGGGTACTTCGGGCGTATGGGTTGCCACGGAGCAATCTGTTCCCGACGGGATTTAAGGAACAGAACAAGGATCAAACCAACGAGAAATTCGCCGAGAATGCAGGCACCTTCACAACGTTGGATTCCGACATTGATTGCACCTTAACTATTGCCAATCAGCTCGGCATCTTTACGTTACCTAAGCGGCACGAACACCTCTCTTTCCTAAGTTCTAGAGTGGAAGCTCCACTCATGGAGAAAACATTATTCGCGAGACCGACGGTACTCCTTCCCAATCCTAGAATTCCTAAGTTGCCTCAATCTGACCGAGCAGACTCTTAACCAGAAAATAGTGTGGACCCCAGAGAATAGTTTTGCCTAGGCATTGAAGTACGAAAGTGAATGGTAATGTTCGACACCGTACGGCCAAGGCAAGTACGGCTTTTAGTTATGCACGTATATGTAGCTGACTTGTATCATTGGATTATTATTAGACTATTTTTCTTACGTTGTTTCTGGAAGAAAATCTCTCGCAGCCTAGTGTGTTCATCAAACCATACTACTATTGAGGGGTATCCATGGTAAGGTAGGCCCCAGCGGCATCCTGCTTGATGCTCACATGGCAAACCCTGGAGTGGGATCATACGACTTCGGTACGCAGTACATGGGCGTGTCTCGAGATTGACTTCTTTATTCCAACGGAAGACAAAAATCTCCGGGATTATCGCCAGGAACAGCATGACTCTTTTGGTCATACCTTGGCTCCTCTATTAGCCTTTTCCTCGGGTTCACCACTAAACATCCTGAGTCGGTCGGGATGGATGCGAGAAAGGTAAGCGGACTTTGACGGTTAAATCACTAATCAGGGTTCATCTTGCATGTTTAGGAAAATTAATCGCTATGAAGTAGAATTTCATCTACCTCTCTGTTGTCAAGAACGGGTAATGGTATTGTGTTCGACCGCTTCATTGCTTGAGTATGATTTGGGACCAGGTATGTTGCTTGGTAAACGTAAACATTAATAGAACCAAGACCATAAGTAAATGAAACCGAGGGACTGCCAAGGTAGCCTCCATTGACTTGGTTCTCGGTGTCGCCTAGGAAGCTTTCGGCGTGTGCCGCGATCCCGGCTGTACATTCGTAGCCGCAATGAATTTCAAGCGAAATCTTGGATACAGTAGATAATGAGGCTCAGTAGGTCACGCCGTACTTTGATATAGTTCAGATATTCATCATTATCCTCTCATTAAATCTACTCAATTATGCTTCACGGTCTTCTCCGTTGGAGGGATGGTTCTCATCGACCAAACATTGTCATCTCTGGCTCGTTGTTTTGGCAGAATAACACGACTTCGGAAGAACGTTCTTCACTACCTGTCAGTCTCTTTAGAAGATCGCCATGGATGAACCAGTCGACTATAAGACTCTTTAAATCTTTGCACTTCGATCTTCCTAAATAACAGCAAAGGGTATCAGACATCACATCTTCTGCGGTGCATTCTCAGGTTTTCTTATTAAAATCGTCTCAAGATGTCACTTCGAGCATCTCTCCTATCTCTTCTCGTATCTTCGTTGGACTTTGCTAGCGCAGAAACTTCACATACACACTGGAAGCGCGATGGCGACGTTGCGGTAAACGACAAATGGGCGAATCACGACAAAGTCGTCCCCATTGCGGAAGCCCCTGGCTATGATCTCGATGGAGAGGTCCAGATGACCTTCAAGCCTCTAATCCAATTATGGCACGGATGTGTCCCGTACGCAGCGGTCGACGCTGATGGTGCTGCTAGGTAAGTCAGAATAACCCTTAGGACATATGAGATCCAGCTCTTAAGAGCCAAGCGACATAGATCGAATGTCTGACAAAGCTCGAATGATAGTGCTGGTTTGAAGCCAACAGGTAAAGCCGGCGGCGATTGCCGCGACTTTGGCCAAACTGGTCAGACTTACACACGAATCGGAAAATCCCATGACCGGACGGGCATCATCTACAGCTACTACCTACCCAAAGTGCAGGGTAACGACGAGCAGCACAAGCATCACTGGATCACAGCCGTCGTTTGGCTCACCGTCGATAAGTGTCCCGACGATATTGCAAACTTTTCGCCTCGCGGCGTCGCGTACTCTACGAACCCACAAGGCGCATTCGATACCACACACAACACCAACACCCTGTTCGTCAGCTGGGAGAACTCAGCGACAGCAACACGCCCTATTCTAGCATACGATGCCGGGGTTCCTCTTATCCCTTCTGCAAATGGTCCCGAAGGAGCCTTGAGCCCCCCTCTGGTCGCCTGGGATCGCCTCCCAGCTGCAGCGAAAGAGCAGCTGAATGGCATCCGATATGAGCACACCAGAGTTCCTTTCAGCGACGCCAACTTCCAAGGGACTCTCGACTCGGCTTACAGCGATACCTTCTTCACTGGCGTTGGTCCAGATGGTACGGATTGTGGCGATGATACGCCGTCGCAGGACGAGATTGATCCTGATTTCGGAGACCCAATTGCATCCTCCACTGCGACGCCCGAGCCTGAAGCCACTGGTCTTTAAAAAATGGGTCCAGTCATGGCATGAGGAGATGAAGACAGTCCAAGGCGTAAGCTATCGCCTATTGGTCTAGGACTTCGAGATAGCAGATGCATTTACCTAAGTACCCAATACTAAGTAACGGAGTTCCCAACTTTTAATTGTCATTCATCGCCTCTTGGAAGAGTCCGTGCCAGTATGGATCCACGGCCCGGATTTGCGGATGGAGCTTGCGGATATGGACGCTGGGTGGAATTCGCATGTGTGATGTTAATACTTGTGGCAATTGACCATGCAAGAATAATACATGGAAATCAAAGATTGGCAAGATTTCGATGACATATATCAATAGGGAAAGTCGAGAAATACTCAAGGTCTTCTGTCTTCGGGTGGCTTGTTCAATTGCAAGTTCGAATAACGGCGGCCACATCTCTCAAGAGTCCCTCATTAAATGTAAGGTATGATGGACCCTGTCGGGGCTCAGTGGGAACCCCATCTTTGGGACCGTTCATCTGATCGCCCGCTGTCGGGGGAGCTGTGACCGACATGGTTCCCCTCCACGAATCATTGTCATCTCATCCCGCCGCAAGGATGTCCCTTTTGTGATTTCCGACGGCACTGCATCTGTAGAATCATTGGAGCTATCAGCACATGATCGTGAAGCGGGGTTGAAGATGGTCGACGTTCAGTGTATTAATGATGTTTTACGTTCGGTGGTTAAGTGAACAGTGAGATCGTGAGCAATCTCATACACCACCCGAATATCATTAATGGCTTCCCAATTCGAGTTTGACGAGTCCATCAAGGGCGCTCTGCCCGCCGACTTTACCTGGGGCTTTGCCACGGCCGCTGCTCAAGTTGAGGGTGCCTGGAACAAGGATGGCAAGGGCGAGTCTATCTGGGACAAATTTGCGCATACTCCAGGAAAGGTGAAAGATGGAAGCACAGGCGACGATGCTGTGCGCTCCTACGACCTCTACAAGACAGACGTCGCACTCATGAAGAGATACGGCGTCAGCGGCTATCGCTTCTCTCTCTCATGGTCGCGCATTATTCCACTCGGCGGCAAAGACGACCCCGTCAACGAAGACGGCATCGCATACTACAACCGCCTGATTGATGAGTTACTCGCCAACGGTATCACCCCGTACGTTACGCTCTTCCATTGGGACACCCCGCAAGCCCTCGAGGATCGGTATGGTGGTATGTTGGACAAGGAAAAGTACACGCCCGACTTTGTTCGATACGCTCGCGTCTGCTTCGAGCGCTTTGGCGATCGAGTCAAAGACTGGATCACCTACAATGAGCCCGGTGTCTACACCCTCGCGGGCTACGCCGCCGGAGTGCACGCCCCAGCCCGTTCCAGCTTCCGCGAGCTGAATGAAGAGGGCGACTCTTCCACCGAGCCCTTCATCGTCGCGCATACCGAGCTCATCTCCCACGCCTACGTGGCCGACATGTACAAAAAGGAATTCAAGCCAAAACAAAAGGGCAAGATCATGATCACGTTGCACGGAAACTGGTCTGAGCCCTGGGACGCATCGGACCCGCTCGACGTCGAGGCCGCGCAGAGGGCCCAGGAATTCGAGATTGCGTGGTTCGCCGACCCATTGTATAAGACCGGTGACTACCCGGAGTCCATGCGCGCGCAACTCGGCGACAGACTGCCACGGTTCACGCCCGAGGAGAGCAAGCTTGTGCTAGGTAGCTCCGAAGTCTACGGTATGAATTCGTACTCTGCGTTCTACGTCAAGCACCGCGACGGTCCGGCCGACATCAACGACCACAAGGGCAACATTGAGCAGTTTGACGAAAACAAGGAGGGTGTGCTGCGCGGGCCGATGAGCGATACCTACTGGTTACGCACGACGCCGTGGGGATGGGCAAAGTTGCTGCGATGGATCTGGAATCGGTACCATGTACCCATCTACATTACGGAAAACGGGACAACGGCGCAAGGCGAGCATGATTGGAAACCCAAGGGCCCTAACGATATTCTCGAGGACCCATTCCGCGTTGACTTCTTCAAAAGTTACCTTACAGAGGTGGCAAAGGCTTCGCAAGAAGGTGTTGTTATCAAGTCCTACTTTGGATGGACGTTTACGGACAACTGGGAGTGGGCGGCAGGGTTCTCGGACAGGTTCGGAGCGACGTGGATCGACTACGAGAGTCCTGAAAAGACGCGCTACCCGAAGAGGTCGGCACTTTTCCTTGGGGACTTCTTCAATCATCTGATTAGCAAAGACTGAATGGGGAAAATGATGATGTCGGATTGGTGGAAAGAATCGGTTCAAACTGCACTTAGCTCACGACCAGCGCGTAGACGGACCTAAAGACACCTCAGTGATGTGTTCCCACGGACTGTTCATGCGTTATTACTTCCAAAAATGAATTGTCCGAGTCGAGATAGCAAAAGATCTGCCTCGAGGGCGAATCGAACGCCCGATCTTCTCATTACGTAGATCATACGAGTGAGACGCTTTACCACTGAGCCACCAAGGCTAAACAGATCCATGTTATTTCCGAACGGCTGAGGCAATATCACCCTGAGCTTTGCGTCCTTGGAAGTCACGATGTCAGCGACGGATCATTGAGAGTTAACTTGTGTCTTTCAGGTGCGAAAATTTGAGTTGTCATCTCAGGAAGAAAGTTCAATGGCATTTGGGGTAGCTTAAAGATAGTACTCTTGTTGGTTGATGGAACTAAAATCTCCAATTCGCTGGGTGAAAGCAACCAGAGTCAGTAAGCCTTCCAGGCTCAACGCTGGTAGAGGCGGTACCTATGCTCCGATCCGCTCGGCTCCCACTCGCGTTCTTGTCGGGGATTATTCTGGATCTCGGAAAACCCGGGCTCTAACGTCATGTTCTGAGTACATACTGGTGAGCAGCGATAGTGATACATCAAACAGCTCGTTGTTCGATAATAGTGCCTTGAGTAAACATGTACTTCTGCCTGCAACGCAAACTCGGATTTTCCAATGCAATGATGAGGACGAGAAAACGATGTCACCCCGGCACAGCTACCCCGGAATCCCCGCAGTCTCCACGTTGGCAACGTAACATTCTGAATGGCACGGATCGGGGCATCGTAAGCACTTCTCGAACTGACTACATCGGTGTTTCCCAAAACAGAAAGTGTAAACACGGAGGGATCATTCAGCCTGAGGTGCGACGTGTTGTCGGTGTAAGCTAGGAGGGCTCGAAGGGAGGCACTCGATCGCTTGAAAAGGGACATGCCGCCTCCTTTTATGACTTCAGTTGATCTGTGCTTTGTTCCTGGTGTTTCGCCACGACTGAGAGACTCCATCGTAAAACCGAAGCAGCATGGCAGCATTTTGGCACTTGCTTGTTGGACTCCCTCTTCTGCTTTGGAGTCATCTTCTGACATCGCCAGTCAGTGCAGAATCCATACAATGCGAGGCCAGCTTCAATGCCGGGAACACATCCAATGGGATCCAAGGTGTGACTAAGCCTAGAGTCTTCATCTTCTCTGACATCCTCAACGAACCCGACGACTCCATGTCACTCATCCGCTTACTCTTGTACTCGAATCAACTGGATATCCGCGGGCTTTGCGCAACTACATCAACGTTCTTGAAAAACGAGACACACCCGGAAGAGATGACCAGAATCCTACAAGTATATGGCACCGTTGTGGGTAATCTCAACCATCATGTTTCGCAGACGTTCCAGTACAGCAGCTCGGATGTCCTCTTGCCATTGGTGTCATCTGGGCCAAAAGTAAGTATTAGAATCTGCGAATCATCTCTCGTTAAGCTTGACGTGAGCTGACTTTGTGAGTCTAGGTCTACGGAATGGAAGCGCTGAACACATCTCTCAGCGAAGGGGCGAAGCAACTAATCGAAAAGCTCCAAGAGTCCTCGGAACCACTTTATGTTAGTCTCTGGGGCGGCGCAGGCACACTGGCACAAGCTCTTAAGCAGATCGAGACCGACCAGTCTTCGGAAGATGCTGCACGTTTGAGGTCACGGCTTCGAGTTTATGCCATCTCTGACCAGGATGGCACCGGCTCATGGATCCAAGCACGATGGCCCGATATCTTTTACATCACCAGCATCAATGGATTCAACGAGTTTGAAGGTGCAACATGGGTCGGCATCAACACTGATGACAATGGTTTTGCGAATACTACCAAGATCAAGAATGCTTGGGCCGATGAGAACATTCGAGTCGGGCCTCTCGGGAGCATTTATCCTCAGATTCTATATGGAATGGAGGGCGACTCGCCCAGCTTCCTTTGGTTGATCTCGAATGGCCTCTCGGTTCCCGATATGCCTAACTTGGGAAGCTGGGGAGGCCGTTACACCAGGGTGTCTGAAGTAGATGATTTCAACTGGTATGGCAACGCACCAGATAGCGTATCACTTCCTTCGGGAAGTCAATACCGGAGCAGCCAAGCAACAATCTGGCGCTGGAGAGATGCCATGCAAGACGATTTCGCCGCTCGTATGCAATGGACACTAAACAACAGTGTGAGTGCTGTAGCGCATCCACCTCAACTGAGCATCAATGGCTCGATAGGCACCGAAGTTGTGAGATTCGACCTTAGTCTCAATGGATCAATCATTCTCGACGCTGCTAGTACATGTGATGCCGACCACCCTGGAGAAACGAGCCAACTCGACTTTGAGTGGTTTGGGTACCCGCCACCTCAGGGCTTCGGCGTCCAACCTTCACTCACAATTCTGCCACTCACGCCTCCACTCGGAACGGATGGTATTTACTCTTTGAATGAGGCTGGCTTTGCAAATGTCACACTTGGACCAAAGGTAAGCATCTCACCGCCAACTGAGGCCGGCTCTGCGACGGATGGGGAGGAGTGGCATGTCGTGTTACAGGTTCGCACCAAAAAGGGGCCGTACGCGATCCGTCGGTACAAAAGAGTTATCATCACAACGCGTGCATAGGAGCAACTTTAGGGATGCTAATATTCGACGCAAAAATACGATTTGCACTTGGACATACAACGGAAACAGTTCCCAGTCTTGTTAGAGATACAACTTCGATAGGATGGTTTACGTTGTACTTGATACATTTTCCATTGCACCAAGGAGTAAGCGCAGTTTCTCAATGTACTCGCAGCTCACATATGCTACGCTTTCGTAGAGCACGTATGGCTTGAATGAGAATCAATGATAAAGTGGGCAACGAACCAACTCCTTATCTTTGTTACCCCAATTCCTCGTCGGAGATACAGATAACTACAATCAAGGGGGGATCAATATTCTCCACACCGTCTACGTGACTCATGTCTCAGTCGGAAGAGTTGGTTCAAGATTGGTGTGCCAAGCGCGGGAAACCTTGCCCGGCGCTTCGTGCCGGCCAGGAGATAACACCGGTGATGAATTACAGAATCCGAGTATTTGCTAGATGGTTTGTGAGTCACCCAATCGTTTCTTTCCTATTTCATAGAGCCACTGAAACCATCCGAATGCAGTCAGGCGTCTCTCCCAATTCAACAACATCCAGCTTCAACCCCATTTCTCCGTGTGTGCCATTGAAAGTCAGCTTCGTATTGTTTGTTGTACCACGACCAAATCTTGAGGTGCGCCTAGCGTCATGTCAGATCCTCAAGAAAAGCAGACCCTTGGTTTGCAACAGCCGCAATCATCAATGCCAGACCCTGAAGCAGATCCCCCGCTCAATTACACCAATTCCCGACAAAGTTCAATCGTCGAGGAAGAGGAAGAGGGATTCACATATCCAGATGGAGGCACCACAGCCTGGTTGCAAGTCCTAGCCTCACACTTGATCAACCAAATCGCCTGGGGTTACCCCTCCTCATACGGTGTCTACCAGCTCTACTACACCACCACCCTCAGCCTCCCCTCATCTCAGGCATCATGGATAGGCTCGATCCAGATCTTTCTCACTTTCGGCATCTGCGCGCTATCGGGCCGCCTAGCCGACGCAGGCTACACCCGTCACGCCGTCATCGTCGGCCTATTCATGGCCGTGATGGGGACATTTCTGACCAGTTTCTGCCACGCATACTGGCAAATCTTCCTTGCACAGGGCTTATGCACCGGACTCGGGATGGGCATCATGTTTATGCCGGGGATCACCATCGTCGGCTCGTACTTTAAGAGGCGCAAGACTCTAGCGCTCTCCATTGTTACCACTGGGACAGGCCTCGGCTCTGTTACATTTCCTATTCTGCTGAATTACACAATGCCACATGTGGGCTTTGCGTGGGCTGTGAGGTGCCAGGCCTTGATGATGCTGATACTTGGTGTTATTGCGATTGCGCTGATGAGACCGCGGCTGGCGCCTAGGAAGAAGGGTCCTTTGATCGAGTGGGGTGCCTTTAAAGAACGGTCCTATACGTGTTTCGCTATCGGGAGCTTCTTCGTGTTCCTGTCTCTTTACTTCAGTCTCTTCTATGTAAGTCATGCTCTCCTGGCCCTAGAGATGAGACTGAATGCTGATTCGCTTACAGATGAATGTCTTTGCCCGCGAGGTCATTGGGCTTTCTTTCACTGAATCTGTCTCCTTGCTGCTGATTCTGAACTCGTCAGGAATACCCAGTCGCGTTCTCTCCGGATTCATAGCTGGGCGCTATCTGGGCTCGATAAATATGTTCATCATCAGCAACGTGGTTGTGAGTGGTATGTACTTTGCATGGATTGGAGTCCACACAAGTCCTGGGCTTTACGTCCTTAGTGTCTTCTTCGGCATCGCAAACGGTTTCGTACAAGGCGTCTTTACACCTGCCCTGGCGAGTCTGACTGTAGACCCCACGAAGATGGGAGCACGCTTCGGAATGGTCGCGACAATTGTGGGTGTGGCTTCCTTAGCAGGGCCTCCTATCGCTGGCGCGATCCTCGACGTGTCTGGTGGAAAGTATATCTGGGCGCAGATCTGGGCGGCTGTGATAACTTTGTTAGGCGTTGGAAGTCTGTTTGCTGCTAGAATAGCGGCCGTTGGGAATGTCTTGAGAGCAAAGGTTTGAGTACAGTTTTGGGCGTGAATGAAGCCCTTGAAGACTTGTGTTCACCACACTGAAGGGTATTGACCATCGAGCAGCAGGCGATGTTAAGATATTGCTAGGACAAGTGATTGACTAGGTTTGCCTTACGAGTAGTCAACTGGGCCACGTGGATGGGGCACATGGCTTGGAACGGCTGGGAAAGACTTGGGAGGAGTAGACAAAAATCATCACCGTTAAGCAAGATTAATTCAAGGTATCAGACATTATTCCAGTCCTATGGAATTATTTACATGAAGAAATGTCGCATAGACATGTTATGCTATCGTGGCATATTCCTAACACTCTCCTAGTGTCTAGCGGGAGCGGTCGCGTTCGCGGCACCGTAAACGATGCGGAACGGCTCAGTCTCAGTGGTATCATACTCCTCAAGCTTCGTCGCGTCACCAAAGACACGCAGAGACTTGATGGCAAACTTGTACTTGCCAGCAGGGGCGTAGGTGCCATCCTCAAGCTGGCCGTCAAAGTTGACAGCAAAGACACCGCGAGAGACGTACAGGTAAGGGAAGGAGCGGGGCTGGCCGAGGGTCTTAATGCCCCAGACCTCGTGGGTGATGTTAGGGGGGCAGGTGGTCAGGGGAACCAAGTCAGCGCGGACAAAGGAGGAGCCGAAGGCCATGTTGACAGCGAGGGCGGGAAGAACGGCCTCAGTCTCGTTGGCGGTGCCAGGGGGAGGCAGGGTGAAAGTGTAGTTGCTGGGAACGGGCTCGTACACCTCGGCCTTTGCGCTGGTGGAGGTGGTCATGAGGGCCTGGTCGAGGGTGACGTGGCTGTGGAGGCTGCCGGCGATGCCCTGGTAGGGGAGGGAGAGGCTGGTGCCATCGGATCCGTTGAGGGCGATGAAGCCGGACCAGACGGGGAGGCGGCCGGCGTCAAGAGTAGGAGGGGTGGGGGTGACCAGGACGGTGACCTCGCCGCCGGCGGGGACGGTGACCTTCTCCTCGCTGAAGGCAAGGGTGGCGTACTCGGCCGACAGCTCGTTGGGGAAGACCGCAGGGAAAAGATCTCCTGCAGCCTCGAAGGTGTAGGCAGTGGCAGCACCGACGTTGCTCAGGTCGTAGGACACGGACTCGGCGCCAGTGTTCTTGATGGTGAAGTTGAGCTCGGGGATGAAGTTATCAGTGTCGTTGAATGAAAGGCTGGAGTGGCTGAGAATGACAGTGGAGTAGGCAGCATCAAAAGCCTGAACGAGACCACCACCCTGCTGGGGAACAGGGGCAAGAAGCGCGTCGGGGCCGGTTCCGTAGTTGAACTTGACGGGGTTGGCGTGGGCAGAGAGAAGGTTCTCAATGGTGGCGGGGTCCAGAGTCTTGCGGACATCGGCGATCAAGGCGACGATACCGGCGGTTTGGGGGCAAGACATGGAGGTACCAGAAAGGACGGCGTAGCTACCCAGAGCTCGGGGGTAGGTGGACAGAACGTTACCACCGACAGCACCGAACTGAGGCTTCTGGAGACCGTCCCAGTTGGGGCCCCAAGAGCTGAAGCTAGAGACGGAACCTCCAGTGGCGGTGTTGTTGGAGTTGAGCAGGATCTGCTCAGCCTCCTTGGGGTCGGTCATGTGAAGGACAACCTCGGATCCAGCAGCAAGAGCAGTGAGCCAGACGGCGGCCTGCGCAGGGGTGGTCATGCCAATAGCCTCAAGACCATCGACGGCGGCAGAGACGGAGCCAGCACCGGCGGCGTTGTTGTAGAGCATAACATACTTGGCACCCGCGTTGACGGCGTTCTGGGCCTTGGTGACGAACGTGCAAGTACCTCTGCGAACGAGCACAATCTTACCGCTGAGGTCGGGAGTACCGGCAGGGTAAGGGTCGCAGCCGAGGGCAGCGGTAGAGGTAGAGTCGGTGCTCGTGGCCCAGAGGGGGAGGTCGACACCAGCCCAGTTCTGAGGCTCGCCGGGGGTGTAGGAAAAGTTCTGGGACTCGCCACCAGCAATGGTGAACGAGTTCTCAATGAGAACAGCCGGGGTGATGACGTTGTCAAAGGAGGCAATGGCGGTGACGTGCTTACCGCTGGCGGCGGTAGAGGCAAAGAAGATACCCTGGTCACCAGAGTTACCGGCAGAGACTGTGCAAGGGACACCAGCCTCAACGATTCTTGAGACGGTGGCGGCCCAGGGCTCGTCAGTCCAACCAGAGGGACCACCGATGGAGGCGGTGATGATGTCGCTGCCCTCCTCGTAGGCGCGGTTGTAAGCAGCAATGAGAACATCGTTGCTGACCTGGCCCTCGCATCCGAAAACCTTGTAAGCACCTAGGGTCACACCGGGAGCAGTGCCGGTGAATCCAAAGGGGTTGCTCTGAGCGGCAATGATACCAGCAACGTGGGTTCCGTGACCACCGCAATCCATGGGATCGGGGTCGGGGAAGTGCTCATTGAAGCCATCGTAGGCGTCACCGACGAAGTCGGTTCCGTAGCTGACGAGGCAGTCGGCGCCGAAACAGCCACCCAGGGCGGGGTGAAGGTAGTCGATACCCGTGTCAATGACGGCGACCTTGATGCCCTTTCCGGAGACTCCCTTGGCGTGAAGCTGGTCAACCTGGGTCACGACGTGAGTCGAGAAGGTATCCTCGCCCTCCTGGCGCTTCTTCAGGTCGATGTAGTCGCGGCCCTGCTGACCGGTCCAGACAACCTCGGGCTTGGGGATGCTGTAGGTCCTCACGGGCCAGATGTTCTTGACCGAAGCGAGCTGACCGAGCTTGGCGGCCTTCTGGTCGGCGGTGTCGAGGTTCTTGAACTGGATGGACGCGCCCTTGAAAAGAGAGTAGGTGAGGTTCAAACGAGTGATGGCATCGTTCTCTGCCTCTGCGTAGAACTCGGAGGCATCCTGTTGGAAAGGTTAGGTTAGCAATTCTACCTTGCCTTGGCGTAGGTTGCTCTTAGCGCTATTGACATACCTGTCCGTCCTCCAACTCGACGATGAAGGCACCAGCGACGGTCTTGGGAGACGGAGCCTTGGCTTGAACGGCGGAAGCCGCCGCGAGGAGCGGCAGCAAGAGACTGCTTCTGACCATTGTGTTTGGCTAACGGATGACCTGTGGGAGACCGGAGCTGGCGAGAAAGAAATCATCTCTTGAGCCAGACGCGCCGGGGGTCTAGCTTTATAAGTGCCATGAGTGTGTCCTTCATCCGGGGACGAGGGGGATGGGTTATTCGCTCGGCCCAACTCTCAAGGCGAACCCCAGTCTGGCGGGGACCCAGGACGGCGCCAGATTGGGCCTGTCGTTGTCGTCATGAAAGGAACTGGGAGCACCATTTCAGACCAGCACGCTTGCTCGCCCAGGCAGGTGGAGAGAAACATCGGCACAGAAGACATGCGCTGTGGGAGTTTGCGAGGATGCAAAAGCGCGGTGACAGTGTGGCACGCGATAGTGAGTGGGGAGCAGGGGTGAGGTTGAGGGGTGGGATGGGATGGGACCATGGGTCAGGGGGAAATAGCACAAGCGAACGGGACCAGGGAAATAAGAAATTGCAGGCAGCTTGTTACCTCAAGATTTGAAGGCCAATCTGCAGCTCATTCACCGCGTGGGCAAGTCACGGCCTGTAGCGGAAAAGGAGCATCTCGACCGAACGTCGATCAACATATGAGAAGCTGCTTTTCGAGCTGCCTTGTTTAGGCTTCGTAGTGGTAGGGAGCTGGGCCGGGGCTAATTAATTGAACAATGTCATTGGAGAGCATTCTGAACGGTCAATTTGCTCAGATGGCCTTCCTATCTGGGTAAGGTCTTCCGCATGTCGTTGGAGGGACTGCAAGACCTGATGGAGGGGAGTCCCTGGCCAACCGTGGTGGCCATGGATCATAGACCTAGCCATGGCCAGGGGTTGCTTGGTTAGGGGCACTTTTATTTCACTAGCATCCCCCCCGTTTTGTGGCGAGCAGGCCCTCTCGAGACTCGCTTCTGAGAAGAGCAGTTGGAGCTATCGCGGAAGAGTGATTGGCAGAAAGCGGGAGATCAGATTTGACTTCTTCGAGATCTCTGGGCGAAGATTGCCAGCAGCGACGCCACAACGTTTTTTGTGCTTGAAATCAGAGTGCGGCTGGCCGTTGGGCGTTCGCATGGATTGGAGGCTAAGACACTCGGGAGGCTTGTTCTGGTCTGGTGGCACATCTAGAGCCCTGTGTTTGCAGATGGCAAAAGGACATTGGGTGGCTCGTGTGGCATTGGTGACGGCTGCATATTGGTATTGTTGCTGCGAAATACTGGCCGGGAACAAAGACAAGGAGGACGAGTTGTTCAATGTCAGTGGCTTGTACAAAGATTGGTGGACGAGGGTCTGCTCCTATCAGAGTTCAGCAAGACTTCATTCGTAACGTTATTAAGACTCCAAGACATTACACTTGCCGCTCTGCGATAAACATCATATCAATATGATACGGTAAACACGATACGGGAGTTGCAGCTCCCACATCCCCTCGAAGAAACGCTGCCTTCCGTCTTGCGTGCAACAATCCCTTCCGCAGACCACGGAGCCAAGGGGCCAAGAAGTCATGGCACTCTTACTGCCGTGGTAGTAGTGCATCTCGGGGTTGTTGTCTGTTGGGCGTGTTCCTGAATTGGCACTCGTGCGATGTGGAGCGCCGAGCGCGCGATGTGCTCAGGCACGCGAGTGGTAGTTACAACGGCAGCATCCACGCGGGGACGGACATCCCGGCTGCATGGTGGGTTCTGAGGCGATTGCGTTGGATGTTGTTCTAGGCACGTCAGTATCGGCTTCTGAGATTGATTATTTGTCCCGATACTCCTCGGCATACGATTTTTCTCTATCGAGGAAACAAGCCATAGGGCGTGAGGTCGGAGGCCAGTCCGTAACTAGAAAAAGGAGCTTGAAAGGTTAAACGACTCATGTTGTGTCTGTACCTTTTTGGGCAGGAGAATCAGAGACTTGACTGGGTGGAGGACCTTTTGCTAGTCAATATCGCCAACACTTCCGCGCCCACATGCGAAATCCCCGCACGCACA